TTTTACTACCAACAGTCTGAGGGGCTTTGTGTAGAAACACATAATAATTCAAAATATTTTTTCACCACCAACAGATCACCCTTAGAAAATAAAAGAACACTATGCAACTTTGACAAGACTATAAATCAGGGCAGCATTCAGAAATCCCTTAGCAAATAGAACCAAAGGAAAGTATTCCCATGACATGATCTTGTTAATAGAACACTCCTCCACACTGAGATGAAAAGCTAAAAATATAACTGAAATCACATCACAGAAACCGTCTTCACTGCTGTTTCTATACCTCAGTGATCCGACTTTTATTCAACTCGCTAACTCTCGTGTATTCATTCCCTTAGATCAAATTCGAGGCTCCTAACTTTAGTTCAAGAGTTCAGGGTGAAAACAGAAACACAAAACTACAAAGTAATCCAGTTTCTATGAGCTGAAACTGTATCCAAAACCTAATGAATCTGCTGTTTCCAGTCTCATACCAACTGGTTGTTAATTAGCTTGGCTAGCTAAACTAACTATTTTGTATTAAGAGGACCATTTAAGCTCAAGGGGGAACAACTTAACTATGTTTTTACATGGTTAGCATCAGCTTGTTTGTTGTTTCATTCCATTTTCTCCACATATTACACCGTGTGTGTCTCAGCTTTTGCAATGAGGTGTTATCTTTCATCCATGGAGTAATCAGCCCTTTAAATGTGCTTTCATTAGCTGATAGCTAAAAAACTTTGTACTTCAACAGAGTTTAATTTCCTGCTGCATCACTGGTGCTACTTCACAGTGAGTCATGCAGATGGCCAGTTGCAACAGGGCTGGTCGAAATAATCATTTGTTAAATTTCACATGTCAGTATCAATAGAATGAAGACATTTGGCTCTGTCCCCTTTAGATTTCAATATAGTATTTGGAAAACTCAGGAGACCTGGTTTTTGAAATGTGCTTTTTAAATTAAGTTTATTATCAGTTTAACTATTGGCTGCTGGTAAAACTGTATATTACTTTTTCTTCTGCAATGTAAATTAAGAATTATGAATTACATTGCTGTCATTGTGTTCAAATCTTTACCCTTGAGCTGCTAGTCAGTATGAGTCAATCTTTTGGTCAGTGTGTCCCACAAGTTCCAAAAACTACTGATTATGTGCCATCACAGGACTCAGTCACAAAAAAGTGTCTGTGAGCTGGTTTACCACATAGAGACAGGGGACAGACCCAGACTAAACCCAGACTACAGACACAATGTTACTGACACGGTTGCTGAAAATATCTTGGGGCTAAATCACCATCCAGAAAATGGCACTTTCTAGTTAAACCTGTTTGATAAAGAGCCGGTTTGCCACACTCAATATTTAATCCCAGGGATTTCAGAGTCACTTTCACATTATGTCAATGAGGTTTTCAGGTAATCAGATCACACAAAAGAGGGGTCAATAGTTTTGTACAAATTGCATTTCCTTCTAATTTGTTGAAAAGATTGTTCATCAGATCATCACAAACTGGCATAAAAACCCCAGGAGTAAAGGTCATGTTTTTGTACTCATTGCAAAACACAAAGTAGCTGCCATGTACAGTATTTTGTTAGTGTGCTTGACTTAATGGGGTCAAATGACGAAATTTTACCCCGGAGCTTTAAAACAGGTTATCCAGCAACTCGGATTGCTTGCAAAATATCTTCAAGACTCACCAACTGCCTAGGACTTCTCTATAATTCACTTGGTTGTTTCTGCCCTGACCTGGTCATTTTCACAGCTTATCATGAATTACATGCTTGTCTTATCCAAACCACCTGTTGTTCTAAGTTAACAAATACTACTTTTAAAAAGGCAAAGGGGAAAATGTATGTTATTTAAGCTTGCACCGAGCAGCACCTCGAATATTAATCACTGCATAAAGACCACTGCGAAGCGAGCTATCACAAATACCCAGCGTGGTGCATCATCATCGCATGAAGACCTTATTAATCAACAAAACAACAGGGGAACCTAAGCAAAGATGGGAATTCATTTTGAATGGGTTTAAGGCTGTAATTTCTATTCATTCTTTTCTTCAGCATTTTCAGCTAAATGCATGAGCCACTGGTTCCTTAGCAACAGACTCTGCAATGATGCAAGATTGAAGAGGAACGGCTCTGCAGCTCCACAGTGCAGGTGAAGAGAAGTCGGCCAACGACTCCTGTTGCAGGTCTTCAAAGCCTCACGGAGTTACACTTATTAAGGTCAAGCTATCTCATTTCACAGCATGAAAACCTGCCAGAATGTAAATCTGATATAAAGCAACTTGGTCAAGGATATAAAACAAAAACTCGCTCGCTTCCCAGCATTACCCCAAACAAGTTAAGAGTGTACTAAAAAGGTCCATCAACAAACCATTATAGGTGCAAGTTTTGCATTGCTGTTTTGTTTTGCTTTCTGAATGTACAGCATATTCCCTAATTTAACATTCTGTATAAGCCTGCAGGTGTGGACACAGCAGACTCAGTTTTGTTTTTATTCCCAAGGATACTTGGACAAATACAGCCAGTGTGCTATTCGACTGAGAGGGTTTGTGTCTCAAACATCAACAATAAGCCTCAGGTTTATCACAAAGCACAGCAGACTCAGACATCAATTGCTCGTCTCTACTTTTTATTTCTGATATTCAACAATTAGAAAGTCATGTAACTATAGCTGGGGGGTCTCTGACAAACAGAAGCTGCAGTGGACATTTATGGCGTCCACATGCCATATGTCATGATGAATACTATATATATCATATAATTCAAGTGCGTTAGTGCGTTCTTTGTTTTGCTAGAGCGCATTTTTGTGAAAGAAATTTCTAGAACTACACCGGCTGAAAAGATTTGAAAGCACAGTCAGAGCGAAATTCATCTCCACAAGATTTATATTGTCCTAGAGGTTCCAACAAGAGTTTTCTTTTTGTTAAAAACTTTTTAAGGGGAAAAAAATTATATCGAGACAGATTTGTCGACCGGAGAAAGCAGCAATAACCTCTCTATTTTTAATGGGGTACCTCCAGCACAAATCTCACAAAAAGCTCTTTTGTTGTCCTATCAAGATACTGAATAAAGACGTGCCTTCATTGAGACATTGTGTAACAGAGAAAAAAAGGGAGAATCTTTGCTCAAATGTTGAACTCAGACACCACAGACCCACCAGTTGATTTCACTCAGAAGCATGTGTCTTACTTCATTCTGGCTGACTGAGAACTTGCCATCGCACATAAAATCTGCCTTGGTTTGGCTTTTACGTTGTGTGATATACACCGAGGAGAATGCCAAAAATTAAACATATTGTTTAACATCAAAAAAGAGGGAAAACCTGACCGCAAGTAACAGAGAAAATCACAAGCTGGGTTCAATATTTACAGTACACATCCATAAGATCCTCCCTGACAATCCCTAGTAATCAATACATTAACACTCAAATTGTGTTGTTCTTTAAGGCGCTATAAGCTCCATTTTTAAGCTTTCAACAGCATTTCCCATGAGCCAGTGTCATACTGCAGTGCTTCACAGGAAGTGTGGGTGTTGAATGCTGACAGAAAACAGACTCAAACATTGCTTTATTTTTGATTAAGTGCTCAAATTGTGGCGTTGAGGCACAACATTTCAGGAGAGGATTGGCTAGTTTGCAAATACTGGACGATAAAAATGGCTGACTTTGATGGACAGCACACTGACTGCTGTGTCACCAGATAGATAGACAGACGGGTGAGCCAAGAAAAGACACGTATGAAACCACAACCATCATTTATGACGTTCACATGACACTGCATTATCCTCATTTAAATCTGACACCGCGCCAAAGCTTCCCACGCAACAGTGAGATGTGTTTTACAGTCGCTGCCATCCTCCTCTGGTCAGACAATAACATATAGATGTGATTTCCAAGAATGAAGCAGCTGAGTGGCTTTATAACAAACCCCATTACATCCATCACGCCAAATCCAGTGGTACATTATTGAAAAGCCCCAGTTTGCCTCCTTTAGTACTCACCTCTCAATGGAGATTCTCATTGCTGCTGCAAAGGATCTTGAGTTCTGCTGAAGGGCCAGAGTCGTCTATACGCTCACTCAGGTCGTAGATGGTAAGATTTTGGCGCATGGGATGTGAAAATAGTGAAAAAAACAAAAACATCAATAAGGAGCTAATTGCAAAGGCACAGGCTGAACATTTGATTGTTAACACTGCAGTGCATTCGGGGGCAATTCACCCCAGTAGCAGGACTATGAGATCGGCTACGCCCCCAGCCTCAAAGTGTGATTGTTGACACTGTGACATTGTTACCAAGTGTACATAAAAGGAAAGGAAAGGAAAAGGAGAGAAGAGGAGAAGGGACAAGATCCCCCACCTCCCCTCCATTCCCCCACCCCTCAATGAATGATAAGACAGAGAAAAGCCCCAGTTTGATCCCCTTTATACTCACCTTCAATGGAGATTACATGCTCTCGGATCTGGTTCTGCAGGGCCAGGTCGTCTATACGCTCGATCAGGTCGTAGATGGCGTAAATGTTGGGGTGGACGGACTCGAACCGGTGGATCTCTGCTCTGATGGCCGCAGAGTTGGACAAAACAAACTGCGAGCCTGCCGAACCGGGCTGGGCAGCCTGGCCTGAAACAGTCCCCGAACCGAACTGCCCGGCCCCTGAGCTCGCGGATGATCCGGATCCGAACTGGGACGGAATGGACTGGGGAACCGGGACTGGAACTGCCACCGGGACTGTGCCTGGAGTGGGCATGGCCGGCTGAGACTGCTGCGAGATACCGGACACGGGGACGCTGGACTGGAAATTCATCTTGGGTTTACTGTTGTGTTGTGTTTGGAGCTTCTGACTCTTGGAAAAATCGGCAACACAAATGTTCAGATCAAGAATCTGAGACTGAGGCGATGCGAACAAAAGAAGTCCGCGCGAACTGATGGTGTGGAAAACGATCGGCGCAGACGCATCAATAGTTGTTCGCCAATTGCAACAAAACGCGACTCTTGTTCATATTATGACAACTTGACTGTGATTCATTTTCCGTTATTGGCCAGATCTATCCAGGGCCCCTTTTTTGTTTCTCTGTGGCTTACAAACCCGCAATGCCTACCACTGGGACACTCCTCTCTGGGCTGCACGGCTGTTTGGATCAAACCCCTCTTCTGCGTCTTCTTCTTCTCTCCCTTAGTGCTGTGTTGGAAGGAGACAATGGGCTCGGCTTCAGCGCGGCGCCCTGGTCCTCCGCTGCTGCCTTCCTTCAATGCGTTGTTTCTGTGCTGAAACCAAATAGCGTTTAGTCCTCTTTGGTCCAAGTGGTCCCTGCCCAGCGCCCTCCTCCGCATGCTCCAACGTCACCAATCACGTAATTGTACTTGAGATGGGGGAGGGTGTGATTGGATTTGTTGGGGAGGGGGGGGTAAAAGAAAAAAAAAACGCAACGTGCACACCATTACAATAACCTACCTGACAGTTATGCAACTGCATCAATCTGCAAGATACACGAGCAGAAAATTACATTGAAGTCAATTAGTTGTTATTGTGTGGAGGGAAGCAGCTATCACGTCCCCATGCAAAACCTACACATTCTCACTTTCACTCGCGTGTGCACGGTGCACGTGCACGCGCATCTACGCACAGTGATGGGCTTTTGGGAAGCACATATTTAAAATCGCAAAACTCTAAATCTTTAGGCTGCTACAAAATGGATTATGATCGATTAAAGGAGTGATAAATATCTGTTTTAGTTATAATGTGATCAAATATGTTATATGTTTTTCGCTATTCTGATGTAAAGGGACCACAGCAACATTAAAAATAATCAAAGTTAAACTCTCATAATCCATTTTACAGCAGTAAATGTTTCCATGTTTAAATTGCACAACTCTTGAGACCTGATAGGCTGCTGCAAAATGGATTATGAGGGTTTAACTTTCATCATTTTAAATGCTGCTGTGGTCCCTTTACATCGTAATAGATGAAAACATATATAAAAAATACACATTAGATCACATTATAACTGAAAACAGATAATTATCACTCCTTTAACCACTCATAATCCATTTTGCAGCAGCAAATGTTTCCATGTTTAAATCGCACAACTCATGAGACCTGATAGGCTGCTGCAAAATGGATTATGAGGGTTTAACTTTCATCATTTTAAATGCTGCTGTGGTCCCTTTACATCCGAATAAAGAAAAACATATACATAGATTACATATTTGATCACATTATAACTGAAAACAGATATTTATCACTTCTTTAATCATTCAAAACACATACAGACTTTATATTTGCTAAATCTTTATGTCTTGTGAATAATAAAACATGTTTGAAAGGTAAGAAATTAAAGGTTTTCAGATGAGGAATGATGTGAAATGGATCATAACACATTACTGAGCACCTTAAATTGTTTGTTTACTTATTATCCCATCTGTATATTTCGCATTTCATATTTATTACCCTTTTTTCATATCTCACTTGTTTCTATTAGGATATTTAGTATATTTAATCCATACTTATTGTATATATTTAGTATATTTAGTCTATATTGTACATACTTCTTCTTATATGTAATTTTATTTTGTGTTTTTTGCTGCTGTAACATGGGAATTTCCCAGTTTGGGATCAATTAAGTCTATCTATCTATCTATCTATCTATCTATCTATCTATCTATCTATCTATCTATCTATCTATCTATCATAATGTCTCTCCTTTGACTTGGCAGAGATATGCAGAGCCACCTGCTGGCCTGAATGCACACTACAACAACAGCTGCTCAAGGCCAGATGACTGTCACAGTCAGTCAAGGTTCTGCTGTTTTGGTTTCTTTGTAACTGTGAATACGATGACTGACTGATCAAACGCAAAAGAGTAAAAATGTGCAATCGGGCACCCTTATTTCAAGGGATCTAGTCCTCTGAGGAAAGACAGGAAAGAGAAACAGAGCTAAGATGAAAAAGTTTGATCTGAAACAAAAAGTCATTTTGGTATAATGGGGGGAAATGAAAGCATTACTGATCCTGAACTCCCAGGCAGCCTGCGGCTCTCAAAGTCCTTTTTCACACATTAATAATAAAGAGTGCAATAACCATTTATTATTCTTCCTAGTATTACAGCAGTTTCAGTCTAGAGATTGATATTACTGCTAGCACAGAGGGATAACCGAGGGACATGAATGAAGATGATTCAGAAAAAAAAGACTTTTTTGTTCATTACTTTGAAAAGACATGATGAGGTTCCAGTTATTTCTTATAATATTTGAAAAGGATGCAGTGTTTACTTGATTTGATTCTTGTGGTTATTTGAGATATTTATGTTTAAATGCAAACCCAAATCCTTCTATAATTTAACCTGCTGTAACTGGGATGTGAATCTGTGGATCTGAATAGCTGTGATATCTGTACAGCTGCTGACCCGAGCAGTTAGAGTTTAAGAACAAGATAAAACAGCTTTTTTGAGGAGTGTGATCATCATCGTTTGTTCTTTTTCATTCATGGCTGGTGTTTTTGTGCACAAACTGCAACATGACCAGAGTCTCCATCTTGTGCAACTGTTGTAATGAGGAAGAATCTGATCATTTTCATGCTTCAAATGACACTGAACGAATCTGACATAGAAAACATCCTCAGAATATTCAGAGACCAAACATGCAGCATACTTCTTTGGACGTCATAATGAACCATTTCTGCAGCATGTTTTACCATCTGTTATCTCCAGCCCTCTGCCTCCACCTGCTGACAAAACATGGTACTGCTGCTGCCAAACACATTACCATGCTCCTCCTGTTGCACTCCATTTTAGAGTAAACAACATCCACAAGCAGTAGTGATTGCTTAATCCAGCCATAAAGATTTTGTCCCTCTCCAGTTAATTTCATAGCAATGATCCATTCATTGTCAGTTTGCAGAGAAATTGCTGCCTGTGGGGGAGCTTCTCTGGCAAATAAAAAACAGCAGGAGGCCACAGATTAAATTTGGAGGGGCTCAAATTAACGATATATTTTTTCACTCTTTGCATAACTTGATGTTTTTGGTTACGTGCAGCAACCACGGCCTACTTTCTGAGTTTCATTTTTGGTGGAATTTCAAGAATTAAGCTGTTCATCCTCTAGCTAATTTAGTAGGAATTAAAACGTAATGTTGCCAGTGCTATGAATAATCTTCTTTTCATATTTTTCAATACAGCCACCTTGTATATTTTGGGAAATAGCTGCAGCTCATTTCTCTATGTGAAGGATAGAAATCAACCCCAGGGGCAATTTAAAAAATAAAAAAAAGGTCAGCTGGTGGATGAACAGTCAAGGAAAGTTGTGATTCATTAAAATCTGCCTCAAGCAGCAGTTTGAAGGCTATTTTGTAAGCTTTGAAGTCCAAATTTTGTAATCATGTTGCAATCACACAACAGGCTGGTGCTAGCTGGTCAAAATGTGGTCTGTTAAGTAATTTAGGTGGGCAACATGGACAGTTGATAAAGTTGTAGAAGTGGAGTATTTTTAATCCACTGATGCCAGCAGTGTTCATTCAAATATAGTACGGTGACAGTAAGAAGAAAAGGGTCAGGGAGAAATTTCCAGTAATCACAATGAAATTTCAATCATCCTTAATTTTGTTTCCTGCAATCTGGTGAATTTTTTGCCAACACTAGTGAAGTAGTGGAAATTCAGTTATAGCTAGAGAAGGAAAACACAAAATATTTGCAACACAACTTACAAAAAAATGAATTGAATTTCCTGCATGAAGCTCAACTTTTGGTAAGATTTGATCAGTCAGTTTTTCGATAAGGCTATATAATGCAAATCAAACCCTGCAGAGGATGGTTGGTTGTGTGTGAACGTGACTGTGGGTGAGTCCTTTTCAGTGAGGCAGCTTCTTATGAAAAAATTACTAAATTTTTTATCCATGACTAGCACTCCTTTTATTGCTAATGATCCTAGTTGTAGTGTTATCGGTTGGTAGGCCAATATATTTTTTATTGAAGATACAGATTCCTTAGGGAGTGCTTTATGGAGTTTAGTTAAGTCTGATTTAGAAGAATTATGTTTAAGGCAAAAATCTTGATAACTCAAAAGACTACCATTGGTATCCATTAAGTCAATAACTGACCATATATTTCTCCTATTTCAATCTTGATAGTATAATGATTTATTTTGGTGTAGAATGTAACTATTGTTCCAAAGCACGGTGGTTTAGTGTGAAAAAATATGTACAAATAACATTTTCCAGTATTAAAGTATTTGTTTGTGGAACTCTGATAATGAAATGGGTAATTTACCTATATTGAAGTCTGCCATGGGAAGACTGTGGGTGTGTCCGTGCTGATGCAGGTGTGATCTTTAATTGGTCAGTTCAAGCAATGGTGCAGCGTTCTGATTGGCTGATCACTGGTTAAAACCCCCAACTGCTAAAATTTGCTCCCCCCACTATACTGTGTTTTGTGAAGCTCTGAGTTGTGTAACTGTGTAGGCCTCACTTGATCAAGTTTAATATTTTTCTCCTGTTCTCCTAGAGCGTCAATTGTAGACTAATAATGAACACTGAGTTGCAGCAGAGTAGGCATGGGTACCCATTTGTTTTGACCTCTATTCTCTTGTTTTGCAGGTCAGGAGTTCAGGTGAGATATATGTCATTTGCTTAAGATTTTATTTTCTAACAAGTAAGTTTAGGGTTTATTTTGATAACTTTTGTTTTGTTGTTAAGGCCTTTGCCCATCTCTGAGGATAGTTTAATCTGCAGTTTTATCCTAAATAGACCCATATTGCTAGTTTTTCATGGGAGTGGGAAAAGTGGCAGATATGAGAGCTATTTTTCATGTTTTCCACTGAAAAAACATTAGACAGGGCATTTCAGGATGATCCTCTGTGTAAATGTTATATAGACCTGCTGCATCTACTTCACTGATAATAAATGAAACTCCAATATGAGCATAACTTGCACGCACATTAGTTTGATTTACTTTGCGTGCACATAATGTTAGCTCACTGACAGTTTAATTGACTATTTTTCAATGAAATTTAAATCAAGTGGATCAAAATTTAATTAAAAGAAAAACCCACTCCAAAAAGATCATTGCAGGGGCCAAAAGTTATGTAAAAGAATATGATTAAGTAAAACAACAATTTAGAAAGAAACTTTACTTTAGAGACGCCATCCTCTCCAACTATAGGGGCAAGTAAACGAGGAGAAACAAATATCAAGACTTCACTTCAGAAGGGATAATACACTGGGAGGTATAACAAAACTAATATGTTATGGAGTTCTGGAATCCTCCTAATGAACATGAATATAACATGAAATGTTATGATAAAAGGACTCAGTAACATGTCATATTGAGTCAGTGTCGTGTAATCTGAGCCTAATCTTGTGCAGAATATTCAACATGATCTGAAAGACTCTTTAGTCATCAGAGTTTGGTGATTTTCATGGAAAATGTCCTGTGTCATTATGAGGGAATGGTGAGTGCAAATGAAAGAGAGGACAGAGAGTTAAAACTTTGGGTCTTACTCATCTCACCGTCTTTTTTTTTTATTTTTTTAGTTTGAACACATTTCACAATTTTATCAGCTAATATAAAGTTTTGGTCTATGTCACAGAGCTGCATAATGAACTCAGCAAACTGAGCATTTTATCTACCAATTTACTCGTCTGGTACTTTACTCCAAATGATCTGTGAGAGCCCCTGAGAGCTGCCCCCGGGACACCAGAGGCCACCATGAATACTAAACGGCAGAGACTCACTGACACCTAGAGAGGAGAAGCTGCATAGAGAGCAATATTCATGAAACCTGTCTAAATTATTAATTCTACTTTAAACTTGCAGAAATGGCCTCTGAATAAGTTTTCTGGTGGACTTTCTTTGTGCTTGATGAAGCCTCTTGGGCAACATTTTCGGGACTGTGTGAATCTTTAGAGAGGCCTATCTCTCAGAGGAAATAGAGCAAAAGCTTTTATAGAGACGCTTTGTCATCTTATTTCCTAATATCAGGAATTCATGCTGAAATATGGCACGATATAACTTCATAAAATGACCAAAAAATATGTCCCAAGCCCCATAAGTCCACAATTTCAGAGCAAAGGCCCAGTCACATGTTCCAAGAGTGAATAAATTGACTCTCATGTGTGGTGAGGTGATGTCATTATACAGTGGTCATGTATAAGTCAAACAATGGTGCTCTTGTTCATGTAGCAGACAGACTCTCTTATCATTAGTTATGAGTTGAGTTCATTGTGTGTATTAGTCTCTATTGGAGCATTAAAGTGAGCTCAAACTTTAGACACAACTTTAAGGCACACAGTTATTTTTTTTTTAATTAATGGGGCACCAAAAGAGAGTTTTAATAAAAGAGAGACTGGTATGAATGAATTGCAGACATCATAAAACATTTAAAGTTTCATTTCCAGGAGAAAAGAAATAGCTGCATAGAGCACAGAAATACACTGATTTATAAAGGTTTTCTATTTTGCCTCATTTCCTGAGCAAAAATTTTTGATCGTCTGGGCACTGCAGCAGAGGCCAGAGACATCAGCATTAACAGCCATGCATAGATGTAAGCGGTGCGGTGCAAAGAGTCATCGGCCTTCATAAGTACAGGCCTTTCAAATATTCCAGGTAGCTGTTCATAGATGAAGCCGTTGACCTTGCTGCAGAGCTCCTGTCTCTTTGCTATTACTCAGGTTCAAGTTTTTAAAGCACATGAGCCCAGAGAGACCAACTCCAATGAAACAAGGTTGTCATTTTGAGCCACTCTTTTTGTAGATAATTTATTGCGATGAAAAGTGTTTTCTTGTCAGATTTTCTTTGAGTTTTGGAGGAAATTTTCTTCTCTCTTGGCAATTTCTTATCGTAGATCCAAACACAGATGGGGAGAAGTCACTCACCTCCCCATTGTGTTAAGTTGTTTGGCTTGGGAAGAAATGAAGTCTTGTTTGTGGGTTAGACACAGACTATTTATAAGATTATTGACAGTATATGGTTTAAAAATTTTATGAATGCAGGTAGAAAACAACACAACCGATTACCTCAGAGACCCTGTGCCATTTTTACCACCAAAATACAAATCAAACACGCACTCTAAAAAAAAAATAAGATAAAATATTAGCATGCTTTGTTGCTTTCTCTCCTCTAAAGGCACAAGAGAACACTATGTGCTACAGCGTCAGACACAAAAACAGTCTCCAATCACAGGCCATCACAGTGATGCTCAATTAAATGAGTCACAGACTCTGCATCACCAAAACATCCATGTGTTTCCAGTTTGAATGTACTTTCTGGTCTGAAATGCACTACTCTGCTCATCACAATGTTTTTTTTACCATATTTGTGTGTTATGCTGCCTGTCCTTTATCTTTATATGTGCACCTATTTCACATACCTATTTCTATAGAAGTGAAAAATATAAATCAAAATTCTTGTGAGTATATTTGAGTAATGGAGCTGATGCTAGATGCTAACTGCTCTTACTACCAATTAATTATTATATATTTTTTGTATTTATGCATTTCATCTATCACAGTTAATTGCCTTTAAACATGATCTTAAGATTGTTTAAGTCCACTGTGAGGTTGGTTCTTGGTTGTTGGAGTTGTAAAACAGTCTAAAGAAGTCCACCCATATGACCTATAACCACATTAACTAGTGCTTTTCAGCTGCATAAATTGTCTGATTAAAAGATGCTTCCTCACAACACTGCAGCTTAAACATATAACAAAAAAGAGGAACTGTAGTGAGCTCTTTCACTGTAAATGAATGTCCTTAACACTGGGTCAGTGACGGAAGGACACTTTAGCCTTTTGGTTTCTGAAATTTTGAGTGCCACACCCATCAGTTGGAGGCGATGACTAAAAAGGTAGATGAAACTACTGTGATGAACTTGAATGAAATCAGTCACGGTAGTACAGTGACCTCTAGGGGTGTCTCGCTCACAGCACTTTGCAGAGATTTAAAGGTCCTAATTGCAGTCAAAACAAAATATTAACAGAAAATGTGATGCAATATGATTTTTTTTTATGACTATGCTAATCACATTTTTGGTACATATTAGATAGCCAATTTGTGAGGGATGGATTTTCTTCTTCTTATGCATGACTTGTTTTATGGATATGCTATTATGGATTAGTGTCTGACCTCTTCCACTTGCAAAAGCTTGCATTCTGCACAAATGAGAACATCTCTTAGGTCTACAGATTAAGTGAGTACTTGTGCAAAACTTACCACAAAATGTGGGCACCTCAGGTTTGATTGGAAGGCACCATCATTCCAAACAAAACAGGTTTTGGAGTAACTCATGTGATGCCAGTTTGCTTATTTCAGCAAAACAATGCTGAACCACATTCTGCACAGTTGTATGGTTCCATCACAGAGTGTTCTGGGTGCTAAAATGATCAGCTAAGCTCTGCCTGGTTATCCTTTAAAAAACTTTGGATCCATTATGAAGATTTAAGAAAGACACAGCAAGCAAAGTGGTAAAACTTTCCACCTTGGAAATGACAGCAGTAAGTCTCCTCATTTCCCAAATACCCACAGAGTATTGTATAAAGATATTATGAAACACAGTGATCAATATAACCCTTTACGTTTTTGATCATTTGCTGGCATCAAATTTAAATATAGCCAATCATTTTCCAAAGACATGTAAATTTACAGTTTCAACAACTAGTTTGTTGTGTTTGTATTATATTCAGTTAAGCTGTATGGAACTCGGTGTTCTGCAAATCAGTCTCTTTTATTTCTATTTCTATTTTGTACTTTGTCCTTGCGTTTTGGAAACAAGGTTAGACTTTCATCAATGGGGCATTGAGGTTTTGGACCATTATTGGTTTGCTATTTAATTATGTTTCTCTTCAGAAATGAACATTTTGTCAATAATAAATAGACCGCCTTATGGGGATTTCAGTTGCACTTCTGTCCCTCTGTTTCTTTATACACTCAAAAGAAATCAGTTTCTGAAGTTGCCATATGTTTCTCGTTCAAGCTGCATCCCATTTCTTTGCTATATGACTTATACTATAATGTTTATAAAGACCTTGTAAAGTTTAGATCTGATTTTTTTTTAAAAAGAGATGATGATTATCCAATTATAACTTCCTATCTGCAGCAGAAGCGTTCATTACCCGCACACTGCAGCCTCACATTAACCACACCCCTTCTCATGTTGCAGCAAAACACTCCACATCGTTTTTTTTTTTCATATATTTTCCCAGAATACACCTGGAGGAGTACAGTGACGAACGCGCATACCGACGGGAAATTCTACACAGTTTTAAGAGTCGAGTCTTTTGAACCCATCCATTTACCAATTTTCTGTCTCGTGAAGCTGTTTTAAGGATATGAGCATATAAGCAACACATACACATGCAAAAGCCTGAGGAATAACATTATATATATTTAAAAAGCAAAATATATAACACAGATTTTACCTGACGATGCCCTGAAAATAATTTATCAATAAATTATTAAAAAAAAAAATTTTGTGTATCTGTATGACTAGATACATCTCAGAGGGATAGGGTTTAAATGTTCTTGATGGATATTTTTAAATTTAGATTTAATTACCAAAAGAAGTACATAATCAAAATCACATACACTACCTTACTTTAAATGAACAAAATGAGAGAACTAGACCAGAGATCTTTCATTATATAATTTTACTACATTACTGTACTTAACTACCTGCTGATGTCACATGACCTTAACAAAACCTTAACAAAAACAATACCTATCTACGACAGTTTAATTACTTTTTCTTAAAAGAAAATAAGACTCTTAAAATATTAGTTTATTTACAACATAAATGAAACACAAAAATCATGAAAACATCATTTAACGTAGCTTAAAAGATCTTGTACAATAGCTTTAATTTCGATCTCTTTCGAACGGATCGTCCATGAACTGCACACCAGCAGATGACAACAACAAAACAGACAGAGCTGCTGAGAGGGTGTTAGCGCTACTAGCTACACCAAATACACAACTGGGGGTTTTGTCCGTGCGTTACACCATCTCGGTTGGAGTTTGCCTAACAAGATATTTATTTTTAACCACAATGGTTTGTCTGTATAGCTAGTCATGGTTGTCACTTATTCTGTTGTAGTTTAGCCCAAACTTACGTCAGCTAACGGGCTTGCTTGCTAAGCTAGCTCTATGTATGCCAAGCTAAACCAGGTTAGCTAGCTAGCTTGGTTGCTAGCTTCTTAGCTAGCCAGCTCGCATAGACGAGGTGGAGACCAAGAACGGGGAGATGCGAGCAAAGTGAGGTAAGACCAACCCAGTAATTTGTGTTATTGATACGTCGTGTATTGTCAAACTTGTATCAACGTGTGTCTTGACGAATAGCGGTGGTTATCGTATCGTAGACAAGCCTGTTACATTTGTCATCGACGTTAGTATTAGCGATCCAGCGCTAGCCTGACAGCTGTATTAGCTAACAGCCAGTTAGCGCAGTCAGCGGGTTATTATAGTGAGCTTGGCAGCAGCTGCTGCTGGTGGCCCCTTCTTTGGCTCTGTAACCATGACAAACTGGAGGCCTCGAGGTTTTTTATTAACGGTGAAATGTCTGTGTTCTCATTTCAAATATAAATAGCTGGTCCCTGACCCTGAATTGAAAGAGGCCCGTGGACAAGCTGATAGTAATAAAGACAATTAGCTAATGATCGCTAACACAAGTTTGTCTGTGATAGCCATGAAGCTGGTCAGGTTTCAATGGTTACGCTAACAGTTCAAAGTAATTATTGAAATATATTTAATGTGGTATCTCATCAGCACAACCTCCTGGTTCTTCATCTCAACATCACTAACTCTTTATAACATAATAGGGATTAGTAGGGAAAAGTTTGACTCCATCTGACATCAGACTCATAACAGGTGACATTCAGCCGACAAACAAAGACGTGATGACTCAACTGATATGGCATTTATGTGTGCTACAAGATATTAGTCATGTTTAAATGTTTGTAACAAAATACTTAAAGAATTTAACTATTAAAATATCCGAACACATGATTAGGCTACATACATTTGTGAGGGATCACAAGTTAACATTGTGACTTACCATGAACATTGTGATCACCTGGGCAATCTTTTGCAATCCTTTTCTAACCTCTTATCCTTAATTCACTTCTACATTTTTAGTTTTTGTTGGCATGGTCAATACAGTTAATTATAATACTTTGTGTATTATTATTATTAAAAGTAATTGTGTACTGGAATGTGTTATTGAATGGTGTTACTGATATTTTGTTTGCATTACCAACAAACAAGAGGGGAGCGAAATACTGGCGACATCTTTCAATATAATACACTCTAGTACATCACAAACACCCACCACAAGTTGAACAACTAATTTAAGAAATAATGATCATGTAAACAAAAATTGAATATGTAGAAGTTTCGTAAAAGTGGAAATTATGGTAGAGTTGTTGCACTTGGTTGCATCAGATTGCCTGGGTGTTTATAATATTATGGGTGATTGGTGTATTTATCAAATTTCCTCATGGTAATGTGGTTTGATTTAAAGAAGAACTTCCTCCTTCGGTTTAACTTATTTGAAGATACAGGGGAAATCTTAATTAAATGTAAAATAAATTTATCGGATGTCTCATGTACATGTTTGTTTGTTTGTTTGTTTGTTTTTCCAGGGTGGCCTTGAATGACTAAATGAGCAAGATAGGCAAGAGCGAAGAACTCTGGGATATTCAACATGAAGTTGTATGTGTTCCAGGTCAACAATGGCTGCACATTGACATTTGAGACAGATCTTGCTGTCCAAACGTAAGATACATTACCAATGTTATTCAGAAATAGTGGTCAGTATTGGTTGTTGTATCCTTATGAATTTTTCTTTTGTCTCAGTGTGCTAGAGCTCAAACATGCCATCCAAGCCAAATACAAGATTGCAATTCAACATCAAGTCCTTGTTGTTAATGGAGGGGAATGTATGGCTGCAGAGAGACGCGTCTGCAGCTACAGTGCAGGCACTGTGAGTTAATTAAATGTATTAGTGTGCTTTTAATTTCCCTTGGAGGTATAGAGTCAACCTATGCGATAATTGGATTTCTGATGTTGTACTGTTTGATTTCCAGTGTTTCAATTTTTCTTTTCCCATACATCATTGTTTGTCTCTAGGAAACCAACCCCATATTTCTGTTCAACAAAGAGATGATCTTGTGTGACCGGGATCCAACGATCCCCAAAACCACCTTTTCAATAGAGAGTGAGATTCAGGTGAAGGTCGAGGAGTCTCTACTGATGCCAGCCGTCTTTCACACTGTTGCCTCGCGAACACAACTTGCTCGGGTAGTTACCTCTTTTTCTGTCCCTGTATAATTAATTTTTAGAAGTTTGGGACCTCAGTTGTGATACAGTTTTTGTGTTACACTGAACTGTCTACCTACTAATCACTACACCATTGTATGCTTACCTTTTCAGGAAATGTCTGAAGTTGCCAATAAACTTAGTTCTTTCTGTGAACGCTTGGTTCATGATGAACACCTTCAGCATCAAGGCTGGGCTGCTATTATGGCTAATCTGGAAGACTGCACCCTGTCATATCAGAAGTTGCTGAGGAAATTTGAAACTTCATACACAAATTATCAAAATGATTTGGAGGAAATAAAGATAAAGCTAACAAAGTAAGTGAAAGCACAAAACATTATTTTTCACTCTCATTAGCATATTAAATAGTTTTGAATTTAAAGCACTGTATATGTAACATCTGTAACATTAAGAGATTATTTGAAAGTGTTCAATTTATCATGGCTCAGTGAAAATAAATGCATGTACAATTAAAACTAGAGATTTATTCTGCTGAAAGGAAATAACTTGAGGTCTTGATAAACATTTTGGTATGATTGCAGGTTAGGGACAGCAGTTTCTGTCATGGCAAGGATACCTCTACTGGAGTGCTTGACAAGACACAGCTACAGAGAGAGCATGGAAAAGTCGAGCTCAACTCCAGGAAAAGACTCGGATGAGACAGAAGAAGAGAAATCCACTGACTCTGTGCTCTGCACAGGCGGCGCACAGAGGTCCTCCAAGTTATCAGCTTCCCTCTCTGCTTCTGGGACACCTACATGTGAGCAAACTGGAGACCAGGAAACAAACCAGATGACATACAGCGGTGGTCTGAGAGCTGCGCTTTTAGAAGATGACACTCCAGAGTTTGCCAACCCGTCCTCTTTCAATGTCACGCTATTAGACTGGATCAATGTTCAAGACAGACCTAATGATGTGGAGTCTGTTGTGAGGAAGTGCTTTGACTCCATCAACAGGGTAAGTCATAGATGAAGGCACATGACACGCTTGTTGCAATATCATTGTACAGAGTGAGTTGTGGTGGAGAAGTTCACACGAGTCTGTTTCTTTCTTTCAGCTTGACCCTCGGATCATTCAGCCCTTCCTAGCAGATTGTCGCGATACAATATCAAAGCTGGATAATCAAAACATGAAAGCCATCAAGGGGCTTGAGGACAGGTTGTACGCTCTAGACCAAATGATTGCAAGCTGCAAGAAGCTGGTGAATGAACAGAAAGAACTTGCTCAGGTATGTTGGCAAGTAAACAAGGATTATGAAATGATCTTCTCAGTCGTCTGCGGTTTAATGACTTTTGCATATATGTTGTAATCTGCAGGGATTCGTGGCCAATCAGAAGCGGGCTGAAAACCTGAAAGATACATCTGTTCTGCCTGACTTATGTCTGAGTCACACAAACCAGCTGATGATCATGCTGAATAACCACAGGAAGCTGCTGGACATCAAAAAGAAGTGCACCACTGCCAAACAAGAACTTGCAAACAACCTTCAAGTCCGACTCAAGTAAATCCGAAAACCACTTTTTCTTAAATATTTACACCCTACTCTGCTTGTTTTGTCAATCCCTACTTTTGTCTTCGATGTGGTTTTCGATTGATCTTGTAATTGTTCTGGTTTTTCAAAATGCCAGCGTCAAGAAAATCATGTTTAAAACTTATACTGCTATTGATTTTTCATTAGATGGTGCTGCTACGTGATGCTCCATGCAGACCAGGATGGGGAGAAGCTTCAGGCTCTTCTTAGACTCCTGACAGAACTCATAGAAAGAGTGAGGGTGGTGGAGGCCCTCAGTAACGTCCCCCAGATGTATTGCTTGGCAGTGGTGGAGGTCGTGAGGAGGAAAATGTTCATGCGACACTACAGAGAGGTCAGTGCTACATATCCGAATTTGACAGGTTAAGACAAAGGCTGACACGTGAAAAATGTAGAAATAAAAACAAGATTTTAAGGCGATTGTGTGCTGAGAAGGGGACAAGATCCAATCAGTGAAACCACACAGAAGTAGCCTGATGTGCAATTGTCCATATTGGTCTGGCAGTTTGTACACTCAGATGTCCAAGGACTGCCCACTCTCCTGTACACACTTACAATCAGATGGATTAACAGACCACCTGCTTCTCATATATAGCTGATAAAATATTTATCCACTGACTCTTAAATGTACTTCTTATGTATTTTATGCATTGCAGTGAAAAGTACATGAAAGTATAGATGCAGTGTCTAAATCAATTCAGAAATGGAGTATGAAGTATCTAATTTTTCATTACATTATGATCCTGTACTGACATGAAAAGAGGGTGAAACTAAAGGATTGAAGAGGTGGTGAGGATACAAATGTCTTTGAACCTTGATCTGTGTTAACTTCATTTTCTCCTTTTTCTTTTTTCTTCTTCACTGAGACCTCTAAAGTAAACAGTATTTCAGTGATAGTCTACAGAAGTGTACAGGAACTTCAAACAGAGCATTATATCACATCATAACTCTACTCCGTGATCTCTCTCCCCCTCCTGCTCCACAGACAAGTGCAGGAAGCTATCCTCCTCTTTTCGCCAAGAATCTCTAATGCAACTCTTTTAAATTTTGATTAAAAAAAAACAATTTGAAGACAGTTTGTCTGCATACCAACCAAAAAGATGAAATCTAATCAAAACTGGTCACTTTAGACAGAAAGAGAATGTAAAGTGTGACCACTCGTGCTTAAAACTGTGCACTTGTGATCCACGAGCACAAGCGGCACGATACTATGAAATATAAACAACCCCATTGAGCAGGTTCTGCTGTTGAATAAGCTTTAGGCTGAAACTTACTCTGCACTGTGATTCTTTTTCCTGAGGGTGTTTGCCTATACATTAAGCTGCAGCTGGTCATGACTGCTGACATTCTTGTTTTTACTGCTGTGTCTGAATGCACACGTCAGGCTGAGATGTGAAAAAACTGGTTTGCTCACATATGACTTTCTCTCAATGCAGTTAATCCTTTTTGCTTATTTTTTTTACTGTACCTTTGGCGGGGTCTGATCTCTCTATTGGGTTTTATGAATGTTATGAAATTCATAAAATGGTTAAGATATGATTAGTGTATACTTTTTTGATGTTAAAACTAGAGTCTCCAAATTTGGACACTACACCAACATGATCAATTGACTTTCTTATTTCTCTTTTCAGTGGGCTTATGCACTTGTTAAGGATGGGAAACTACTGTACGAGGCAGAGAAGTTCAAAAGGGAGTCCTTTGGAAAACTCTTTCGTAAGTTTCTCTTAAATGCTCATCCCTGACAGTAAAGGAGTTATTATTGGGCACAGTGTTCCTTTGAAATAACACACAAACACCACTCAAGATCACCGTTTTCATCTGTCTCCCTGTTTTTCCTTTTAGGGAAGTCTTTCCTTAGAAATCGGTTGTTTCGAGGACTTGATTCATGGCCTCCAACATCATTTTGTGTGAGTTAAAATTTTACACAGTTTGACCAAGATGGTTTTATTATGACTATTGCTCTGTTTGTTTATTTAACTGTCTATTCCTCTGGTCTCTTTATTTTTACTAATAGACACGAAAGCCCCGGAGATTTGATGATGAACTTCCAGACATCTCAGTTGAGGACCTGCAGTACTTGAAATCATGTTGTCCTGTGGAAGTGCAGCCTTTCCTTATGTAAGTCATCATCCTTAGATATTTACATGATTTTAATCTTTTAAATTAGTATGAAATGTAACTATATCCTGTAAAAGAGAGTAATCCTAAGTGATGGTCAGACAGTATGAGATTGAACGCAAAAATGAGATCTCTGTATATCGCCTTTCCTCTCTTAAAGACTTAAAAGAGGGGGTATTATAATTTTTTTAGACTCTACACCTCCTCTTTGACACCTCTTTATAGCTTTACATGATTTTCAGTGAAAATCAGAAAATCATGTAACTAAAGACTGGTCACGTTTTGCTTTCAAACACCCTGTTTGTAATGCCGATACTTACATTTTCTGCAGGTTACCCACAATGTGTGACTTTGAGCCCTTAAATCGCCACGTAGAGACACTTCAGCAGCTGGTCCAGGCTGCACAGAGTGTGGATGAGATGTCTCAAACTATAACTGACCTGCTGAGTGAACAAAGGGTAATTATAACTTCATGAATACTTTTATTTTGATCATTTATTGAGGTTGGCTGTGTTTTATAAACATTAAAAATGTATTTTTTTCTTAATGGTTCATAAATGCAGAATGAAATCTGAAACGATTGCCTCCTCGAGGAAGTATTCCCATCTGACCTGAGGACAATAAAGAATGTGTATCTATTCAGTTTTCTTCCTCTGTCCTGGTTTGCAGGCATCCTACAGTCAGAGTGCTCAGAGATCAACCGTGTTGACCCCTCAGTCTGAAAGCATACCTGGGACCTCGACACAGATGTCCTCCAAGACCCCTTCGTCCCTCAGCCTTCAAGGACCCAGTTGCCAGCCTCTACATGTTCCTGTCCCGGCTCCTCTGGAGGACTTATCCCCAGACAGCATAGATGCACAAACATTTGACTTTGAAACCATTGGCCATCCGAACATGGACCCGGTCCTTCAGCAGGGCTCCCTGGACTTGGATTCTCTAGCAGAGAGCCCTGAATCCGACTTCATGTCTGCCGTTAATGAGTTTGTGATTGAAGAGAACCTGACCTCTCCGAACCCCATAAGTGACCCCACCAGTCCTGAGATGATGGTGGAGTCACTGTACTCTTCAGTCATCAACGCTATTGACAACAAGCGAATGCAGGACACTACAATACTGGAGAGGGAGAACTCACGGATCGCAGTCCTCAAACAAGTGATTGACAAGTACCGGTCAGCTGCAGAGGAATCTCAAACAAATCTACGAAGTGTTAAGGAAGACCTCGGTCACTTTAGAGGCCTGGTATTAAAAGATCATCATGACTTTGGCTTTGCTTTGAGGAGTATGACCACAGAAGTGCAAAACATCGTGGACAACATCGCTCAGACTCATGAACTGGCGTTAAAAGAACAGCATCAAAGTGAGCTCCTTGCTGTTCGACAAGAGCAGGAGAAGCAAGTTCAGACACTAAAGGAGGAAAACCAAGTAAACCAGAATATTGTTCGAGACGTCCAGCGCGCTATGCTCGAGTTAGAGGGGCGAATGGAGCGCAAAGAGAAAGAACTCACTCAGCTGGAGAACGAGAAAGAGCGATGGGCTGAGACAGAGGGCCATCAGAGAGACAGGATCGAACACCTGGACCAGGTGATCAGCGATCAAGCCGAAGAGATCAAGACGCTCGCGGCTTCAAAAGACTCTCTCACCGGTCAGCTCGAGAATCTGCACTTTGAGATCGAACGCAGTCAGCAGAAGATCCGACAGGAGTTGGAGGCTGTTGAGCAGTTGCACTTGAAGGAGCTGGAGGACAGAATGAAGCAGGAACACCAGGCAGAACTGGAGACATCTACCAAGAACAACCAGGAAGCTCTGGAGCATCTGGCTGCTGAAAACAGTGCGAAGCTAAGCGAAGCAGCTGATCAACATGCACTTACACTCGGAGAGAAGGACAGTCAAGTCAAAGACCTGGAGGCCCGTGTTACTGAGCTGGCAGAACTCCGCTGCAAGCTCGAGGTGGAGCTAGCCCTCAAAGAGTCGGAGACAGAGGAGGTGAAGCGCTTACTGGAGGAGGCCAAGACACAGCAGGCTGAAGCGCTGAAGACCCAGGTCGAGGCAGAGACCAAAGTTCTCAGAGAGGAGCTGGTGGATCTTCAAAAGCAGCTTCAGGTAAAGAACGAGGAGTATGAAGTGGACCTTGCAGAGCTGAGGACTCTCATGAGGATCGAGAAGGACCACTGCATCTCTGAGTTAGTGGAGAGACACGAGGAGGAGACTATCCTGTTGCGCACCGAGCTTTCCTCCCTGCAGCAGCAATCCCAGGACGCTCTGAGGAACCACACCGAGCAGCAACAGAGTCTTAAGCAGGAATTAGACCAGCGCTTGGTCGCTCTGAGTGAGGAAAAAGAGAAGCAGCAGACAAGTTTCCAAGAACTGGAAGAAGAGTTGAGGACTGTTATCAGCAATTTGCAGGCCGAGAATGACCTGCTGTCCAACAAACTAGAGCAAGACAGGGGCAGACAAGCAGCAGAGAAAGATTGTGAGAAAGAGGAGGCCTCAAAGGTTACACCACCAGATGCCTTTAAAGAGTCAGAGCAGCAGAAACAGGAGATAAAGAGACTGTTAGACAAAATTAAACAACTTGAGAACGAGCTTCATGAAAGACAATCCTCTATAAGGTAAATATTTGACTATGGTGACAGTTGATGTATTTTTTCTGCTTACATTCACAGTGAAAGAAAATCTCAGATAAGTAAATGATCTGAAATAATCATAAAGAATAAATCGATAACCGTTCTTTGTCTTCGTGTGCTTGTTCGCACAGACGACACAGCGCTTTTTGCCAGAATTAATGTCAGTGTTTGCTTTTCAGCGATAAAGGCTTGCCGCTGCATGCTGAGGGCCATGCAGATGCTGGAGCACCTCTGTCTCTGGACTCAGCACTACAAGAGCGGCTGCAGTCCCAGATGGAGCTCATGGAGAAGAAAAAGAACGAGGAGATACAGAACCTCAAGACGTCGCTGATCGCAGAGCAGCAGGTTTGTGTGTGTTCGGCATGTCAATTTGTGGTATGTGCACTGTATCCTGCATGACTTAAATGTCTAGTTTTATTGTAAGACATATAACCACAAAGAAGCAATTTGAGATACTAGGTTTTGGGGATGAGCAATAAATTATCATTCATGATATATCGGCAGAAAAATCCTCCTTGATAAATATTTGCCATCTCATGATAAATACGATAAATGCAAGTTGATGACGTAAGCGCGAGCGACAGACTCGCAGCCATGGCCCACACAGAGCAGAATAACAAACAAACATGGCTGAAGGTAATGAAGAAGACGTTTCTGAGCAGCTTGCGACTGAACGAGGCTCCACATGAGGGATTTCCTTTAAGACTGGGGCTCAGATGAGCACAGTCAGTTATGCCTGACATCGGACAGTGGATCTGCTGCTGCTGTTCACTCTGGGCAGTAAGAGTCTTCAACACATGTTGTAAATGTTTTCACATTTGAGACTTGTGTGGTGTCATTAGTTTTCTCCATAACCTTCCACTCAAACTTGTGGTTGAGTATCTTATTTGACTATTCCAGCTGGTGTTCTCAAGACAAAATCAGTCAAAAATATAGATTGGAATTATATTTTTATAAACTTTAATCGCGACTTGAAAAGCGACTTTAATCGCTATCACCAGAATGGCAAATCTTGTTGTGATAAATTTTTTTGCCCATATCACCCATTCCCACTAGATTTGATCATAACTTTTGGTTTATCAGTGTCCTAAAGTAAATCAATATTCACTTCACCTTCAAGAGTTTGAAGGTAGGAATACTAATATTGTACAGTATACTCCTCATGTGTTATATTATAGGAGATAAACCATAGACTGTGGAAAACATGGACAAAGTATTCATCATGTCACTTCACTAATCCTGGAGAGATGTTTCAAACCCTGACGATGGCAGGTGTAATCTTGGAAAAGTCTGACTCAACTTGACTTTTAACCGACTTTGAAATAAAGCCAGCGTCATGACAGGCCTTTAACCTCTTGGCTAACAGCAATAAAGCACCACTGTGTTGGTCAACTTAGCTGTGGCCCTAATTAAAGCAACCTATGATGGATCTAACCCTTTAATACAATCTCCACAAATGGGCTTTAAAAATAAAAACACCCAATCATGGTGTGTTTGAATAAAAAATTATTTCCATACCCCAAATTCTTAATTGAGCCAAGCAAAAGACATTTTAATTGTGCTGGGCTTTTTAATGTGAGACCTAAGGGGAAATCCTCGGCTTCTATAGCAGCCAGTGCGCCCGAGGAACTCTATTTTTTTGCACTTAGCAAATTCTGGTTAATAGAAAAAAAAAACCCAAGGAAAAGCAAACATTGAATAAACCGTTGACAGCTATAACTCACATGGCAGCCGGCTTATCTTAATTTAAAGAATCTCCTTATGAATCATTTGTGCTTTGGCATGAATGCTATGAAGGAATCATGTTGGCAGGTAAATCTCTAAACTGTAATCTGTCACTTTTCCAGACAAATTTCAACACTGTTCTAACTCGGGAGAAGATGAAGAAGGAGCAGATCGTCAATGAGCTCACGGAGAAGTTACAGAAAGTGACCCAACAGCAGGAGAAAGACAAAGGTGAGGGCTGGACACACTCGAAACATTTCACAGGAGAGTCACGTTTTTCACGACTTAGGAAAGAAACTGTTGGTGCAAATCCTGACTCAGAACTGCTGCTGACATTTCTGCTGACAATTTCAAATGTTATAATATCTAATATTAAACGGTTAACTTCTCCTTAACTGTATCTTCTGAAAAAGAGCCATTCTGGTCAGTGCCCTTCACTTTGCCCTATTTAACTGTTTACAGCTCTGATAGAGACGCTCTCTGAGGACAGAGCCAGTGTCATGCAGGAGAAGAAACACTTGGAAGAGGAGCTGAACCGCCTGCGCAGCACCGCTCTGATCTCCTCCACAGTCTTCTCATCTAACCCCGCGGCTCAGGAGGTCCCCGAGGCTGGAGCTGCAGCAGCAACAGCTCGAGCTCTGCCTGTCGCCGGGGCTTGTTCCTCCGAGCCCACGTCTGAAACTGAAAGACTGGCTTCTGTGGCAGCCATTCGAGAAGACGAACATGTTGATTCAGCGGTGGAGGCCAGCATGGTGACAGTCCAGTAAGCAGCTTCTCTCTAATAAACAGGCTTTTGTAGACAGTGTGGGTAAAGTTGTACTTCTGTGGGTCTCTCCTTTCATACTTTTTATATAGACAAAAAATATAACAGGTTATGGGAATGAGTTAGGTTTTGACAAGACATTGATATTTCTTGTCTTTGCTGACATGAATCTGTTCTACTCTGCAACTTAGTTTTTGGCCAAGAATCGTGCATTTCAAGTGTGAAACAATGAGACATACAAAATCGATATGAGCTCACAGATCACTTTGAGGACTGTTTATGAAGAGGTGACGCACAAAGATTCTCCATCACACTGTGTTTTTATAAAATCATGTTAAACTGTGAAGCTGGAGGCACAAAGATTTAAGTTTGAGTTTAGGTTGAACTTAAGATGCAAAGTCTTTGATATGTTTTAATATCTTTTTTGCTCTGGCTGCAGAATTTTACTATTTTCTTTTTTTTTTACTGAAGTACATTTGCACTAGAACTTGTAAACATCCCTGTTTTTGTATCCTACTTTTCTAATGTAGCACTTTAAGTTCAGATACACATAAATCTAAAAGTATTGATAATTCAAATCCACAGTCCTCACTCAGACCAGGAAACAGAAGCACTTATAGCTGGTTTGTGGTTTGTGGGTTTTCAGTGAATCGACTCTCTCAACAAGCCATCTTAAATCACACTGAGTTTTAATTCTATTTTATCTGTCTCTACCTTTTTACCTATTGTGCTGTGAGCTTCAACAGTGGTTACCTCTTTTTATCCGTGCGTGTGTCTGGCGAGTGTTCTCATTATCTGAGCGTAGATCACAGCATCTCTCAGGGAAATATGCAAAGCAGTCCCCTTGCATGTCCTAAGAAAACAAAAGTAAAAAGAGCCTTGAGTATTCGCTGCATTTTATTTTGATGCTGCACTTGAGACAATGTGTGAAAGTCTTTGAAGTTCCTTGATAAAGAAAACAATTTCCCTGTTATATATGCACTCACTGCTCTGCTCTTGCTGCTTTGCCCAACAAGGAAAAAAGTGATTCTACAAAGATCAGGGTCTGGGTTCACCAGCGGGTTGGTCTTATCCCGTACATCAGATTAGTTGACTTAAACTTACAGAGTGCTCCAAGTTAGAGTGAGAACAGTTGTAGCTGTGCCTGGTTTTATCACACCATCCAAGTGAAAATTCCCAGAGTGGTAAGTGTTCTTAAATTAACACACTTCTTTCCTCTGTCCCTTTCCACTAAAATCTCTACTAAGTCTGGATAATACAAACCTAAAGACGTTAAATACAGATATTTAAATATAATAAAATGTTCCCACTCGTAAACGTAACATAAACATCAAAAAAAGCTATCCACAAGGAAATTGGTAATGTCCACAACTTCAACAGACAGAAAAATTTAAATATTTGAAGAAGAGTTTTTATTCTTTCACGGGACTGGACAGCTCATAAAGCAGTCAAAACTGTCAGAGCTGTGTTACTGTCTGACACTCGCTGTGGACTAAAGTCATAGTGAAGTCATTATATTACACGAATAAAGTAATAAGGTTACGCACTGATCAAGGTATCCACCTTCACAACAGCAGTAACATAACGGTAATGACCTGAAATACAACTATCTCATAAAATATCATCAGAGGATTGATCTTTTTCCTCTCCACTGTCAGACTTTAATCCTGAAATACAGAAACCTTTACACCTTTTGACACAGTTTCATATCACTGTTATCAATCATATGTTAACATAATGGAAACAGACAGTATAGTTCAGTTGTTGTGGACATTTTTCAGTGGATGAAAGGAAGGAAGGAAGGCTAGAAGTGGAGGGTGTACGTTTTTTTCTTTATTTTTTTGTTTGAACTGAAAATATTGATCATGTTTTACTTTAATCTGTTTTAGTTTGAAGTTTAGATTGTGCATTTTCCAGGTTAATCTTGAAACAAATGTTTTCTTTTGTTGCAGTGATAACATCCTGATGTCAGAGGAGAAGCAGCGGATACTCTTACTAGAGAGGGTAAATATTGTGTCTATCTCTTCGATTGTTCATGAAAGCATAAAGACGTGTGTTTTAGGATGTCTCCATGTGTTTAATCAATGTCATGTTTGTTACAGACTTTACACATGAAGGAAGAAGAAAACAAGCGCCTCAGTCAAAGACTGGTCAGTGACTTGTATTTCTCCGGGCCATTTAACATCTGCTCCACAAGGTGGCAGTAGCATCAAAGAGTAAAATCCTGACCCAGGAGGCTAAAGAGCTCAGACAGGAAAAATATTTTTTTAAGGAAGAGAGTCATCAGAATATTTAGAGGGGTGAATTTAAGGGGAATTGCATGCTGGAAGAAAAACTTATATACTTATCTCATGAAAATGTATTTTTTTGTTTAAAAAAACTTTTAAACAGCCTAAATTTTTTCATGTCTTAGAACTAAAATTAGACAAAGGTTTATTAGTGAAAACATGGGTGTAGGTGACAATATTGTTTTCTGATTTAAACAGAAACCCAAGAGGAAAAATTGTACAATTTATTCATTAGCATTGGAGCCAGTATTGTGAACCCCTCTGTGTAACATGTGTAACGTTGCCCTAATCCTTTCCTTTGTAGATGTCTCAAAGCATGTCGTCTGTGTCTTCACGGCATTCAGACAAAATCGCCATCAGAGAGTAAGTGAAAGACAAAATAACACATGGCCTTTATATGTGTGCTTGTTGATGTGATTTCTTTTTTTTTTTGCCTTTTTTTTTGCTTTTAGCTAAAACTCTGACCACAATTTAATGCAGTATAATTATACACATTATTGTATAATTACCATTAATGTGTTGTCCTTTTTGTTATTAGTTAGCAGTACTCTGTGTCATCATCCCTTTATCTCTTTGTCCATCTTTGTGTGCTGCAGTTTCCAGGTAGGCGATTTGGTCCTAATCATCCTGGATGAAAGGCATGACAACTACGTGCTGTTCACAGTTGGTCCCACCCTCTACTTCCTCCACTCAGAGTCTCTCACTGCACTGGACCTCAAACCAGGTCAGCTCCTCACACACCTTTTTGTAAACCATCATCTGAGCGGCACCTCATGTGTTTTTGGAAATGTACTAAAGAAATAGATTTTGCCCCTTTAATTGTTGTTTAAATATCATATTTTAGACAGGAATGTATTTAGAATAAAGTTGCCCTAAACGCTATGAGCTGTATGTGTTTCTTAAGAGAGAGGGTGCTGTGTTTTTGCTCTAAATTGCCTATCAAAGTGTATACATTCAATTGTAGATGGTATTAGTGGTGTAATTATTGGATGATAATTTGTTAAACAAACTGATTTTTGTTGCTCAGCATCAGGGACCTCGAGACGGCCATGGGTACTTGGGAAGGTGATGGAGAAGGAATATTGCCAGGCAAAAAAGGTACTCCGGATGTTTTCAAGTGTTATTAAAGTTTTAGCAGAACTGACAACCCCATATATTGACATATAGGAACTTATACATTTTTACTGACAAATCCCCGGCTTGCATTTATTTTTGAACACATGCACCAGTATTTGGTTAAGCACAGCCTCCTCTCTGTCTTACAAAGCTCTCTTTTGTGTCTTTTTTGCAACTCCAGGCTCAGAACAGGTTCAAGGTTCCTTTGGGAACCAAGTTCTACAGAGTGAAAGCTGTTCCATGGAACAGGAAAGTATAATAGCGAAGTAATGAGCTAAATGTATATTTATATTGCTTAATTTTTGAACAGAAACTTCACATCATAATTCATAACTTGAAAACTGAAAGATCTTCAAATGGAAAGAATTATGATCATCAACATGCTCTTTTTAGTTTCAATTCAAAACCCCACCTGCTACCACATCTTCTGTTTTCTTTGAAACCCAGATTTGTTATTGTGGACCAAATGCTATTAACTTTATTAGGGCATTGCCCTATACACTGTGGCATTATGCCATATGACCTGTGTGTAAAATTGAACAAAAATTTGGATGTTAAATATTAGTTTTCATTATCAGCATTTGTCCTTTTGTGGAAAATACTGTGTCATTATCAACATAATTAAATGAAAATATACATTTATTATAAATGTTTATGGAGGAATGTTCATGGCATGCATATTGATATATTTTCTTTGATTTACTTATCCAGATAAATGTTGTAGTTGGAAATGTAGTTAATGCTGTTTGTTACTCACAAAGCAGTGTGGCCCTCTGTCAATACTGAAATGTACATTATGGCTGACTGATGAAAAAACAGTCATCTTTGCAATCCTTGAAATGCACTTTCAAAAACAATGCTTTTATTGATTTGAAAAGGGAAGTTAATTGAGCTGTCAGAACTAAGTAAATATATCAGCACAAACTTCTCACTATCATAGAATATTGATATGTAGAAAGGAATATTTGTGACTGTGTTTCATTATCAGAGGACATTGTACATTACCCATCAAATCACACATGTAACAATAAATGACTGTATTGTAAAAGATAGAGTTTTGAAACAATAAAGGATTGATCCCAAACATACTTTTCTGGTTTGATGACGGCTTATTATTGTCTCTCCACAAATTAATATATATGTGAGCTTTCATGAGACTCTACCATATAATATTTAATGGAAGTTTTCTGAGCACACACAAATAAATAATAATTTAGAACAATTGATAGGTAACAGCTAAGTTTCACAAAGACTCACATGCCTGCTGAGATTCTCCCATTAACTAATGAGAAACCTTTTTTTTTTCCAAGCTTGCCATATAAAATAATAAGGAAAAATACACATTAGTGCCTTTAGGACATATATAGCTTTTTTAATGATGCTTTAAAAAATTTCTGGGGGATTCAGGAGTCAATGTGGAATAGCACAGTATAGTGTATTCATTTGATTTTGCATTTTTGCTTTTGTGGAAACATTAATGTTGGCACGCTGCTGCAGGAAACAGACTTCAAAAAGGCTTCAAATCGGGGCCCAAGAACGATGCGGCCCTCATGGAGAAGGAAGCCCACCAACATCACTTTCCCAGTTCACAGCGGGGAGCATAGCAGCTCTCCGCCGAGCACTCTCTACCATGTGGGTCTAGGGGTGTTTTAACAATGTTTAGCTCTATTTTCTCCATTTAGCATAAGCCTGTTGTCACATTTGGATGGCTCCTTCATAAATTGATGGTGTGATTCCTACAATTTCGGGACAGGCCTGAATGACAAAATATGCAACACAACATTCGATACCGAGGTGGCTGGCAAGCACTAACCATGTGCACTGGACAGGCTCTTAGTGTAAATGTTTACAACCCCCCACTGAGCTCAGTGCTGCTGGGAGTCACTCTCATCAGGCTGAATGGGATTGAACATTGCCATGTGCAGTCTCTAGCTAGTTCCTCCATTAAAACTGCCTTTGACGTGCCATCAAACTTCTTTCTATAGCACTTGACTACTTATCCTCAGTGCTGTTTCATGAAATTGGCTGTTTTTTGGCTGTTTGTGTTGCTAGTAACAATAAAATGTCTATGTCTTTTTTTTACTAGAATATGTAATTAAGCTGGAATTTATAATTGGATTTTTAAAAATTGCAATTGTTATTAAAAAGCACATTTGCAAACTTATTTGTAGTGTTTTAGAGTAAATATAAATAATTTATTTTAAGGATCTTGTCAAAGATAGAGACAACTAAAAATAAAAGCTCATATAAAAATAGTAAATTGTACAAATTCGGATGGTTATGAACCCAAACTTACACATAATAAAGGTTAAGCATACATACATATGGTTTTATATACATGTAAACACATATAGACATATCACTCAGATGTAATTGTTAAAAAGCTTTTAGCATAAATATGTCAACAAGGAATACTTATTTTAAGTGTGCTCTAACAACACAGCATTAACCCTCTTTTTTTTACTCATTTGGGATCAATTAAGTATCTCTGTGTGTATCTTTAATATTCTAATAACCTTTAAAATAACAAACTTAACTTTATATACTTAAAACTGAAGTGATGTTAATTTAAATCGACTCTAAATTGAAGCACAACTTCACATTGACTTTTATGACAAGCAATCTCTAGAGACAGGTTAGTTCAAATCCACCACTTTTATCACTATCATGCAAAATAATCAAATCACTTTTTTTTTTTTTTTCAACGTAGAAAAGCACAAATTCATCACAAACACCTCACAACAACAGTATGAGGACAGGTTTATTAATGCAGCTTTCAAATGCTATCAGCTGAAATTCAAAGACACATTATAACAGCCTTTCTCTGCGTGTCAACATATGCTGGAGGCACTAAATTAAGGTTTAGATGAGTAAATGTGAAAAATCAAAATGATGTCAGAGACAACTCACAAAGAATGTCACACAGTCTCAGATCTCACCCTTTGTTACTGATATCCTCTGTATTTGAAGATAATACACAAGTTGTATTTGATTTTCCAATATCTCTGACACTATGCTAGATAGACGGAGCTGCGAATAAACAAGCATTATTTGTAGAGTAAATATATTCATGAACTTCAAATGGTGGATAAATGAAAATAAATAGGAAAGCCTTAACATAACATTTTTATTTTCGAAATCTAAATGGAACGAGTGTGTTGAAGAAGAGCCAAGAGGCATTAAGGCTGAAACTGCAAACCAAGGAGTAAATCGACTTAATGCCATCACATTTCCACCCTATTCATGCCTAAGAAAAGGGTGAGGGAAAGAGATTAGGTTATATATCTGCTGTCAGGCACTGAAGACACCAAGAAGAGAACTTCACCTAAACAGAATGATGATCAAACAGACATGCTTTAACAGACATGCTTCATAATCTCATCCCGCATTGTCCTCTCTCTGCCTTGAGTACAGGTTCAGTAGAAAATCTTAGACAGGGGCAGATTAAATGTGTGATGAAATGTCTGAGAAATATGTGAGGATGCGCAATATAAGGATGCTTGATTTTCTACCCACATGACGAACATAATCACTATTAGTAACACATATCCACATAAATATGATAATTCAAAATTTAAACACATTTATTGGGTTCATATTGGAAATCATCACGATCTGATGGCATAGTTTTATGGATAATTACCGCCATAGAGATAATGCAGCATATGAAAGGGAAGCTTTGAGGCTTCTCCACTCTCTGGGAGGAGAGTGCGTAGGTTTACTGGTGCATCTGAGCTGTTCCCAAAAGGCAAATATGTGGAAAGTTTGGTGACAAGCATCCAGGCGTGTGGTTAACAAGATTGCATCTGCCGAGCAGAAAGTGTAGGATATCACTTAACTCTGTATTTAAAGGGCAAATTATTTTCACATTAAGTTCAATGCCGTCAGTAATCCTTCCAAATATAGACAGAACTATTTCATTTTCAGGAGGAAAATAATTATTCAAACACCCTATAGTGCAAATCCCATTAATTTAGTGCATGACACAGTTTTTGATTCCCTACCACAAGACAAAGCGAAGAAGAATCCAGTAAACATTAAAATCTGTTGTCTTATTTTGGTAATCTGGCTGCTTACTGACAAGTAAATAATCAATACAAATAGTTCTGAAGTGTCTGAAAATAGACGGGCGATTTAAACTGTAACTAACAGCCATGCATTTTCCAGCTGCAGTGCAGTATTGAGGAAATGACACCAGCTTTGATGGGTTGTATAGCTTTTGAGATGAGCCTCTTTATGCCGCTTGCAGTTCCATTATGGCTTTGTTCGAAAGCTTGTTTACCTGCTGATAACATACACTGGTGGATTCAGGAGCACCGATCCAAAATCTGCTGCCAAAGTCACTCAAGTCTCATTGTACTGCAGGAGGGGAAGAATGAAATGTTTATGCGGAGGGGAATGCAAATGCTAAATGTGAAATCAAACTATGGGACCAATAAGGGATCAGAATAACTTTGCCAGGTTTTATTTTTAGCCCAGTTGCAATGCTAGCTTTGTGGAACACTCTTTCAGTTTAGCCTCTGTGCATCTGTGTGCTTAGGTTTTACTCAGAGGAGAAATGCTGCTCCAAATTCACTAAAACGCTCAAACTTTAGATTATCATTTTTTCAGATAGGCTGTGTGAACATAACCTGATTCACTCACCCTTCATATTACTTTAATCAAACTGACATCATGTGTTTGAAGAAAAAGCCTGAATAAGGTACTGTCTGTTTCTGATAATATTCACTATCAAATAACCAGCAGATCAAAAACTGCTCATCAAATCTCATCGAGCTACATCACTTGGATTTTTTGGATTTCACTGTTAGAAAAGCTATGGTCTCAGGTCAAAGGAATAGCCCCTTGGTTTGCATATTAAAGAGGATTCGCTAGACCTCTGTTAGCCATGCATCCCCATGCAGGCAGGTCTCCAGGGGGCCAGCAGGGCCCCACAGACGGGGAACTAGGGGGCCAGGTGACCCTGTCTCTGAGGTTAGCAGGAAACACTAAAGAGGGATGGGCAGGGAGCTGAGGAGCCACTGAGTGCGAGTGTGCAAGGCTGGTGATGGCAGCTGTCAATGGTTTGGAAGGAGAAGCAGACAGATTGTGCGTTCTGTTGGTGCAGCCAGTTCGCCACCTGGCAGGCTTTTCCTTGTTAGAACTTCTTGCTGTTTCTGTTCTCATCAGAGAAATGTTTTTCCTCTTATCCTCTGTGTTCAGGGGAAGTTAAATTTGTCAAAATGTTTAAAGATGTTTAGAGAAATGCAATTGTTTAAAGTATGCTTTGTGCATTCTACACATTTGCAGCTGCTCTTGTTTTTGATGAAAACAGATTAAAAAGGCTATATCTCTGAATGCAAACCGAGGAGATGAAAAAAGCACATGCGCAATATGGGAATTTAGAGGATATGCCTTGACCCTGTGCTACAATATGTAACTGTGTTTTGAAGAAAGCGGGTATGTTTTAAGGGGATGGATTTACTTATGAAAAATAATCTGTAACTTTCAAATCCCATCAGAGCCGTAAATACTACTCCGTGCTGTTCAGTTGTTAAGAAAAAAGCCAACGTAAACCATGAACAGCTTAAAAGTACATTTAAAAATCAAATTTGGCAGTCAGTCCTTGTTCCAACAGGATTAAAAAAAAGTCTTTCATTTGATATAAATATATGCAAAGAGAGTGGTGTGGTGATCTGGGTGCCAGAGGTGGCGCTTTACTCTGGATATTCTGGCTTGGGCCTGTAAGGGACATAAATTAACATGAATTAACACATGCATGCAATAAGAAAATAATTAATTCAAGTTATCAGTCACCTCTTCCATTCCAGGAATCTGATTGACAAGATAAAGTAATGTGCAAACTGCTTTTCAAAGCTAACAGCCTGGAGCACCCCTCCTATTAGTTAGTCATTCCCTCAGTATCACACCCGGAATCTGTCATTTCACAATTTTCTCCTATAATGCATATGTGCCGCTCTCACCACTCCACTACAGCAACTGCCATCTAACAAGTTGACACAGAGAATGATACAATTCACGTCCAGTATTCAGTTCCATATACAGCAAGCATCTGAGGCAGACGGGTCAAGAATATGGTACATTCTGTTCTCTCTCAAAAATGCTTTTCCAGGACTCTAAAGAAGCTCGATAAACCTTCCACGAGATCCTATGAATACCTACGATGAGTTTTTTTTTTTTGCTTTGAAAGTGTAAAAATCGCTTGCACTGCCAAATTATACTGTACCTTTTTATTAGACTCACACCAGTTATCTTTAAAAAATTCTCACTGTGATTATCTTACAAGTTTAAATATTCACTTTTTAAACCAACAGGTCTCCTAAAGGGGTATTGTATGTTTGAAAAAAGACCACATATTCACAATACATTAGAACCCCTGCATCATAAATATGAGGGTACTTATATCATGTGGCATCCTAAAGGACGGGATGTCAGTCAGGAATAATAAATAAATGAATAAATGTTGAAATAGAAAAATTCTAGTGAAAATGCCATTTTCTAGAAATAAAATCAATGCTATTAAAATATTACAAACTCAGGGTTGCAGAGCGCAAATTCACTATTAGGATTGCATCAGTAAAGAGGTAGCTACATTACTGGGGGTCTTATAGGTTGTGTATTTTTTAATAAGCATAACATATGTATCAGTATCCAAATCCAGTAAAGACCACGTGGAAAACTTTGGATAATAAGGTAAGGTAAAGTGTTCTCAACCCGAAACATGTTATTGATATGTAAGCTAGCCTAGCCATTTAGCCAAGAGATAGCGAGCAAAGCCATTTTTGTTTTTTTAATTATTTTTTTTATATTTGTAAGTCACATCAGGAAATTATTATAGGAAATAATATGCGAAAATATGTAACTGTAATCAAAAAAGTTAATGCTGTACTCGATTTCTTTCGATAAATACGGTATCTTTATCTGTAAGCTAGTTTAGTTTGGTATTTAAAGTGGCCCATCCTTTCTGACTGTTTGGCCATTATTAACTTGCTAAAAATAAAGGTCGTTGACACAGTAAATTTTAATCTTCTATTTACTATTTTAATGACGTTTAACGTTAGCCAGCTCTGCTTGGTGCAGAAGTAAGCCTATCTTTAACATGCAATTCTTTAAACATTGTTGTAGTACATTTTTATTTTATGTGTGTGCTTTCTACTCTCTTATTTAACCAATCCACTGTTGTTTGTCTCAAGTTTCTCCAGTTCAGTTTACGTAAAATTAAGTTTGCAAGCAAGTTTGTCAAGCTAGCAGGCTAGATAATTAAGCTAGCTAAGTAAGAAAGGCTGTGTTTGCTACATCTTTGCGCTTAATTCATTAGCTTGTTAGAATTAGGTTAAAATATGCGTCGAAGTCTCAAGTGACTCATGCTTTTGCAGTGTTATGTGTTACTGTTTCTTTAAGAGCCTATTCATATTTCTATACCCTTAGTTTGCAGAAAGTTTAACTTTGTCAAATTGGCTCTGGGTTTATAAGGTATGACCAAATGTGCTGTACAAAACAATCAGCTAACCAAAATAGCACACATGCCTCGGTTTGAGTTGAAAGAAGAAGGAAAAAAAAAGATTTGAGAGGAAGACAGTGTGCACAAAAGTTGTTCTGTAGCCCCTGAGTGTGGTGTCAGCCGGTCCCAGTCCCTGCAGCCCTCACCGTGCACTGTGCAGGCCTGACGGGAAACTGACCGCAGCTCAGGACATGGCCTCGTTTGTTCACGGTCCCCCCTCACTGAAAAGAGTTATGCTGTCTGTTTTGAATGGACAGCGTTTTTCTTTGTGTGCTCGATCAAAACAGAGAGCAAAGTTAGTCAGCAAGTTGCATAGCTTCTGCATTCTGATTCTTCAAGCCTCTTTTGTATGAAGTTTAGCACAATGTTTTACACAGTGTCTGACCTGAATGGCTTGCTGGAGGTAGGAACATTTTTCCCAACTACAAAATAGAAAGAGGTAGAATATATTTTTGCTATTAAAAATAACCCATTCGTGTTTGTATTGTAGAACTAAAGCAGTAAAAGGATGATATGTGGTGAAAAAAACTCTGCTGTAATACAAAAAATTACTGAGTGCAGTATTGCTGAAATATTTATATGCTTTTATCTGATCTATTTCCTAACCACAAGGTATTTGCCTGCGAATCCCTGGCACTTTTGATATTACCTGAAGGCAAATGGTATATAGATTTATACAAGTTATTTACAACAACAGCCAAGCCATTCCTCTGGAAACTAGGCTGCAGATCAAAGGATTGTTTTGATCTCTACTTAGCATATTTGTTTAACCTAGCCAGTGATTCTGAAAAGTGCACAAGCTTTTCGGTGATATGCAGAGCACCCTTTATCCGTCTTTTTCTTCTGTTAGCTCTGGATTTAAGTACTTTCTGTATTTAGGAGACAACTGGATTTGCCAGCTTTTGAAATTTAGTTGCCCACTGCTAGCAGTCTTGGCACTCAGAAATAGATAACTAGGTATGTTCCACTGCTAATCCTGATCGGCCTTGTAATAGTATTTGTGGACTGTACAGCACTCAATTAGGGCATAATGTGCTATTTTTATTTCCTTTAAGTTGGATTAAATGTGAAAACATGTTTGTTTTTTCCCGTTCTCCTCGACTGTTTACTGTGTGGGTACTTTGCAAAGTATTGTTTTATACTGTTTCAATCAGCAGCACTCTCTCCAGACAGGATTGCAAAATGTCAGGAGAAAAACAATGTCCAAACGCTCTCTAAAAAAGATGCCAGGGCAATCAGGAAATTTTCTGGAATGCTTAAGAGAATGCATATGCACACAATGCCCTAATTCTCCCTTACTTTGGGTTTGGGAAAGATGAGCCCAGGTTTATTGAGAGCCAAAAAAGGGGGCAGATGGCTCACAAGAGGGATAAACCTGGGAAGTCATGCTGTAAATGTGTTTTACAGAAAACAATGAAAGGAGCGGACAAAGCGATTGTGGCAAAGTCCTTTGGAAAATGGAAAAGCAGCTCTCTAAGGTCCAGGACCATGGAGAAGCCGGATGAGCCGTCCGAGGAGAGTAAGGAGGAGAGCCTTTCCAACTGCACCTGTGAAGCCCCCCAACTCGGCAAGAAACCAGTTGGTAAAAGTAACATATTTCCTTATTTCTACTACATTCAGACTAATCTGTCTCTAAGCTTATTTTTCTTGTTGCAGTGTTAATTATTACTGTGGTGACTTGCTTTTTTTTTTTTTTTTCGTTTTCTGTTTTTTTTTTTTTTTTTTTTTTTTACATTGACTCTATGGCCTGCCATATCCGGTGAACAAACAAACCACATTGTTGGGCAGGAGAATTCCTTTTGAGGGAAAGTGTGTCTCCGATGATACAGTGTTGCCAGAAAAAGACAAAGCAAAAAATAGCAAACACAAAAACAGTCACAGGTGCATGGGAAAAAGAGAGAAGCGAGTGAATGGTCACTGCGGTCCCCAGGAGGTCTTTCAGTGTTAGCCAGTGCGGTGGGTGGACTTCTGACAAGGACGTTGGTTAGCAGCCAGGTGGAGTGTGTAACTGAGAATGCCTCTGTTTATTCTTTTCACATGCTAATGTGGCTCCTATGTGACTTTAATGCGGCAAAACTTTTTCTTGGAGTTAACATTTTTGTTGTCGAAATACCTGCTACTGTATCACAGCAGTGGGCTGATTCAAAGGCAAAATTCTCTTTTATATAGGTTTGGGACTCTGCCAGGTATGGGGATGTATTTAATAGGCTGCATGTAAAGAAGGATTTACAACGGTGGAAAGTTTTTAGTGCAAACAGGTACAGAGTTGTCTCAATAAATCCTGACAAATACTCAAGTTAGAGACTTTCAAAGCATGTAGGCCTGCTTTGACATTTACACTGGATCTTTGGAGGATGCAGCCGGTGGTGTAGCATTGATGTCGACTCAGATTAAGGCGAATAGACACTTGGCTTTTGTATCGTATTTATGTTTCTTTCTGATTTGCGGTCTATGCAATTTAAAATATGGATCATAGTTTTCAAAAACCTGACATCAGGCATCTGACTCTATAATGAAAGTCTGCATGAGATCCCAAGTTCTGAGCAAATGCACCCCTATGTGGACAAAGTAAGAACAGTGGGGTATTTAGATGAAACAAAAAGTCCATGCAGTATTTATCAGTCTACTGCTTCGCTTTCAATCCATGTGTTCTGACTTGTTAGTGTAATAGGCCATCAATACTGCAGTAAACATACTCTAAAATGTATCTTAAGCTCTCATTAGCAGTTCATGTGGCAGCCTCATGTCTAATCCGGGAGCACAGAGGAGAGCAATATGGCCTCACGTTATGGTTCGTTCTATACCTTGTAGAGTACAATCTGTAAATAGCATAAAAGGCATTGCATCTGCCATCTGCACTTCTAGGAACTCTTCTGCATAGCCATTAAAACAAGCTGTCTCAGAGGACATCATTCGTATTTCAGCCTCAACCCTGAATTACTGTGTGTTCATTATAATTATAAGGGAGGAGTGTTGCCAGGCTAGCCCGCAGAATGCCAGGTGCACACTTCCATAATCTACCATTTTAAACAACTCAGAGCATTAACAACAGTATCTACATGCTATTCAGCCATTAGTTCACTCTGGCTTTCATGCTGAAACTCACATCAGTCAACCCAGCATTTTGTATACGCCGCAACACACATCATACAGGAAGGAAGTGCAATACTTTGTAGTGTTCCAGTTTCCTAAGCCTGCTTAGGTTATGTGACTGAGCCATGCCGCTGTGTGAAATTTTATCCCGATACTGGCACTGTATCCTTGTGAGGGAGTCTTGTAAAATAGGTTTACTTAGCGCCTTTGCTGGCATTTTCCGAAGATAGCAAATGCACAAACACTGTCCATGATCGGATTAACTGTTCAACAAAATGATGTAACTCTTTGTCTTTCTTGTGTGGCATAGGTTTCTCTGCTTAAGTTTAGTGGTCATCCTGCAGAGAATAGACACATTTGAAATCCAGTCACATCATTATAATCCATATATTGTGAATATAATAGATGACAGCCCTGGTTAGTCATCCTTTGTCACATAAATGTGACATGTGACTGCCCAGAGTGAATCACTCACCCTAAAAAAAAATGCACACAAACACACACACACATATGTACACATATACACATACACACTAGATTTTTCAAGATTCTGCTCCAAACTGTGCAATAACATTCCTTAATTAACACAAGTCCTAATTTGTAAGGCATTTAATTTTGAACTTAGCCCGATGTTCCTCTCCAGTGTTGAAGCGCAGGATTTAAATTGCATGTGATAAGTGTGAAAGATGTTTTTAAGCAACCATGTACAGTATAAAGTACGCTATGCCAAGTACACAGAGAACATGAATTTGCACCTGAGGACATATAGCTATACATCCAGAGTCACAAGGTATGTCAAGACAAAATGTTAATTACACAATTTATGACAGAAATCTTTTGAAATATCTCCACGGATCTCGCTTATTTACATTTTAATTACTACTATTACTTATTCTTATTTTTTGGATGTGACCATAGCAAGCCCAATTCCTCCCCTACACTAGAAAGAAGCAAAATGACTGTTTTCCACTGGAGGTTTAGATGCTTGTTTATCACTTTTAAATACCATCATCTTTGCTGAAATCCCCTCTCAAAAGAACCTTTCACTTGCTGGAATAAATTCAAATTAAAATTTAAATCCCTCTTTGCATTTCTTCAGCCTTTTTTAAAATAGCTGCCTCCTTTTAGAAAGCTGTTTATGTAGTGATCTGTTCATAATCCAGTTTGTTTCTCAACAGCGAAAAACACAGAAATCGTATTATCACTATCTTGGAGAGATGATGCGAGAAATCAGGAAGTATAAATGTCTGGATCTGGGGAAGTTTTCAAAGTTGTAAAGCTGAAGAAAATGGCAAAAGCCTCTCGATAAAGTAGTCACTAACACTTGCAATTTGACTTGCAAATACACAGAAAAATAAAGTACATTGTGCCCTGATAACTCCAAAACATTCCTCCAACCTTTAGCACGGCTCGTGTGCTGATAAACAATATGTGCTCATTCAACAAATACACAACATTTTGCATTTAAGAAAACACGTCGAGTGTATTTCTCATGCACTATAGATAGATGTCTTATCAGAAATGTTGATGTGTGACATACTACTGAAGTGAGAATTGGAAGATTAAACGTTGGCACTGTGGCTGACAAGTCATGTCTGTAAACAGCTCTCTTTCTAATACAAGGAGCTCACCTTCTATTACGCTGAGAAAAACAATATCTAATCAGAAATTTGTAACAAATATAAACACAAAAAGCAGACATTTACATGCAATGCCTTTTGATAACAATCCATTTCAGATCTAAAATGACGCAGAAGAGGCCATAGGGAAATTTAATTTGCCTGAGCTAGATTGGATTTATTGTTTGGAAACAAATTATAATTGTGTCTCCACAAAGTTAACCAAGATCTAAACAAAAGGAAATCAATGACCCACCCCCATTAATCACTCAAAGCCAGCTACTTGTGCTGAAGAAACTTACTTCATAATCAATGTCTTTGTTTTGCTCAAAGGGCATTTGCATTTTAGTTCATGTCAGCAAGCTTCCTGTATCTGGCGCAATCAAAAACTGCAAGCCATTCACATTAATGGAGTTTTTTTTCTATTTATTCAAGTGCATATCTCTGAATACTCAAGATGATTTTAGCTTATTATGCAAACTACCCAACAAATATTTTGAAAACAGGAGAACAAAAAATAAAAAAAATCTGATGAAAGGCAGACTTAACTTTAGTGAGGCTTTTGGTGCTTTCAGTGTCACAGTAAAACATGTGTTTCTTTAGTGTTAATGACCACAAACAAACCAACATCTCCTTAAGATGTTGCATTCGAGCACCCTCGGGACTTTTGAGACCAGACTGAAATGCCTCCCGTTATCTGTGTCTAGACATACTATTACGGCCACCAAGGTCATTATCAAAGCTCACATTATACACACCTGTTACCATTGTTTAGATGCTCGGTTTTTGGCTGAACATCCAAGCTCCTATCTGGCCACTTATAGGCGTGTCTGCTTCATTGTCTGCCTGCCTGAGTGGAAAAGATGGGCAGGGACCCCCAGAGACGCACAGATCTGGACCTAACCTCTCAATGACACAACACAATGGGTGCGCGGCCTCTGAACTACAAAAGCCAGATATCGGCTGACCAGTCAGGCATTGATTTCTCAGATGTGAGCAATCAGATAGTGTCGTTTTAGGGCTGTCAATGTAAAGTAACCAGCCATGACTGTTAATGACCGCTGCTCTTAGTTGTTATTGAGAAAGTAGACAGGAATTATAGGTAACCTTTTATTTCTATTGAGTCAGAGAAGCTGCAAAAACTATTAATATCCTTAGAAGATGCTAAATATTAAATCACATTTAACTACATCTTTTTTTTTTGTTCAGTCCCATTAGTGTGGGCTAAATATTAAAGAAAAAAAACAAGTAAAGACCAAAAGTAACAATTGGTCACTACTGGTCCCCCCTTAGTTATGTATATAGATGTAAAAAGTTAGGGAATAAAACCATCTTCCATCTGCTTTTATCAAATCATGTTGATGTTATAGACTTTAATGAACACATGGGCTACAAATAGCCTTCATTTTCATTTTCACACCATAAAAGTCAAAGTTTGGTGTCGTAGTACATCTTACAAATTGAACTTTGGTAAATCCGTCTTAATCAAACACTCCAATTTTTGGGCAAACAGGAACTAGAAGTAACCCGGGGTTACTAATGGTCCTTGTAATCCCCACCACTGGTACTGATGAGGTACTTGACTTGTATTTTTGTAACATGTAATGAAAGGAGTTATAAAACACAACCAGTTTAAATAGCCTTTTTCAAACCATTTGGGCAATGCTTTTAGACTTATGTTCACATTCATACCATAAAAAGCTTGTCATTTTGATGATGAAGTTAACAGCTATTTTTAACAGTGACTTTTACACTCGTGTACATTTGGGAATTAAAAGTCAAAATTTTCTCCCAGTTTTCACAAAGTTATTGCCCTAAAGTCTGATTTTGACATGGCTGAAGTCCATGTCTTATTACCTGTTACTTTAGAATAATTGGTATTATTACATAAATACTCATTTAATCATTTTTTAGGACTACCTGAGTGCGTCATATCCAGTCAGAGGAAGATTTAGTGAGTTTGTGTAAGGAAACTCAAATATGACAGAGCCCTAATTCCTAAGGCATCAGTTCAAGGCAGAGATATAAAACATCCTATATTTGTCCATAAAACATTTGAGATGTTATTGAAGTGTCTTCAAAGGACACTGAATAAACATATTGTAAGGTTGCCCACGGTCACACGCAAATCGCCCCAAAGGGGATTGCTGGGAAGTAATCTAATCATTTCTTTTAACTGAGGCACAGTGACATGCAGTGCAGATAATGATCCCCATGAAAAATGTACTGTATTTTCAAAAGAATATTCCCTGTCTGTTGACATTAACATAAAGATAGTTCTACATCCTGGAGCCATATCAACAACATGTACTTATGTGTGGTTCCTTGTATTTGCATATGCAAATGTTTTTTTATTTTATTTTTTATTTTGATTCAGTCCTTTTATGTGACTTTCTGTGATGAACAAGCGGCATCAAGTGGTTGCACAATGAGGGTTCAGTACCACCAAGAAGAAGCATTTGTGTCATTTTAGACCGAGCTTACAGCGTTCTCACTGAAATTAACCACAGTTTAATATAGATTTCTACACGTCTATCACATTCAATGGCACGTCGTGAATATGCATTGTTGTTTGGCTGTTTGGGCTGCCATGCGAAATTAGTCGCCTTGCTTTGTTGAAATTACGGGGCGGGGTGTTGAGTGAGGGGGTTTGTTGAAGTTATACCGCTGACATTTTGATCCAGCAGTGCATTAGAAGAATTCAGTTAAACATATTTGTGTAGGTTTCACAGGAGTAAGGTATAGTGCTCAAAACAACAGGGTGCTGCGACCCTTCACTTTGCTTACATAATTTGCAGCAGAATGCAAAAAGCTTTTAGACACAGATGTGACCCATTGTAATACCCTTCTAAATGCAATCAAACACTTTCTACAAATATGAGCAGGACTTTTTAAATGTGAACCCTTGTTTGACATGTAATTTTGTCCAACCCACTCCTCTTTCATTTCTCCATCAGCTCTCTCCAGTTATGCCCACATTTTCAGTTGATGAAATAGCTTGACAAAACACTAGTTTATGTTGCTCTGAATGAGGTCTCTCTCTCTCTCTCTCTCTCTCTCTCTCTCTCTCTCTCTCTCTCCCTGCGTTTTTTTATTTTTTCACACATCTGAACAGATGTTAGGGCCAAAAGAAAATGTTCCATTTTGTAATAGCCATGTAGTGTAGTCCTAAATATGTTGCTTTTTAAAATTCTGTCAAGATTGTTTTACAAGAGGGGATCCTTTTTTTGTGTGTTTATGTGACAAAACTGATGTCTAGCTCATGACACAAAATAATCATCCCCAGAACAAGCTTCCTGTGTCCTCACAGCGAGATTGTCCGCATAAGCAAACAAAGGAACATGTTATTTGATAAGATGCCTAGATAGACGCGTCTTTACTTTCATATGTTTGTATGATTATCAGACACAAGCAGAGAAAAGAGGGGAAATCAGTGCAGGTCTGCTCGTCTTTGTATGTCTCTTTCACCGTGTACCATGAATTGGCTCTTGAAGACAGTTAGAAATTTGACTTTCAAATGAGGCATTAAACAAGGTGATGATCAACTGCCAAACCTTAAGTAATGATATTCTCCATCCTCAAGTCCCTGGCCTTGCATAACCAAATGCACAAATCACAGAAAAAAGAGCTGAAAATACATTATTATTACATATTGTGTTCACACGTCTGTCCCATGGGACCAGAGGGGGGGACATCGCCGACAGATAAGCATGTTTGGGTGGCCCCTACCATCAGCTGGGGGAAAAGGCTATGCTTGGATCTTAAGGGGGGGCCCCCTCATGGGTATCACTTATTTTAAATCCTGAACCACACCATCCCAGACCCCCCGCCCCTCCTCCTCCTCCTTCCTTTGCCCCCCTCGCCCCAGGCTCCACCCAGAAGTGTGGTTGCCTTTGTCATTGTAATCTGGCCCTGTTTGCTAAACGCTTGCACTGTTTACTCTCTGCTATGGGGGCTTGTATGAACAGGAGTCAGCAGGACGCAGGGTGACATCACTTTGGCTGGGGGGTGTTTGAAAAGCTGCATTTGTGATTTTCTGGGGGCCCCTCTCTCTTTTTTTTTTTTTTTCCTTCTTCCCTGTCTCTATCCAGGCCTGTCTAACGCATGAGCTAACTCAGGAGGCTAACATGGCCTACAGGGAGGAATTACACCTAATTACTTGAATAACTGCTAGGCAGCAGCCTTCCGTAGTCACCAAAAATCATTTCCAGGTCTCTGCCTTTTACTGATAGCCAGACTTCTCGTGACAGGAAAAAGCTCGGACAAAGCTTTTACATTCAAATGGGCCGAGAGAAATGAAACAGACTGACAGGTACAGACATTAAAAAAAGGGGGAAATCAAATTAACAGACAAGGATTTCATATCATCTATTTTTGTTGTTGCCGTAGCGATAAAGTCGCAGACATTGAAACTGGTCTGTTGAGCCATTGTTATCATCCCTGGCCATCTGCTGCTGAGGAGTGACATTCCCTCTCATTTGCATGATGAGTGATGTATGAGGAGCTTGGGAGGGCATATGCCCCGGTCTTATGACAAAGCAAGTGAAAGTTTTGTTATATCTTAAACACAGAAAATAAGCATCAGTGTTTGAATGAGGCTTGATGAAGGAGTGAAAAAAGGAAAAATCACCTGTGAGTGTTTATCGGTGCACATGTGAGTTTTTTTTTTTTTTTTTCCCCTGCTTGTATGATGCATCTTCACTAAAGCGCACACAAATCCGTGCGTGTGTGCCTGCGTGCGTGCGTGTGTCTGTGCGAGTATACACGCGCAGGAGTAGAGGCTAGTGCGCGCATCTGCCTTCTTGTGTGCCTGTTTGTGTGTTTTGCGGATGTGGGAGTAGAGCGAGGAGGAGGGGGGTTGGTGGCTGTTGATGTGCAAATGTGCATCATGTTGAAGGGCTGTGAATGGGGAGGTGTGACGTAAAAAGGGACCCGAACGCAGGTGCTTATCTCGAGGCTGTCAAAGGCACAGTATGTCATATTCCTGGGGACTACCTTTCAAAGCCACAGCACCAGCTCAGCTATCAAGAGACTGGGAGAAAATCAAACTTTTTGGATCACAGCACTAGGTTGGTGTCAAAGTTCTTTTTATTCATTATAATGTCAGTTTGGTCAGCGTTTGTCAATACTGATACTCTGTATCGTGTGTGTGTGAAGGACAAGCCTTGTAGCTTGAACGCTGTCATTACTTCCAAAGAGAGGCTGAAATGTACAAGTGTTAGAAACTTAGTTAGATTTACAGTGAGATTTACTGAGCAGCTAAACTTGTGTTTGTGGATTTTACCAGATTAAATGAAATAGCACTATCCTGGCAATCAGTCTGAGCTGTACCACAGAGTATGGAGAAAATATTGCACTAGTGATAAGCATTGTTTGCTTGATACAAATCAGTATTCTTCAAACCTTTGCTTGGAAGCGAGCGCAGCTTCAGTCCAGGTTACAGACAGTTTGAGAGGAGATTAAATGGCTCAAACTGTTTTTTGAGATGCATGACCTATTTTTGATCATGCAGATAGCATGAGATACTGTCTATCTAGATTAAATTCACAGCATTTGTGTGGAGTTTAAGCTTGTCTTAGAGGAGCACATGTTGGTATTGTGTGCAGAGACAAAGCATTGTCAGGTTGCCTGTGGCTTTGACAGTGACAGCTGTACATACAAGACCACTGAGCCTAATGCACTTAAACATTGACTCTCTGTTCCAATAACATATTTGAACAGTCGCTCAAGTATTTTATTGCATCCTGTTTTGGCTTACAGTAATTCACATTTTAAGTCTTGTGAAATCTGAAAACTATAAACTTACGTCGAATATAACATGGCAGTTAAGTTGTCGGACAAAAAAAAATCATCTTTTGTGATTATGGGGGAAGATTTAAATTTGTATTAATTCAGCAGGGCTAAAGCATGACACGCTGCTCCGAGTTTTTGTAATTATTTGCATTATAACTATGGCAAAGTTGAAAAGCTATATGCTAATTCTGAATGCAGTTTGATAGTAACACAGTCTACAAGTGAACTTTTGTGTTATACGCTGCTTAGTCTTAGCTTTGAACAAATTCAGAGGGGCCAGGGCACTCCACAATCTCCAGAGCAACTATTGATTTAGGAGGACGGATGTTGGTTAGAAAAGTTCATCATTTACTAGTAAGTTGCGGCTGAGATTCTGCTTGATGACCCAACTCGCAGTTGATCACTGTGAAACAAAAGTGGAATAATTTTTTCACACACAGGCAGAGTTTGGGATTTCTCTTGATTTTGAAAAAACCTTCAGTGTCTCTTTTAGTTTTGTCTTTTGTTCTTTTTAAACTACAGCAAATAAACCCTATCGCCTGGAGTCAGAAATATTCATATAAACTGCCAACATCTGCCCAAACTGTCAGTCATATCCTCCCTCTTTTCTTTCTGAGACACTTTTCTCTCTAATTAACGTGTCAAATTATTTTTAGGTTTTGGAGGATTTTTGTAGAAATTTTGTTTTAAAAAAATTCAACGCTAGTTGTAATTCCGTCTGTTATCCTCCGTTTAATCCAAACTCCACCAGCTTGTTTCAGTCAGCTCTCTCAACAAACAAGAAAAAGAGCAACAAAAGACATTAGATAACACAGTGTTGTGTAACAGCGTCACATTTCAGTAATAATCGTTTTAAAAGTTTAGAAAGTTATATCACGGTAACGAACATGAAAGAACCAGCGATTAAGGTTACAAAGTTACGTGTTCCCTATTTGTTTTAATTGGAAAAGCAGCCCAGGTTTCAGCAGGGATGTGTGGTAAAGCAGTGATAAGTAAGAGCCATTATTCCTGTGTGCTCCCCACCCTCGGCTTCAAAGCAGGATGTTAGTTGCTACACAACACATAAATGTAACCTGTGTTCGCCTCCAGGAGCTGTCCATGGTACCTGCAGCCCAGCAGATCTGCTCTTACAAACTTATCCTCATAGTTTCTACTCTCTGAAGTCCTGCGGTGTGATAAAAAATGTTTTCGTTTATTTTAATATAAGTCGTGAAAAAGTGGGAATATAAAGTTATGCTTACTTTTTCATCTCCAGTTTTTACTTTATATTTCAGCTGCCGTCGGGTACACATAATGTAAACAACAAATTCGCACGAAAAAGCACGGCACACACATCTGACTGTGAAATGTTGTGTTACCTGTTTTTGACTAAACTTCAGTGAGTTAATCCAGGAAAATGAATTATGTGGATTTAATTCAACAAGGTCTCAGAAATGATCCATCTGCTGTTGAGCAGCTGGTCAAAGGATAAATGTAATTAATTACTTAACTTTTGAACAGTACTCAGGAAAAAACAGAGCTGTTTGTGTGGGAGCAAATGGGAAAAGTGTAAGGCAACAGCATCATATATATACCTCAAAATTCATCCTATTCATCTGTTTGGTTTATACGAACATTATTTCTTAAAAGTCTTCAGTTTAAACCTCTGTAAAATTGCTCATGTGAAATGTACAATTCACTTATTTCAGGAATTTGTCATGATGAAAAAATACCACTATAAAAAATATATATAAATCAGAGTTCACTTGTATTAAATTGAACATTTAGGTAAAATACTTAAATGTGTAAAATATAAGTGAAGTGTAATTCTCATTAAGAATTTCATAGACCCAAATATTATGATAATTTAATTTTCTTGTTACATATACACCAATGGACTGGTCTTAAGCAGACTTTGTAAAATAAGGTATTTGACGATCATTACAACACTTCAAAAATGTGACTTTTGTGTCATATTTAATACTGTGTCATATTAGTCATACTTTCTGGCTTAGTTGCCCTTAAAGGCAAAAGTACCTAAAAATATTACAAAGGCTTAATCATGGTGGATTTTTTTTTTTTCTAAAAAAAGATAATACAGCACTACAGGAAAAAAAAAAAAAAAAAAACCTTTCTGTGAATAGTTATTTTTACTTGACAGGGCAAGACTATGAAATGTTCCCAATTAATATTACATGGGATTCTTTTTACGGTTTTCTTTTTAAAAAATATATTTCAGCATTTACCTTGATTGTAATGTACCTCATTGGCTGTGGTTTTGTTTGTTGGCCTAACTATAAAGGATCTGCTTATACCCTTGTGGGTTGGGAAGAATTAGGATTTATGAATTTATTTCCTCTGTTGTATTGTTTAAACAGCTTTGGTTTAGTTTTGATCCCTTCCTCTTGCCTTTGAGGCTGTTCCACGGTGTCAGCTGTTGACTGATAGTAAGAGAACTGCCTCACAGTGTGAATGAAAGAAAACTAGCGGTTGGTAAACACTGATAAGGGATAAATAGAAAGCGGTCAGGCAGAGATAGTTCTGTGGGAGCCCAGATTGTGTGCGGTCTGTTAAAATGAGATTCTGAGCCTGTCCTTTTTATTCTTCCTCCCCTCCCCTCCCCTGTGCGGCGTTTGTCTGGAAAATCTCCAGTGACCCGGCTCGGCAGTCCCAGGCTGCAGTATTCTCTTTTTCTATTTGTTTTGTTTTCTAACAAGGGTCAAGTTGGCCAATAGACATGTCCCTGATGCTTATAGACAGCTGTCATGACTTTAAGTGCTCACAATAGTCACATTTTACACAAATTCATGGTTCTGCACCAATAAGCACTGCAGCAAGAGATTTGAAGAAAAAAAGGAGAGGTGCACATAATTTTCAAAAACCCATTTCAATACCTATCGCCACAGAATTTATCTCAAAAAGAAAAAAAAAAAACAGAGTTTGAGCACTTCTGAACATCGTCTACTAGATCAGCCCTTTCATACATGCTAAAAGTCTCATTATGAAGTCAGTGTTACATGTACATATCACCAGTGATATTAATTACAGTCACATCATGATATATTTACACTTGCCTTACTATTCACCGTGGGGAATATAAATCTAATTTCTCCATTAAAATCACTCGACTGTCTTTTTTTAGAAGTAGCCTGCTCCTTCCAGTGATCATTGTTTTCTTTTTTTTCCTTCCCGGGTGAATCTATCTTTTATGTGATTAAAAAGACCTTCAGAGGTCTTACCTTGAGGATCACCATGTGGTGTATTTACACAGAAAATAATTCAGCCTATTGTAGCCCGGCAGCTAATGAGATTGGTTGTTAAGTGAATGACACAAAGGCTACAAAAAAAAAAAAAAAAAAAAGAAAAAAAAGAAAAGAAAAGCTTAGCGTTTCGGGTGAATATCACAGTGTCCCTGCACACACTCTCACACTCACACACACACACACACAAACCAAACACACTCTCTCGTCAGGCAGCGAGACTCTGGACTGTACCCTGTTACCCCACCTCGATATCCTTCTGCTCCGTCTCCTCCCCGACGTCAGCATGAGAGGCAAAACAAAGGCTAAAAGGGGCATGGTAAGTCGAGCTCGTCGTTCTGCCCTGTCGGACATGTTAACAAGAGTGCATGTAGATGTAGGAGACAAGTGATGCTGTTTGTCTGCGTGAGGATGAGCTGTGCTGTGTTAGCCTCAGGCTCACAGAAGTACATTCATTGAAGGGTCAATAACAGTGATGCTGTTTTATGTGACTCAGAAGACGATCTCTGCTTTTTTAACTTGACCATTCTTAACTTCTGGATCGCTGCTGAAACTTTCCTCTTTTTTTTCCTTTTTTTTTTTGGGAGCCACTTTCTCGCCTTGAATATTTTTGGGATGTGAACTGTATGTCAGAGCTATGGCTTCATTTTATTCATGAAAGAGTAAAGTTTTTTTTTTGTGTGTGTGTGTGTGTATCTGAGATGTGGTTCAATGTCAATGATCCCTGAGTTGCGGTTGACTCTGTGTTGTTAAAGGAATTACCAAAAGATCAGTGCAATGTTTAGCAGAGAGGAGATCTTTTTTAAGCAGCCAGACTTAGTTTGCATCAATCCTGAGAAGTTAAAACACTCGTGTAAAAGTGAAAAGATGTTATTTTGACAGATTTTGAACCCTTCTCTTGGACTCCTCTTCATTTTGATCCCTGAATAGCAGCGCTAGAGCATCATAACTGCTTGCTGTTACACAAAAAAATGTAAGTGCATTAGCTTATCATGCTCCACTGTGAGGCTGGCAAAGTGGGTTAAAGTCCATCGCGTATATTAAACCCTGGACTTAAGTCAAATTTACATTTTGTTAAAGATTACTCCTTTTATTGATGCACATAATCATATTCATGGACCATCTGCTGATTTGGCAAGCATGGATCAAACTCACAAAACAGCTCTGCTAACCTCTTAAGTACAAAATAGTCTGGCTTAACTCAGCTAGCCCAGAAGTGTGTGTGCACGAGTGTGAGAGATTGTATGGATATTGGATAATACTTAATTTAGATCCTCCCGGCTGCTCATGCCATATTTTATTTTATCATGATCGCTTTGGTGGCAGACCAGCGCTCGTGTTTGAACAACTGAGCAAATAATGTTTGTCTGACAATAAGCAAAGCAGAGTCTTGGTATAAGGAATCTGATTAAACTCTTGACCACGGCGTACAGCTCTGAGTTTATACCTGTCACCATGGTAACGCAGATTTCACAGTGCAGCTTTTGCACACTTCCACCTGGTTTGTAGAGCAGCGGTGTGGGCCTCACCTCTTGAGTGTAAGAAAAGGCTGCTTAAGGCTTCTCTGGTTATTCCGATGACTGATTTCATCCTGAACTATCTCCCAGTGTGTGTTTCACAGAAATAGGAATTCACCATTGGGCATCCTTACTGCATGAAATACTTATGTTCGACTCATTCCAAACAAAGCTTACGCAGATTGAGAATTCATATGCCAGAGGTAAATCCGAGTTAACACGGATTTATACTGGCATGAGTTAAAGGACTAGAGTTTGTAATCCAGGTGGCCAAGGGATTTTACCATACAGTGGCAAAAATCACTTAAAACTCCCCCAACATCCTAAGCCACTGAGCTCAGTAAGCAGACAGATTGTTCAGAATTGATGACAGCACAACTATATCAGAGCTGGACTCTGTGTTTGTGTGTGCGTGCGATTGTGCGTCTGTACGTACGCCTCTGTTTGTGTGTGTGTGTGTGCGTGTGTGCGCATATGTGAGCATGTTTGCTTCCTATATGTACTCAATTAGTACTAAAGGGGCTGTTTAGAATTAGACCTTGACAGATTGGTATTATTCTGCTTCAACAGGGTAGGGGAGGTGTTTGGGGAATACTGCCTTCTATCTGCATAAACATCAGTAGCATAAATACAAAGACAGCAACCTCCATTTCAACGGCCTCTGACTGATGAGCAAAGTGATCAAAGTGGCTCTAATATTCAAATCATCAATGTTTTAGCCGTCTTTTTCTTGATTTCCCCGTGTATGAAAAAGTAAAGGAAAAAAACAAAACAAAGGTGCTCCTTTATAAGTAAATGGGTTGGTGTGTGTTGACGTGCGCGCCCGTGTGCACGTGTGTGGAGGACAGAGGAGCACAGATAGAGTGGGGTTGTTTAATGACAGGAACAGCTGACTCATTTAGAGAGAGCAGTGAAAGGTAATTAACCCTGGGAAAACTACAGCTGCCATGCGAGCTGTTCACTTCAGCGCAATCTGATTAGGAATCACTGCTCGAGTCCCTGACTCCTTTCAGACGCTGTGTGTTCGAGGTAAACTTTTCCTCTCTGCCCCCGAGAGCCCCCGAGCACTGGAGACCTGCCTTTTGTGGTGGGGGATTAGCTGGAACGGTTACTACGTTTCTCCAAATTGCAGACCACCTGGTAGCATTCATGCCACCTCCTCCATGAAAGGGCCTCCTTGGGCAGGAACAATGAGCGGGATTACTCTGCTCATTGTTACACCAGGGCTGGAACTTCTTTTTCCCCAAACACCTGTCCCTAAATTAGACAGGTTTGAAAAACCATGTTCATGACAGAATTCAAAGATTCAAACTAACATGAGAGTGCTTCGGCCGGCTGGAGGCTTGCCAATGGGTGAATTGTCTGCCACTGCGTTTATTATGCTATTGATTCACTGTGTTGTGTAAGAAGATACTAATTTTATTTGTCTCGATATTTTGGTGCTCTTAATTGGATTGAAATTCAGAAATAAAATAGCATATCATCTAGGCCCCTTTCATACGATAAGGGAACTCAAAAGCACCAGAAATTTGGTCAAAAACAGAAATTGGCTCTTTGATGTCAGAAGAAACAATCTGGACTTGGTGCCTTCGTGTGGTCCGGCTCCAGATGAACTCAATTTAGAGGGAAGGCTTTGGGATGACTTTGGAAAGGGATTACAAGATTCATAAATCACCTCGGCAAAGGTGTCACCATCTGACTCTTTTATGGGACTCTTGCTAACTGCGTCCAATAACAAGTTTCCCCTGTAGTTATGCCATCATAACAAATCATTGAAGCGATAGTGGCTAGCCAGGCTCCTAATTGTCTGTTAAGAATTCTGTGAGCTGTGTTCTTTTATTGAAGCATCTCTGTCTTGGAGAAGTGATAAGATGCCAATACGCTCCTCTATAAAAGTACTCTTTGGCAAAAGGCACAAACACTTTGCTTGGCCGTCAGGGTAGCTGTGAGGCTGTTATATCTGAAATCGCAGTTGACTTCAAGATTTTTTACTGTGTATGCTTGAATCCAGAAACCTCTATAAGGCGGAGGAATGCTCATAAAGTGCCGGCAGAATAATTTACTTTCAGATACAGAATTTGTTCTCGATTTTATTTGAAAGGGAAACAAACACCGCCTTAATCTTTATCACTCTGAATTCTGATTCATCTAAACAAAGTCATCCTATATTTGTATTTAAAGCGTTCAAAAAAAAAGTACATTTGTAAAGGATAAAAAACGTCAAATTTCGCCCAAATGCGACGTATTTTCCAGGACTAATTACCTGACCAACACTAACCAGGAGCTAAACACTGTGACACAAAATGAAAGGCCAAGTTTCAGACATAAATTGGACACCCTAAACCTCTTTTGTCCCCTCCCCCGTCCTAAAATCTATCTGAGCTATTATTCTAATGTCCAGCTGGTATTTAGGCACAGGGCGTCTGATGGCTCCCTGGCCACCTCACAAAAAGCACAAAAAAAGAAAAGTTGTTTATCTAAATACTCTCTGAACAGAAGTTGATTTTAATCTCTGCACAGAGCTTAATTTAGTCCCCACAAACACATTTGCATGTCAATGAAAAACAGCAAAAGCAACTGCCTGCTTTTTCTGTCCACAGTTTAACCTGCTTTCCAGCGAATGAGGTGTTTCCAAGCAGGTATATTCCTGCCAGCTCACCTTTTGCTTGAACTTTGACTATTTTTATGTTTAGCCAGGTCTTTGCTGCAACTAAAACTCCCTATAGGGTGCATATAAATTATGATCAGTTGACTTTATCCTCAGACATCCATTACAAGGAAATATGAAAGTACAAGGTGCTATCTCCTGCCGCTTGCTCTTTATTCTACATAAACAGAAAACACTTAGCATGTAAAATTAATGTGAAAATTATTCCCGGGGTAAACTATAAACACAGAAGTTACCCCGCACATTTACCCTTTTTTTCTCCTTCCCCTAGATCAGAGTGTAATTGCCAGTAATCAGGTCTGTTTGCTGCTGATAAAACCACTCTGAATGCGAGGAACCCTCTTTGTGTGATGACTCAATTATGCCAGAAGTGGCTCATCAAACCTGGCCCATCAGCTGCTTTAATAAATAAGGAGGAAAACTTGCTGCAGGCGCATTATAATTCCATTCATTCCATAATTAAATCCATTCCAGTTTTAACCCTTCGCTCTGTGTGCTTCTGGAAGAGGAAACAAAAACAAGGAGAGAGGGGGGTGTGGGGGGGGTAAGTACACACCAGACAGTGACCTTGCACAGAGCACCCATCCGTTCCCTATAATTCAAAATGATACTGTTGAAGAAAGGTTAAGAGAAGGCTTGTGCAGAAAAGGATGGGAATCAGTTAAGACCTGGCTTCTGTTTTCTTTTTTTTTTCTTTTTTTTATTATGTATGCATTGTTTCCACACACAGCCTTACACAGTAATTATATTAAACGAGTAATCTAATCATAACAGTTGCTTGGTTGAGTGTGCAGCACTGACATTTTGAAATCTTATTTTGTGTAATCTCATTTGCCTCTATCATCTCGCCTGTACCCACTATCTAAAAAGGAAATGTAAATAATGTAATTAATTTTATGCTCTCCAGAATCTTACTTTACTCCAGCCTGTTTTATTTATTGGCTGCAAGATGAGGTATCAGTGCTGTGTGTTGTTTTTTTTTTTTTTTTTGAACTCCACCACAATAATGTCTGTGTTAATTACATGAGAGCGTCCCAAGTGCACGGATAAGCTTGGAACAAGGGGACACAAAGACTCAAGGTCAGTGATGAATCTCCACAGCAGCTGCACGGCATTAATAAGGCATTATATGAAAAATAATCATAATAGCATCACTTACAACAAAATGCAAGAGTGCGCCGGTGTGTTTTACAGATATTTCCTCTCCACCATCCTCAGCCTGGATCCAGCTTTTCTGATAATGGTGCGAGGCAATGGTTATTCATGACTGCTGGACTGGGAAGGTCCCCCTCTTTTTTTTTTTTTAACCCCCAGTCACAGCCCATTCTCTTCCTCTGTGGTGGGAATGCTAGCAGATGGGGTTAGGGGGGAATGGGCTGGGCTCAAGGACAGCTAGCAGCCAGATTAACACATAGAAAATCTCATAGACCCCAAGCATCAGGCTGCCTCCTTTCCCCCTTGAGAAATCTGCCCTAGACACAGGGAAACCGTCCTCTCACAAGCATTATTTGTGTTGGGGTGTGTGCACCAGAAGAGGAGAAAGGGAAGGGGTGGGGGTAGGGGGGTGCATAAATATGATTCAGCAGATGACGAACCAGCTCAAATAGTAGTGAGTCCTTTTTTTCATATGCTAATGAAAGCGGGTGAATAACCCCCTCCCTCCTCGTCTTTTTCCCCCTAGTTTTGTTTTTCAGGGGGAAGCGCTCTCTGAGCTATAATTAAGAAGATGTTGTTTTCTTTTTTTTTTTTTCAAAGCTAACAGAAATAAATAATTCCATAATAAGATCTGTGAAGTGAAGAGGCTTAATGTACTCATTGTGTTCATCCTTGTTTTCCCTCTTGGATGTTTTGTATTAATTAGAAGCAAGCAATTTGATCTCTGTCAAGCAATCAATTTGCATTGTGCTACTTTAGTCCATGTGAGAGTATACGTACGTTCTTGCCTCTTTTTTTTCCAACTGCGTGACTCAAGGTTGTGAAAGTGAAACAATAAAACCGTACACCGTATCAGTTTAACGTGTACGAAGAGGAAGTTTGTTACTAATGTGATGTTTGTTGTTGTTTCTTATGTTTCAGATAATGAATTACACAGTCACGTCCTGAGAGAAAATAAGTGCAAAGGCATCAACCAGACTGGACAGTGCGGATCTGGTATCTCACCCCACAGAGCGCTCAGAAAACTACAATCAAAGGTAAACAAGCGACACAGCTGTAGCTTTACCTCGACATACCGTGTTAAAGTAACTTTCATTAGGGACAAAAAGTCTCTGGTGATGACTGATTGTGTAACAGTGTTTTGGATAAGTAGCACACTAAGTGGTGGAGTGTGGCTGCTCCTTTGACCACACTGAACACAAGCTGAGATTGTTTTTTACTTATGTAGAGCTGTGGGTGGCTGGCAGATAATATACTCTTTAAAAGGCAGAGCTGAGTCAGCCTTTTCCAAAGTACATGTTGCCTTTAGATGCAGGGTGTTCTCACTTGGATTTGTCCCTAATAAAACTTCTTTAACAGACAGTTTTGTGGGCTCTATCACAGGGTTTCTGGGTGTAAAGGACAATCCCAGGATTTCGGCTTTTATAAATGTTCACTTTGAGTAGTTTCTCTCTCTGGGTTTCAAACTACTAGAAATAAATAGAAGTTAATAAAACTCACTATATCACTTTAATCAACTTTAAAAACCATACTTAATGGGAGTTAATCACTGTGTTTACTTTTGGAAATTTGATCCCCCAACAATCCCAACTATTTCCAGACAACACTTTACATGAGTAGTTGGCAACTGCACGAGACATAATGCCAGAAAACAGACTGGGATGGCAGGGGAAACACAACATACAGTTGATGGGAACAAGCATCCCTTTAATACCAACACGGAAATACTACATGATATTGTTTTTAGGTTAGAAACAAAGTTAGTGACGTGACACGAGAGTAAATCACTGGCATCGTTTTACATTTAGACTGTTAGACGGTAAATTGTTACGGGATTATTATGATGGAGTAAAATTCCACTGGCAACACTTTGCTCTGTTAAGCCGTCAAAAACTGTATTTAGATTGATTTTGTTGTATTCAGATATAAGGATATAAGGATGGTAAAGGTATGTTTTTCATTATGATAAACCTATAATAACTCATTTTTTATCCTTCTGTTATTTCTGTTACTTATGAGTGAGCACAGGTGGAGTTGAATTATTTATAAAAAAGATATTAAACCTCAAAATGAAGTGTTGGGAATCATGTATGTTAATGCTGATAAAGGATGAAAACAAGGGGTTGAATTAAAGTAACTTCTCCACATCCGTCGCCACTGTCCAGCATTAATTTTCACAGTATATCACTCTGCATAAAAAACATGCTTCGCGCGATAGAATTGCCACGTATTCCTAATTAAAAGCTAAATAATATACCCTCCCTCAACCGGATTGACTAGGGAATGTCAAATAAAAGCTCCCGTTTGACCCTGAATGTATCTATTTGTTCTGCTTTGGTAAACACTCGGCGTCACATGTTTGTCCATGTTGTTGCCATGCCAGGACTACCTGTTCGTACGCCAGAGCATCCGCCGAGGCCTTCCTCATTGTCTTGTTACTTGTCACTTCTTGTTATGTGGATCAGAGTTACAGTAGCCTCTGCTTTGTCAAAATCCAGTTTGTCATCATTGTGTCAGAAATGCACAGAGCACACTTTTCACGCAGCGCTTACGAAACAAGGGTTTAAAATGCTTGTTTTAATCAAACTTAGATAATGTGTGAAAACTGGATACACATTTATTCAGCTACAATGAGACTTATTGTGTTTTTGGACCGGTTGTTGATTATTAATCGTTTTTTATAGCAGTAAGGTTTATTTTCAGTAAAATTACAGCACATTGTCTCAATACAAACTCATAACATTTGATTAATCCAGATAAATATGCTAAAAAATATAAAAAAGGCAATAATTTTAAGACAAACTTCTTTGCTTTGCATGAAAAGGGCGCTTCAAGAATGCAAAACACCCTGATAATAAACCTGTCTGACTCACTCATGCTGATATTTTTCTCCACTGATAACATCGTTTGAACTTTGATTAACGTCCGTGTTAGGATCTGAGGTTGTGCGATGTTTGAGTAACATTTTGCCTTCAGAACAACAAATTTACACCAAATGTTGAAGCATCTCTGTGTGGAAAAGTGTAACAAACTAATGAGGTACATTCGTTTTTACAGAATGTAATCTATAGTGTTTGGGAGTTGTTTGTCTCAATAGGCTGTAGTAATCAAAAGTAATGAACCTATTATGAGCAGGACCTCTGAGGGCCCGGCGTGGCATTAAGAGTGTGGCACATAAAAGGTTTATTAAAGGAAATTAAGGTCCATCACTGCCACACCTGCTCCCCTATTATAAATGTATGACAGGTCAGTGCCTTCAATCACAACAGCAAACGAGAGAGAGGAGTCATGTTTCCCATTACCAGGGAAAAGTAACAGCATATCCTATGACTCACAGATTTCACTGGCCTGTGACCACTATACGCCACCATCAGCCTGGAATAATTATGTTTAATAGGTTTTATTTGGGACACACAAGCAACAGCCCGCCAGAGTGGATGGATTTTAGCAACTATTTTTGTCTAAACACACAGTTAGGTTTTGTCTGTACTTTCATGTCGTTTTTTGGTGTCATTACATTTTCACTCACCTTTGAAACTTTTTTCATCCTAACATTATACTTAATGTGTTTGCATATTTTTTTTTTTTAGCTTTGTGATTTTGTTAAATGAAAAATTGATTTTATGTTTCACCGGCTCAGATTGACGGACAAAAAAATGGCCATAAACCAAAACATTTTGCAGCCTCCTCTCTTTGAAATGCAAAAAAATAAATGCACACAATGATTAAAACATTAGCACGTGTTTTGTTTAGGGACTAATTTGCGTTTTTTCTTTACAGATGGATTCTGAAGGCGAGGAGCAAACCCTGAAAGTGTGTAACGGTGGCGCAGGTGAGTACAGCTTTTTTCCACTAAACGCACACTAAGCACACACATATTCCACTTACCGCCATGGGCTAGGGGTATCAGTTCAACAATCCAACTTTATAACTGTCAATTTTACGTATTATCTTACCGGTCTGAAGAGCACTGCATCGCCATTTCATTATTCAGAGGGGAATAACTTCATTAAATTGAAACAGTGGCTCAAATTAGTTAAGGAGTGTGTCTATATTGTGTGATTGAAAACCTCTAGACTGGATATGTCATTATGCGAGTGTTCAGGGCCTCCGAGGCCTTCACTATCCGCGCCGCAGCTATTACTACATGGGGGGAAATTCATGAAAAGTGTTATTATTATTGGTCGTGCTTCATGGGAGTAGAGGTAGAACTTGTGAATGAGATTTACGCCGGGGCCTCTGGGAAAATTGATTTAGCCTTTTAGATCATGTTGTCAATGCTGTCAAAGGATGAGCGCCTGTTTGTGTCAGACCGAATGAAAAGCTTTTCAGATCAATGAAGAGCCCACTTCTCCATCCTTATTCTGATTACACCCGATGGCATTGGAAAGAAAGAATAGAAAAATACAGTAAAAGGCTTCATAAATCAGTGTTAGCTTCGATGTTGTCATCCTCGACGTGTTATCTTTAAAACAAATATTTAAAGAGCATCGAGTTTAATGAGCAATAGTCTAAAAGTAGTGAGCCGCTTTGAGGCTTTGAAGGGGAATACATGGACAGATGCTGTGCCACTGTAGTGGAAATGTAAACATGACTTTTTATCTGTTCTTTTTTGGCCTTTATTTCACAGGGCTGGCCGACTGCATCGCTGACACTCACAGGTGAACTCTTTGAATTTTCTCATCTTTTTCATCTTAATGCCAAAGAAGAAAACATTTTCTTCCCAGATCATAGATGTGTAACATAAGGGAGGTTTTTAAGTAGCCGTAAATAAAAAGTCCCTGACTTAAGCGGTTAAAGCTTTAAAATGAGCCAACTGAGGCCTTTGTTGACCCTGCTGTGCTTTTTGTCCCGTCCCTCTTCCCTGCAGCCCATATGGGTCCATGGCGAGGAAGAGGAGTGCTCAGGAAGGGGTGCAGGGCGCCCCCGTCAACAAGAGAAAGTCCCTGCTGATGAAGCCCCGCCACTACAGCCCCAGTGAGGCATGTGAAGAGGAGAGCGAGGACCTGGCACCGCCACAGGACAAAGAAGAGCTGAGGAACATTGACACTCCAGCAGGTAAACAGATGTCCTGTTGTTTTGTCTGTTTTGATGAACAATTGACGCTGAATTTTAAAATCCCATCTGTTGCATTCATATTTCCCTCCCTCTGCCATCAGCCAGCAGCCGCAGTCATTGTGCAGTGGAAGTGAAAGACTACACTGCTGGGTCCACATTAGTTGTGTCTCACGTCCACAAATTGAAGTTTTGACAGCTGATCTGCCATGATATTTCTGGCGTGGCTGTACCGTCTTTTGATGAGGCCAGATTTCAGACCCCCTCATCTGTCCTTTTTCAATAGCCGGTCCAAACCCATTGAATCCATAGAATGAGAAACTGAAAAGGAGGGGAGCACCAGTTCACTTTGATTTAAATTAAACTTCTTACATCCCTTTAAACTGAATTTTTATTGAAGTCCCCTTCTGTGGAAAACAAACAAGGCGTCAACACTGCTTGGCTGATGCTCTGATGTTTTTACTGTTTTATTTTTACAAAGACTTTACTAAAGCACAGGGACATTTCATCGACAACAGTTAGAAATTGTTTATTTTCACTTATGCCACTGGCCTTTTCGCAAGCAAAAATGTTTTTCTTTTCTCCTAATGAATTGAATTTTGTGCATTTTGGCAACAATGCTCGTGGTGTACATGTGCATTCTCGCCCACTATAATCTGCACTGATTTGGTATATTTTTAACGATGTAACTAAGCAACAAACGTAATTGTCCCTTTCAAAAGCTTTTGTTAGGCCCTCTAACACAGTCTAATACATAATTAGGCATAATGTCTACGGCTCATTATAGTACACATGTGTGTAGTTAAATGGACCAGGAGAGTAGCTCACTGAATTGTGTGGATTCATTGGAAATGGAATTTATTTGTTTCCTGGGTTCATATTACATTACTATTATCAAAGTAATTCACTGAGCATCATCAGTTTTTCCTTTTGTTGATGTGTATTTTAAATACTTTTCCTTTTTATCAGCCAACACTGATTGACTGCTGTATATTTTCCTTATTTGAACCTGATATTCAGCAAACCAGCTTTAAAACAAAACAAAATCCTGCCAGAATATAAAAAAGTCGGAATAGTGTTAAATCATCACGGATATTGATAAACAATTTCAGAGCATATTTTTCTGTTATTGTCAGTTTTTGGGGGGGCTATTTTCTGTGGAAAAACAAAAAATTGGAAAAGTGGACTGGAAGCAATAAGAATTTTTGCAGTGGGAAGCTGGTCATATCTGCATTTTAACAAAAAGGGAGAAAAATAAGCCTCTCGTTTGGTCGAGCCACACTGCGTTCAACTCCAGCCAACTGCAGCCCTGCTGCAGAGTGCTGGTAATGGCTATTCTGGAGTACAAACTGTTCACCTGTTCCAACACACAAACCACCGGAGGGATCCAAGTTTTTTTCCTCCACCGCTTTCTTTTTTTTTTTACTGCACTTCTGTGTCTCTGGGTTTGTACATGTGTATGTGAGTGTTTGTGTGTGTGTGGGTATACGTCTGCGTGCCTGTCTGACTGTATGCGGCTGTGTCAGGCCGGGGAGTCCATCTGGATGGAAAACAAAACCCTCGTTGCGTCTCTCATAAATGTAAATACGCAGCTTTAGTTTTTTCATTCAACAAGGTTTGTCTGTGGACACCTCTTTTTCAAAATCTTTCACTACAGAAAAATGCCATCAACACTTTATAATATTGTTTAAAATGTATTAAAACATTGTCTTCTACTGCATTTAGTCATGCCCATAATAATATGATAGTTTGTCTTTTTATTAGTGCCACATAACTGATGTTAAAGCTCATTTGGAGAGGATTTAGTTTTTGTGCTGCTCTCATTAATAAGTAGCCGCTGCCTGATAATGCCACTATGTGTGATCTGATTCTAACAATCCATCTCTATCTGTCTCTTCAGCATATCGAATCCCACTTTGCTCCTAGTGTCTAGCCACTTAAGAGGATCTAGGCCCAGAGAAAGTATAAACCCAAAGAGCCTTAATCGAGCATAAGTTTGAACGGTTTTGGAGGATAAAGAGAGATTTTGTTGAATCAATCCAGATGATAGCTTTCCATTGTTAATCACTGACCATGACTTAATATATAATCAGTGGTGTTAATAAAGAGTTGTTTCAGATGCTTTTTAAAGGATAACATTAACCCTCTTTGTCCGCTGATCAGACTCTCCATGTGAACTATCTTCTGGCTTTCTGAACATGTGACCGGGATTTCTGGATTTATACTAAAAAGATAAACGGCAGTGGGTCAGTGCAAATTAATTTATTGAGAGCTCTCAGCAGAATAAGCCGGAGCAAAGAGATTTCAACAAAATAAGTATTTAAATTTAAGATGTGCAGCTTGTGTATTTTATAAACTGCAATGACGCTACTACATTTTCATTTATGATACCCTGTAACACCTGCAAAATTTTTGAAGCACAGCAGTGTAGAGTTTAGTCAGAGATCTTTTAAGATAATAATCCTTGTCTTTAGTAGAAGTATTTCTCTCAGTCTTTAATTTGACAAATCCTCTTCTAAAATTATAGACCAACATATTCCAGCATATTGAGTTTAAATTGTTTATAACACATTTTAATATTTTCTCTCAAAAATCTAATGTGGCTATTCAGGGATTATTGAAAAAAGTGCAAAAGTAAAAAGAGTTTACAGAGGAAGGTAAAATAATTCAGCAGTTTTTCCTGAGTTTTTTTGTTTTTTAAAGGATGTATTTGTGAGGTGTGCAAACAAACAAGTTATTATTATGATCTGACCCGACAATAATAATGTGGTATTTCTGATCTGCATCCCCATGCTTTTCTACAATAATTTTTTTGAGCTTTTTACTTTTTCTTTTTCTTAGCTATTTATACCATTTCAGATTTTTTTGGATCTTTCTTTCTTGTAAAACAGCTGATACATGCGGACCCTTTTTTATAATTAAGACTATTGTGTTTCCGGCTGAGGTGTGTGGTTTGCTTCTCCTAAACTAGTCCAGCCACAGAAGACAGGACCAGGAGATTCCTCTCCTTCATCTTCCTCTATTTGATTTCCTTCTTCTGTGTCTGAGGGAATCCTCTTTACTTCACTTGTTCTCATCTCTAAAAACAACTATTATGTGTTTTAAAATAAATATATATCTGACGCTGATGACAACATGTTGCTGCTTAGCTTGCACTTAAAAATACACATAACTAATTAAAACCCTGATGTTCAGTGTCCAGCGTACACTAAATCCCTCCATAATCTTGTCCTAAATCTATTTTGGGTTGTTGCTCCAATTGGAGACACAGACGAAGAAAAAAACAATTGTGTGTCTCATCTCCAGGTTTCATGTTCAACTAGCACTAAAAGGAGTCACAAATGTTATTTAAAACATACTTGAATTGCTCTGAAATCTTGGAACATTGTGATCACATTGCAACATGTGTTCTTACTAATCCCCTAAAAGGTTATGAAAAAACATGTTTTCCCCAAGACTCTATTTGTCAAAAAGTAACAGAAAAACTAAAACCTTTAAAGGATTTGGAGAAGATTACAGATGGAGGACATTCAATTCTTCGCCCGAGTGTTAGAAAAGGGTCACAAACAGCACTGAGAAATAAGTGTTTGCTTGTCGTTTCAGATGGAAACTTGAATGCAATCAATGGAGTTGCCCACAAAAATGGCTGCTATGATGCTGCAGCCAGGTCCAGCGACTCCCTTGGATGGTCAGAGGTTACATCTGATGGCTCTCCACAGTGTGAGCCGGATACATCTGAGCGTCTGATGGATGAGGACGACGAGGAGCTCCTTCATAACAATGTAGAAGAAGACCAAAGTCAAGACAGGATGAGCCGAACATCATCCCCACACACGAGTCCATACGATGACATGAGAGAGGCCGAGTGGGAGCCTCTGTCTCTGTCTGCCAAAGTAAACGGCTCTAGCTGCAGTCCCTCCAGAGCCTCTGAAGACCGTAATGGCCTCGTGAAAGAAGAGCCTCACCCAGATTTAGGCAGTCTGATGGCGAGAGCGAACAACTGTCAGGCTGAGGCTTTGAGATACAGGCCTCTGCCCACGGAAGAGGACAGTGACGGGGAGGCAGAGAGGCCTCCTCGGCTGGATGGCTGGGCTCTGGGCCTCCATGAGAGAGGCCTAGAGATGAGCCGTGGGAGGGTGAACCTCAGCCTGCTGGAGCAGGCCATAGCTCTGCAGACGGAGCAAAGACAGGTCCTGCACCATGCCTACAGGGAGATGGACCGCTTCCTCCTGGAGCAAATGACCAATGAAAGACGGCACCACAGGATGATGGAGATGGACGGGAGGCTGAACTATCATGGAGGGAAAGGTAAGGCTGAATCTGTGATGCAGCGTAGGTGAACAAGAGATAAACTCAGTCCAAAAGAATTGAAGTTATCATTTTATGACTGTTTTTTCATAAATGTACCTTCCTCCAGCATAAATCAAATAGACCACTTGGGATTTGGCGCTCACAAAAAAACATTAAAAGGAATAAAAGAAGCATACGCATGTAAAGGGGGGAGGACATCAGAGGGAGGAAATCCTCTTAAGCACTAAAACATTTTGGCAACAAGTGAAGTAATAAATAAACAGACTAAAATAAAGAAGAACAAAATTTTCTGATGGAATTGCTACTACTCAGAATATTGGATTTTGATAGGAATCAACTGGATATTTAACCATGACCATAAGTCTTAAATCCTCCTAAAGTACCTCTCATGTTTCCCTCTGATTCTTCAAATGACTGCAGCTAAATGTGTAATCCTAGATGTAATCTTTCGATGGATGGGCATTAAGAAGTGAATGCTCTGTGTTGAACTGCAGCCTTAACTAAAATGACAGATTAAAAGATGCATTTTGTGTAAAAAGTCTCTAGCTTTGCATGATATTTCAATCTGTTGGCCTGTGTGCAACATGTATACAGGAAAGTGCATTACAAGTATTTTTTACTTCTTGATAGAAGGCATGCGATGACAGAAGGGCTTTGGCAGTAATATACGGGGTTGTGAAATCTTGCTTTACTTTGTCCACAGACTCTCCACGCACCGATAAAAAGGATATTAAGTGTCCAACCCCTGGCTGCGACGGCACTGGCCATGTCACCGGCCTGTACCCACATCACAGGAGTTTGTCTGGGTGTCCCCATAAAGTCCGAGTCCCTCCGGAGAGTAAGTTGGACGGACAGTTTTGTATGCATACGGATGGTTTGTTCCAATAAAAACTGCCAGTTTTAGGATTTACAATCACAGCAATTGAAATCCTCTCAGCACGGACCCAAAGACTAAAAAGACCTGCTTATACATTGAGTTCAATTCAAAGATGTGCCAGAAACTTTTCAAACAAATTTGAAGGATTTTCCCTCTCTCTCTTTTTCTCATAATACGTTGTAATGTGTGAATGTTGAATTCTTTTTTTCCCTCCTCACATTGGCGATTGTTAAGTCATTTCAATATAACTCAACAAACATTCGACATTAAACAGTAATGTTACAAAAGGAACAGAAAAAGTAATTAACTTTTTCAAAAAAGCGCGTGCTCTTAGTCTGGAGGCAGTATTTGCAAATCAAAGGGCTAGCTAACGCAGCATTCAAAAATAAATAGACAACTCCAACAAACTAATTGGAGAATGTGCACAGAGAAGAAGTTTCTAAGGATACAGAGCGGACCTTTAACGACGCGTTTGTTTTGAAGAATATAATCAGCTGTCTTGTTACGCTCTTCTTTGCACTAAGCTATTTACATTTCAGCCACATTACAGAATCCCTCACAATGAGAAAGCCTTTTGCTTTTTTCTCCTGTTTCTGTCTCTGTAGGATCTTTGCTCTATAGGCACTAATGCACCAACCACCAACATAATTCATCGTTTAACACATGAAAATGCATTTGTGTTATTCCCACAATGCTTTGTATATGTCTTTTAAGCTTGATTATGCCTTACATGTTGAATTATGTTGGACATCTTTAATGCTAATCTTCTCCCTCTGTCCTCATCTTCTCAGTCCTGGCCATGCATGAGAATGTCCTCAAGTGCCCGACCCCTGGGTGCACAGGAAGAGGCCACGTCAACAGCAACCGTAGCACCCACCGGAGGTAAATCCACAGGAGGGGACGGTCAAATATTTGCACCATATTCATAGATAAGTCGCACTGTGAGGCTAACATTTTGATTTCCCCTCTTCACAGTCTCTCAGGCTGTCCTATTGCTGCTGCAGTGAAAGTCTCCAAACCTCAGGACGAAAGCCTGAAATGCAGACAAACACCTGACCGCTCACCCAGGTACACTGCCAGAAAAGACGGAGGATTTTGAATCGTTTCATATGTGCTGAAAAATAATTACAGCAAGAGTACAAAAATGGCATTTGGCCATTGTAGTGTACTGAAGTTGTAAAAGCAAAACTGAGGTTATGCAAAAAAAAAAAAAAAAAAAAAGAGTGATAAACACTATAATTGTTAAAGAGAGAGTGGGATATTTTTATTCCATGATCCCAGCAGAACGCATGGTCTATTTCCAGCTTTCCAAGCAGACATAAGCAACGGTTGCTGGTCCTGTGAGTTCCTCTCTATTAGAGATGATAAAAGAGCAGAACTCTTTGTTCCCTGTGGATATATCATGGGCAGCATGCCCACTCCTACTATATTAATTAGTCTGGCAACCTGGCTGTGGATCTACAACACACATCAGATCCCAGACTCTATGTGTACAAAAGCACTGGCATCCCTGAATGCTCTAAAACAATGTCTATGCTTAAGTGCTTAATATGAGCCTGTTGGGCACTTGTTATTGCATTTTTATTGCAGGGCACCAGTTTTTCCCCAATAAAATCAACTCTTTGTTTATTAATTTGTCTCCTCACAGAGCCATGGGCCTGATAAAGAAGTTTGAGATGAACCAGTTGAACTACAGGCTCTCTCACCCTGTAGCGGCCTTGCAAACGAGCCTCACAAAAGACATGGACAAGTACAGCAGAATCCGCTTTGATTACGCCAGCTTTGATGCACAGGTCTTCGGCAAACAGCCTCTAATGGGGACCAACCAGGACCAGGAAATGTCACATTTCCCAGACTGTAAGTATCAAACATGTTATTTGAATGAGAAAGCACGAATGTCCTAAGTTAACATATTGAACACACCCTCATTCATTGTGGCTTTTGTTCAGCTACAAGGATGCATCTGTTTTGAACGGTTTTGTACCATTAAGTTGGAGTAGGACACCTGGTGTCTCCGTAACTGAATTATTCACTAATTATTTGTCTTTTAGCACCTCAGCAGTATCCTGGCTTCCTTGGAGCTCCAGGTGGCCGTTTGCCCACCTCTGGTCAGCACAGCCCCCCGAGTCAATTCAAAAAAGAAGACGGTCTCCAAGCGGCAGCAGCGACCGCCGCCATCCTTAACCTCTCCACTCGCTACCGGAAGAACATGGAGGCTGTCGCCGGCCGGCCCTTGGCAACCTCCACAAAGGTAATCAAATTAGACCACTTGGAAAGGTATTTAATGTGGTCATTTTAAAGGAACTCTGATTTGTGTATAAAAGGAAAGACATCAAAAGACAGAATTTGGCAAAGGGAGCTGGGCGCTCTGGTGGCAGAAAAACAAGGAGGGTTCCTCTCTATAAAGCTTTAATGTACACAAATAAAAATTTGTGTAATCACATCAAAAGAAGAAAGACATTCAGCCTTCTTTCCCAATTACAACTACTTGAATATTTTTTTTATTAAACATGTGGTAGTGTATTTTGTTCGACATCAGCTGGCATGTAAAAACCCTGAACTGTTGTCTGAAACTGCATCTTGCCCGCTGCAGATGGCAGAGGATATTTTGCTTAGTTATATGATCCAGCATAGACTGTGTGTCTACACATGATAGTCTTTACAAGCATTTTAACGGATTAAACCAATCAGTTAAAGGAGTTAACATCTGAAAAGTTTAATTCACTCTTAATCCAAACTCGTCTGCTGTCATTATCTTCGGCATTGTGCTCATCTTTCTCCAAACTCTCTTTATGATTAATATTGATCACATTCTGTGGGTTACATACGTGCATACTGTACTGTAGATGATTCAAGGTTTCCACACCTACACAGCACAGATCCTTGTCTCCCAGCTTGTTGAGCTGAGAACGTGGCCTTGTACCAGGTACCAGCCCACTGAATGAATAAAACAGTGTTAGCAAGTTAATCATCTGTTCTCGTTTACAGCTTAGTTGTCTTGGAGAGTCGCACAAAATAAAGAACAGCTTTCAGGTCTGAAAAAAAAAGGGGGGGCCATATTTAGAGTGTTACATGTCATCGGATGCTTTAACTTATCTGCATATGTATATGACACGTTGAAATATCACACACTTAGAGGACCAAATAGCTTTCCTTTAAAGCGTGAATTCAAGCTAATTTTACTTATTCATCCGCTCGTAGGATATCATTAGGTATTCGAATACAGCGAGAGGTAAAGAACTCTATACTGAGTTTTAGTTTTCTGCTGCACTTTCGAACCTGCACATGAAAATAAATTGCAATAAGTCTTTGAGTTTTGACTTTGTGCACACATCATCAAATGGCTGCATGATTTAAGTGGACAGCCACATCCAGCGTCCTTGTAAATTATCCCCTTTAATTAATTTGAAAAGCCTCCCTTTGTTACAAAAAAAATAATGATGTATAGGGTTTAATGAAACATATGCGTTGAATAATTGGTTTCGTTTATGAAAAGGGGATTTCAGCATTTAATGAGGTAAAACTTTTAATACCATAAAACAGCCATAAGTCATCATGCTATTGCGTTTCAGCGCAGCAACGACAAACACATCTGTCAGCGGGGTAACTTATGCCACATTAAGCTTTTTAATTTTTGCAATAATAATGATGACCTAAAACCAGCAACCCCTCCCCAACCCCCAGCTGCCATCTTGGTTGTGTGTCCTAGAAAACAGATGACACAGCTGTCACTGAAAAACTACACACCAGTGATTATTTTTTTTTGTGTTCAGCAGAATTAACGCTGGCTTAGTTTGGTACTTTGTCTGGTGTGAGATAACCACTGTACGTATTATTTAAATGCATTTTGTGTTTGCTTTGCGTTTCAAGATATTTTTCATGTTTACAGAGAAATGCTGTTAGGTTCAAGTTTACCATATCACCACTGTCATATTAATGAGGCAGCGTACGGTTTTATTTACACTCCTTTCAGTGTAATCAGGAAAAAAGGTCCTGTTTTTCTCCCCTGTTTCATTTGTTTTCACATATCAGCTCACACCGCAATGATATATAAGGCACTCATTATCTATTGTACTCTTTAGAGCATGTTTTGACTTGTTGTTATTGATTTAAATTAAGGATTCAGCTTCTTTGTCTTCAGGACATGCTCATAGAAGTGGATGAAAACGGCACCCTGGACTTGAGTATGAAGAAGTGTAAAGAAACTATAAAAGCGCAAACAAAAACACCTTTGGACGACCCGCTGTCCCCGTCTGAGTCCTCTATGGCCAAAAGCGGGACAATGCTCATCAGCCCCGCCTTCTACCAGCCGCTGTGTGAGAGAGACAGCTGGGAGAGCCCTGTCCCTGTCAACTTCAGCAAAGCACACGTTTTACAGGATCCAGAGGTAAGGGAAAAAACAAAAACAACAATAACAACTGCCACTTTAGATGTAATCTGGACATGCAAAAATGCACTTAGTGCGCTGGAAATGGGAAAAATCAAATGATGCTTGTTTGAGAGTGACATGGTGTACAGTATCTGGTGTTGTAATACGTGACAAACAGAGAGCTCAGTTACACAAAGTGACGATGCCACATGGAGATGAAGCAGCTCTTTAAAAGACAATAAAAAGAGGGATAGTAAGAGTCACGATGCCCCGGGAAGCAGGACCTGAGACAAGGTTTTACCTGAATACTTTTTAAAGTTCTTTGAAAAATAACTTTGATTGTTCCTGTTTTAATCTCAAACTGACTAATGCAGCTATATTTTCTCTGTCTACTCTGAAATGAACACAATAAAGCTGACTTAAATAACTTTGTCAGAACTCTTTCTTTCTGTATCATCTCAAGAACTTGGGCCTGATAGAAAAGCCCTCTAGAAAATATATGATGAAAACTTTAGGCCCATCTACCTGAAATACAGTACTGCAAATTAATTTTCCATGATGGTCTTAAGGCTGTTTCAAAGCCCTCCTCTCTCTTTTAAGAATTTAAGGAATACTGGGTCTTCTTTTTTTTATCATTATCTATCAGAATCAATAATAAATATAATATCTATATCACCTTTGATATATCATCTTTGAGGTTGTCAAATCATTAAAATATATAAATACTCTCTTTTATTCTTAATTAAAGCGTCGACCTGTTTGCAGAGAAACTGGTCAAACATTTACCTTGACTTTTTTTTGTCATTTCATACAAAGAACCGGTGCCGGTTTGGGCGTCATATATCATTTCTGTACGGGGGGCCTGGCTGAATCTTAATCTGTGTTTTTAAAGGTTTTCTTCTCGGTTGGTATTCGGTTGTCGTTGATATTATGAGTTATCACATCACATGTGACCTGCTTTTAAAACACAGACAACATCTGGTGTCGGCACAATCTTGCCTGTGAAAAAAAAGAAATCCATACGTCATGGCTATACATCATAAATACTTTGTGGATTAAGAGTGACTTTAAATGGATGTATGGTTTACTACAGTGTAAGTATCCTTAAGCATAATCTCTCTGCTTTGCACTCTAACCCTTAGGGTTTGTGTTTTAAGAGTATTATTCAGAGCTTTTCATTAATTATTCACTTTTAGGTCATTGAGGCTCGTGGTCAGTCAGGCCTGATAGACATTAAAACCATGTTTTCACTTGTTTCTTTCTCTGTAGGAGGATTATGATCACATCTCTTTGGAGGACCAACAATATCAAGGAGATGGCAGCATGCTGAGTCCAAAAGCCAAGCTGCTGTTACGGGACTCAAAGAAAGAGCTTTTGAGGTATGAAGACTGAAACAACTAGAGGCATCTTTATCCAGTCAGCTGTGTATAATGTGAGCCTCCCCTCTAGTTGGCAGATGGTCAGCTGTTACTAAAGGAGTTTAGCGCAGAACCGTACCTTTGTTTCAATGGGGCACTTTGATAAAAGTGAGTGAAAAACGCACTGAAACTCACACATGGTTATGACTGGTATTTCTGCAGGTTCATGTGGAGCAGAAATGTATTTGAAAGTGAGTTTTCTCTCTGTATGTCCTGTAAAAGCTTACAACTCTCAGCTCTTGTAGTTAGAGTGCATGCTCTGCTGGGTCTCCTCTTGAGAATAACTCTACGAGAAAAAGTAGGATTCTCTAGTTTTCCACGGCACAGCACTCCCTCAGATCTCCACAGTGACATTCAGAAACACTACCAAACTGGATATATCGAGCAGAAATAATTTTTTCCACTAAACTTCCTGCCGTACTAACTCTTATTTTTCTCTTTAACACCCATGTAAAGGTTGTTGGTGTAACAAAAAAAAAAGAAAAAGAAAAAAAGATTCAGTTCAAGCTTGGCAAAGTCTGTGGGAAGTGGAGTAATCTGTGCATTAAATGCTTTGTGTTCTCCTGCAGCTGTCCGACCCCAGGCTGTGACGGCAGCGGCCATGTGACGGGGAATTATGCATCACATCGGAGGTACCGTAATTAATTACTCTCTCATTAGCACCAGCTAGCAGATATAAAGACGAGAGGGAAACAGTGTTGAGTGGTTAAATTATGTTAATTATTACAGTTACAAACTTGTCACATAGCTTGTAGAGTTTAATATCAAATAGCACTTGATATAAAAAAAAAAAACCACACTGACACAATAAGCTTTCTAATGACAAGGGGGTAGAATTGTGTTTTCATATAATTTAGTATAAATATGCGTTGAGACATTGTATTAAGATTATTCAATTCAGCTGTGATCAAAGAGTGCATTAAAATGACTGTTAGCTCTTTATCCTCTCTAGTGTGTCTGGATGTCCCCTGGCTGACAAAACACTCAAATCACTGATGGCAGCCAACTCTCAGGAACTAAAGTATGTGTTTTGAAAACTGTTATTGTTGCTAAAGGATTTATCACGTTGAACTAGGCAGCTTGTTTTTGCCTCAGCTTTGGGTCAATGCTTTCCTTTTTCCCTTTTCCTTCTCTTTCTACCACACATTAAGCACCATTTCCATGAACTCCACATGAAGTTGTTTTTTGCTATTTGTACTCTCTTTCTGCATATTAGCATGAATCCAGTGCTCTGCTTGCAGTCTTTTGCTGTAAAAAGCACCTGGTCTCTGTGTCTCTCAACCTGCAGGTGCCCAACACCTGGTTGTGATGGATCTGGACATGTGACTGGGAACTATGCTTCGCACAGAAGGTAGCAGAGAGAAATCATCGCAACTGAGCATGAAATACATTTATCAGATGCATGACATTCAAACAGATGGTGAAAGTCTCACTTTATGCTGCAAACATGCTGCACTTTTTGAATTCTTGTGTTTATTGATTTACTTGGCTGCCTCCTCATATTACCATCGATGTCTCTAGCAGTGCATGTCTGTCGTGTTTTAAAACCCACATAACTCACCATTTAAACAGAGCAGCGCCGTGTGTTAATGCAAAGTAAAGATGTATTGAGCAGATGACATGATTTGGATTTATAGGTTTAGAATCGACTGAAAACTGCCTAAAACAAGTCACCTTTGTTTTTTTTACTCCAGTATATTTCCTCACATTAACCCATGCTGTCTCCAATCGTCTTCAGCTTGTCAGGATGTCCACGTGCCAGAAAAGGAGGTTTGAAGCTCACACCAAACAAGGATGACAAAGATGAGCAAGAGCTTAAGTAAGAGATTTGTTTTTTTCCCCCCTCATCCCGTGCTGTCATGTTTTTTTGTTTGGAAAATAAAACAAGAAAAACATTGTGAAAATGCGTCATGTGTTTGTGCCTGTGGCGTTATACCTGGAGGCCATTAAGTTAAACAAAGAAAATAATTCTTCTCTTGCCGCAACATTAGTGAATTATTTTCTGAGGATTAGCAGTTTGTTTTTGTGGGATTTTTCCAGGGTTTTTGTTTTTTCCCCTGTTTTCTGAATGGAATATCTGGCTTATTACTCTTCCCTGAGTGCTTTCTTTGTAATTAAACTATATTAAGAAAATGCTGAATTGCTTGCTCTGATGGCATTGCACTTATTTGCGGCTTAATCACTGTCTGTGAAAGTGTTATTGGAAAAAAAAAATAATGTAATTGATTTGCAGTTAAATCCAAAGTCAGATATATGAGCCCTTGTTTACTTATACATCTGGACACAGATTTTTTCTTTTTAATTACTAATGCAAGGCCACGAGCTTAGGAATTAGACTGGAATAGATCTCATACACATTAAGAGAGAAAGAGAGAGGAAGGGGGAGGGAAGCAAATGTCCCTAGATTATTGTAAATAGTGGGCCATATGGCATGGCTCCATTGTCCTGGTGCCTTGCATCAAGCTACCTACCTGTGCTGGTTGGAAGTAATGGAACTGCTGTTGTTTTGTCCTCTAAGTGCTGCGCTGCTGTCGAGTAACAAAATGCTGAAACAGGCTTTTTGCAGCAGCACTCTGCAGCATGTGTGCTATTTGTATCATCTCAGGTGACCTTTCACCTTTATCAATAAGGGAAAGGGTTAGCCACCCCCCTAAATTACGTTCTTTCGCATGAGGGGATCCATGACAATTATCTGTAATTCATGTCACTCCATTACTGACCTGCAGAAAACAGGCCTCAATTCCAACTGACAAACTCTTAATGATATTCAGAGTTATGTTTTCAAGCACAAATATCAGCAACCTCAAAAAAAAAAAAAAAATCCCACTAAACAGAGCGCTCGTTCCGCCCAAAGTTTTAGTGGATTAGTAACTTATAGTTAATGCGATTATTTCTAGTTTTGGCGACTTTATTTTTAATCAGCATTTGGCTGGATTAATCAACTTAATGGTTAACAAATCTTCCGGTCTAGTTATTGAAAGAGAGATTTGTTGTTTTTTTAATGATGTGGTTGTTATTTTTTCAGCAGTTAAATGTCTGTGTTTTGTCTGGAGCTTAGAAATATCATTTAATACAAGTTGGTCACATATTCCCAGTGTGAATCAGCAGCGTTCACAGGTTTAAACGTGCGCAAATCTTTTTGTCTCTCTCCGGTAGGTGCCCAGTACTCGGATGTGATGGGCAGGGCCATATATCGGGAAAATACACATCCCATCGCAGCGCAGGCAGTTGTCCACTTGCTGCCAAAAGACAGAAGGAGTCGTCCATCAATGGGCTGCCCTTTGCCTGGAAGGCCAATAAACAGGAACTGCCCCATTGTCCCTTGCCTGGCTGCAATGGCCTTGGACATGCCAATAATGTGTTTGCCACTCACAGAAGGTGAGGTCGCCTGTCCTCCATTTTATCTTGAAACAATGCAGCCGGTCGACATGTTGCGTCCCTACAATGGCTGCTTTACTCCCATTAACAGTCTCTATTGATGCCCAACTTTGTGATATCCTTCCACCTAAAATCTGTCATTTATGACCTGCTGTACTAGCTTGTCGGGTTGCCCCCTGAACGCACAGAGTATCAAGAAAAAGCACACAGAAGAAGAGATGACTATCAAACTGAAAGCAAGCAGTGGTAAGCTACTCCAGAGCTCTGTGTGTGATGAAATAGCACAATATTTATGGCCACGTGTATACTGAATCAGTATTTTCTACTTGAGCATGATAAATAAAAGGATTCGCTTCATCTCAGGTGTTGAAAACAAAGAAGATATTCAACATTTGGATCATGAAATAAACGAACTGAATGAGTCCAATATGAAAATAGAAGCAGACATGATGCAACTCCAAACCCAGGTAAATATCCATTCTGACGTGCCTCATTTTTCAGGACATGGAAGTTTGAGATCTCAATTTTACACGTTTGTGTTTCTGCTGTGTGTGTTTTTTTTTTTGTACTCGAAAGCAGATCTCGTCTATGGAATGTAACCTGAAGACAATTGAAGAAGAGAACAAGATGATCGAACAGCACAACGACAGCCTCCTGAAGGAGCTCGCTCGCCTTAGCCAAGCTCTCATTAACAGTCTAACAGACATTCAGCTGCCTCAAATGGTACAGTAAGCCTTGACCACTGACTCCAACACCACCACTCATTATATCTAACCTGTCCTGGAAGATATCTCATTTTCTATAAATTGTCTTTTTCTGCTCTGCTGTTGTCACTAATAGTCACACGTGTTTTTGTTGCAGGGACCCATCAGTGAGCATAATTTTGAAGCCTATGTGAACACATTAACTGATATGTACAACAACTCGGAGCATGAATACTCTCCAGAGTGCAAGGCCCTCTTGGATAATATCAAACAGGCTATTAAGGGCATCCATGTTTAAGCTGTAGAGCTACCAAGAGGTTTCTTTGACTTGGGATAATGGCACTAGATAGCTCTATTTTACTGAAGAGTGCTGGCTTGGCTGCATGTGTAAGACGAGGCTTTTGGAAATGTGTTTGGCATTTCCACGGTAAATACACTGCACTGAGAAAATGACCAGCCGGATTTGTAATGCTTTCTCTGTTTCTGCATTCACTTGATATGTTTATCCTGGTGAGATTTTTACCCCTCTTGCACTTAATTATTTTGTAAGGTTTGCTTGATTTTAATCTGTATGTGTTCATGTCATTCTTATATTATCACTATTTATTATTATTATTATGATTATTATTATTATTATTATATTTGTTCATCAGTGTATTTATTTCCTTGATTTTTATTTATTTCTAGAATTGTAAATGATTAATATTTGCGAAATCTGTTTCTGCACATTGTAAATTACATAGAAGCACATTCCAGTTTCATGGCATACTTTCGCCATCTAGTGTTGAAAAGGTATATTATTATTATTATCACAATTATTATTATTGTTATTATTAGACCATAAGTTTGATTCCCTTCAAAGTAAAATCTACCAAAACGATTAATCGTCAATATTTTTAAGCATTGCTTTCTATGTTTATTGGAAACTGAATGTATGACAAGACAAAGTGAATCAACGGATTAAGTAAAAAAAAAAAAAAAATGCAATGCAAATGTACTGTACCTTATTCTTCTTAAACCAATAGCAACTGCAACCCGGGGGTGGCAGTGAGCGAAAAAATGCAACATCATGTAGTGACCTGAATGTCAGATTCCGCTTTGCGTACAGCGCCACAAGACGAGAGCAACAAAAATCAAAAATCCACTTTGTCAAGATGTCTTTTTTTTTATTTTGAATATAGATATTAAACTGCCTTCTGTGCACACACTTTGGAGTGTGCATATAGTATGTGCCTAAATGTATATGAATCCATAAAAATATACGAGTAATATGTTTTGTGGTAGGACAGTATTATGTGGATGGTGTCTAATTTATTATACAGTTCAATTATTTTCATAGGAGGAAACGTTCCTGATGACTGTTGAAATACCGTTGTCTCAGTAGCTGTAATCTCAGAGCCAGGTTTTGAAAAATCATGACTGAGATTGAAAAGTCTGGTGTTCATTTTAACTTTTACATGCATTCAGAGGGGGAGAAAAAAAAGGAATGAATGAATTTTAAAAGCAAACGTCTACTCTTGTTTTCTCCTAAACTGCTTTCAAGCCTTAACATTTCACCAAGTCCTACATTTTGAATATTCTTGTAACGCTTGGAGCAGATTTGAATAGTAGCTGTTTCAAAACTGAGCTGACCACCACCACAACTCACATTTCAGTTTCAGTCTTTAAATGCAAAAGAAAAAAGGAAAAAAGACATAAAAGGAAAGAAAAATATACACAAATAATAGCTGTTGGCTAATCGGTTGTTTGTTTGCATCAATTGCACTTTTGTATTTTCATTTATTTTGAATTTTAGTTCACTAAACTGCCCTTGACTTGAACAAAAAAAAAAGAGGGAAATGTAACACTACAGTTATGTCTCTGTTCGATAGACATCTGAATTTTACTTCGAGTCTAAAACGACGACAAAAAAAAGACAATTTATTTAAGCAATACCTTTCTCATTTCTGCAAAAAAAAAAAGGAGTCAAACACATGTAGCCTTGAAAATTTCAAAGAAAACAAAAAATGTAACAGCAAATGAGCCAAATTACATAAAAATAGGACCCTATTTCATCCAAATACTCAATATGTTTTAAAGAATTTTAATCTTTTAAAAATTTGAATCACATTCTTTAACCTTACAATCCTTTATCAATGATTTCTTTTATTTAATTCCTCTACCACACATTGTTTGCTCAGGAAGTTTTGTGAATAATATTTATTTTTTCCCTGTTAGTATTTGATGTTTTGTAATGTGAGATGCTTTTTTGTGGAACGATATTAGTATGATATGAAATTGTATTGTATTTTCTTTTCTTTACATTCAATTGTAATGCTTTTTTTCAGTTGAAGTAGTTTGTAAATTGAAACTTCCTATTACTTTTACTATTTCATAATAAACAGATATGCGCTGTGTTGTACAGTTTGTGTATGGTAGAAATAAACTTTTCAAATGCTTGTGTGGCTTCTTAAAGCTCCTGCTGTCGATGAATGTCAACTTATCTACCCCCTGAAATTTCGAGGAAGGTTGAAAATTTCCTTTGGCACTAGCACCACTATGTGGTGAAACATAGGTATTACATCTGAGATCTAATACACAGGAGTGGTCAATGGAGTCCAAACACAGAGAACTGTTTGGGTTAGAAATGAGAATTAAAAGGGCGGTATCTGTGTCCTCTTGATGTTAGATACTGACCATGTAACCGAGCCAGGTTTAGTCCTGCACTGCCGTTTGATTTACATCTCTCTCTCTCTCTGCTAAATTAAAGTAGAGGACTTCAAATAATTCGACATATAGAGCTGCAGGCGGCAATCTTCTGTTGTCTTTTCTCCAAATGGATTAGTTTTTATCAATAATTAATCTCCTGCTTATTTTCCAATTACATGAATAAATCATTAGGGATGTAAATGTCAGAGTGGTGGAAAATTATCACATGTCACTTTCCTGTTGCTCCTTTTACTTTACTCTCAGCCAGAAATTCAAAGATCTCTCCTTAAGAACATTTCACATGAGTCTTCCCACTTGTCACTACTTTTCTCCTTTTTACCACAATGTTTCAGAGGGGATGTAGTTCCTATATACACTTAATAATGAAAAAGCTGTAATAATAATAATTAAAAATTCAATCTTTTCTTTAACAACTCACTCAGAACTTAATATGAACTCACCTCTTATGCATCACAACTACATATAGAAGGTCATATTGATGCATCTACCAAGCATCCATAACAGCTTATAGCAATGTTTATGATATACTTTTGGCAATGAACATCATGTCCTCTAAAGGTAACTTTTTATGACTTTTAAAACTTAGTTATGATTTTTTAAAATAACATTTTTTATTATTGTCTCATATGGGTTGTTATAAATTTTATAGATGCATTTTAAGGCTTCCTCTTGAACCAACAAGAGTGAAGCACTTTTAGTATTTAGCAAGTTATGGTGGCAAGGAAAAACTTCCCTGTAAACCTTGAACAGAACAAGACTCATGCTAGTCTGCTACCTGCCGCAACTGGGTTGGGGAAGAGGGGGGGATAGATGGAGATAAAAGAGAGAGAGGGAGAGAGAGAGAGCGAGGGTGTGAGAGGGAGGGAGGGAGAGAGAGAGAGACAGAGAGAGGGGGACAGCAACAACAACAGCTCATACAGAGTCCTGGTTACAACGCCAATAATGATGGAGAATATGAGAATATGAGTTCTATTTACAGGATCAGGAAATAAGTACTAACAGACTGATGTTAAATTCATTTAAGGTGATTATATTGAGCAGGCCAAGTGTTAATTAACTCTAGCATTTAGTTATTAATGTTGGTGAGGCTGATGTACATGTACACAGCAACAGTCCAGAGGACCATAGAAAGGAAGAAGCTCAGGGCCCTGAGGCGGACAATCATAGATGATGCAGCTGGGGTCAGGCAGGTCCACAGCAGCTGACCGTCTATAGCATCAGTCCAGAGGAACCCAGGAGACTGGGACACTCAGAAAGGTTAGTTCATATAAATTGCTTCCCAACATGTCATTCTCTTTACATTTTTATCTGTATCATATCAACCTCCATGACCACAATGCAATGCTGCTCTACTAAGGTAACAAAAGTGTACTTGTGAATACTTGACGAAAAACACCAACTCGCTCAATCCTGTTCCTATCATGGCAGTAAGGTTGTTTTTGTTGTTGTAGTAGGGAAAGTTACTCACGCAAACAGAGTTTCCAATCATAAATCTGTTCCTTTAAATAGAAGTCAGCATATGCAAGTTGCCACCTAAATAAATATACACAGTTTAAACTGTAGTGTGGCAACGACGCAGTATCCTAAACACAAGGCTGCTGGCTTTCAGCCAACATCACCACTAACATATTTTCTCTAATCCGACATGGGGACTCCCTGTAATGTATATTCTGCAGAGTGAGTTCCTGGAAGGGTGACGGTATACATGGTGTGTTGACAGCAACAAACACACTGCAGGAGTCTGACCTCGGCTCACCCCGCTGTCATAAACAATGTCTGTTTTCAACTTTGTTACGAAACACAAGACTAGAAGGTGTTGAATCTGATGGGACAGGCAAGTGCGGACAAATCAAAACCCCTGCTGTTGTGTAATACATGAGGGGTTTTTTTAGCTGAAATGAATTTTTATGAAGGCCTTATTACTTGTGTTGAGAGCACTGAGGTCATGTCCTGATTCAGCACTGATATAACCTGAGGGGAGTTTACATTTTGCTAGTTCAACATGATGTATTTATAAAGCTTGCTGTGCTAACTTATGGATATCATCTTAATGTTGGATTGGGCCCTCTTATTTTGAATTGTATTGCTGACAGTGTGAGCAATATAAAAATCAAGAAAAATGTGAAAGAGTGAAAATCTCAAGATCTTTACTGGGGATTGTAGAAACAGTTTTTTCTGTATTTTTTAAGTAGCCCTGGTTTCATGCATTGAAAACTAATTATAAAGGTAAAATCAGGCCATACCTGGAAGAGGGATGCTATGAAGCTCTTGTGGCCACAAGTGACTTGGCTAATGTTCCTGAATGAGTGGCTGCTGACAGTATAAAATTACTAAATGACTACATGAAGTCTGAACCCCCTGTGTTTTGTCATGCTCTCAGGGTGCAGTACTCAGCTGTTATGCAAAGCACTATCTGTGGAAGTAGATAAATACTTTACCTTAGGGGACCTGGGGGAGAAACAAAGGCTCAGTTTGCAAAAGAAGTCGGGTGTTGCTGCAAAATCAAGCCCAATGTATCATTAATTAAGCCCATGTTTCTTGATAAAAAACTGCATATTTGACGTACAAATCTTTTTGAAACAAGTACAACACAATGTAGAGATGAGGTAAAGTGAGGTCTCTGAAGCCTCGACTTTCTACAGTACAGGAAACTACTGTACAAGAAAAGCTATCAAGTGAAAGCTGACAGACCCGGACCTGAGACCGTCTGCCGCCCACGTCTATGTCCTTATTAAACCTGGTGATCATCCTTTCCCACACTTCCAGAAGAGGCCAGAAACCAGCTGCAGGCTAAATTTAGGTCTTTCCTTTAGGGAACTGTGAGAGGTTACAAGGTGGGTGAAGCTTTCCACGATCTTTCCAAATTTATACCCTCTCTTGTTATTAAAGGAAATCATCACGGACAGGCTCAGCGCTTTGGGCCAGACATATAGCTCCTGAACTTTTTCTCAACCTGTATGTGGATATAGTCCCTTAACTTCAAGGAGAGATGTCAAACTGTGTTTTCAAGGGGAAAACTGAATAACCTACGCCATAGTTACAACAGTGCCACCTTCTTAAAAGTATTATCACATCCACCTGACTTAAGTTGTATAGTTTAAACACAGTATATAGTTATAGACACTATAAATCACATTAATCGCATTATAAATGCGTGGAATAACAGTAAAATGAACCATGTCTTCAAAGACAGTGACTAAAAAACTCAATTATCCTCAAATGCAGATGGGTTGTAATGGAAAGTAATCACTCTATGTCAGAGGAAATTAATGAAAAGGTACATGTAAACAGTGGTAGATTTAATACACACCTCAAGTAACAAAAGTAGATACTGCGCAGAATGGCCGATTTCAATATAATGAGTTATATTACAAGAGTAATATGCCATAGATGCAACAGTGCAGTGTACCACTTTCTTAAAAGTTTTATCTCATACACCTAACTCTGAAAATGTATCGTTTGAACACAGCATATAGTTTAAGACAGTAGCAGTATAAGTCACATGCATGTGTATAATAACAGTAAAACGAACCAGGTTTTTAAAGACAGTGACTGAAAAACTCAATTTTCATCAAATTCAGAGACTATGTCAGTGGAAATTGAAGGAAGATACATGTAAATAGTGGTAGATTCAATACACGCCTCAAGCAACTAAAGTAGTTATTGTGCAGAATGATCTATTTCAAAATAACAAGTAACATTACAAGTTACATTACAGGAGTAATATGCCATAGATGCAACAGTGCAGCTGAAAAACTCAATATTCATCAAATTCATCCATAGGTTGTAATGGAGAGTAATTACTCTATGTCAGTGGAAATTAAAGATACATGTAAATAGTGGCAGATTCAGTATATGCTTAAAGCAACAAAAGTAGCTATTGTGCAGAATGGCCCATTTCAAAATAATGAGTTATATTAAAGGAGTAAATAATCAAGAATTTATTTATAGATCTCTAAAGTAAAGTAGTCAACCAGTACCTACAATTTGACATAAGGCCAGTCAGTCAGATAAAGACAGTCAGTCAACTTATTTCAGTTTTTCATCATATAGCAATAGATAGATAGATAGATAGATAGATAGATAGATAGATAGATTTGAGCAACAGTGCTTCCCTCTACCGTCATCATTTTTCGTCACGTGACCTGTGTTTACATCCTCCTCAGCTGTTTCTTTCTTCTTCCACTTGGACACAGCGGCTCGCCGTGTCACTACTTTACCTTTCCACACAACTTGTTAGTTTGCACAGTTTAGTGCTGGTTTAGCATCAGAAGGAGGCTGTCAACGTCTGAAAGCGGCTGTCACACTGACTGACCGACACGGTGCAACATCTACACACGGAGAGTGAGTTAATGCGACACGGAATCGTGAGTATTTTCTAATGCTTTTGGAGTTAATTTAAAGTTAGGCGTTTTACAACATTGGCAGAAATGTGAGCTTTGGTAGATGTGATCCGCTAAGCTAACACACTGTGGAGTGTGTGTTTGCTGTGTGTGAGCTTACCTAACCTCCTGCTTTGTCTCTGTTCAGATGATGGCGCACTCAGGCCCACGAAGCTAACGCTAGCTTGTTTCATTGGCAGATGGCGATGTCTAACACTAGAAGCTAGCGTAAACACTTTTCTTCAATTTGACAATTAACATTCATTTCTCTGTAAGTTTGATAAAAGGTTGTACAGTGTGCACCTCGTCTTCCGTCTTCCTGTGTCTAACGCTTTAAAGCATCTCAGTGTACTCATTTATTGGGTTCTTTAGGGTCCAAAAACATCAACATTACGTTTGTTGTTTTGGGTAAATCTTTCTCTACCGTTTCTAAAACCCTGCAGCGATATTTGAGCCCTTTAGTATCAAACCGGTTTATCCAGCCGCTGCTAAAGATTGAGGTTAATCGCACTGCAGAGAGCTGGCCAGCAACTGCGTTTTACCCGACAAGTGGGAACAAAAGCTGAATGATGAATGCTCAAAAAACACACACACGGGCCTTTTTCTATTGTTTGTCAGCAGGTGTGTGAATACGTACATGGTCCACCGTGTTATATCTCACAGCGTGGACGGGCAGGATTGAGAAATAGCCGTGGTTTTATAACGCTTGACAACATTTCATGAAAACGCTGTTGTTGTTTTGCTCCATCGTCACACGCAGTGCGAAGAAAGTGTCCCAGGCAGCTGATTGGCTGACAGGATGCCGTCTGTGTGGCAACTGTAGCACGTGACCAGAAAGAGCGCTGATTGGCTCCGTCAGGTGTCAGTCGTGGGAATACAGGAACATCTGTGAACATCGCTGCATCTAGATACAAGCCAGTGAGGAAGAAATGGTAGTACACTGCATCTGTGTGAAATATTAGTCCTGACTCCAAGTGCCCTCTAAAGTTTTCACTCTAAAGCTTATTGTAGAAACTCCATTCAATCTAGTAAACTACAAACGAAAAAAACGTGTCAATATTTTGTTTATTTGTTTTCTATAATAAACAAAAAATAAAATATTAGTGTTTGTTTTCGTATTTTCAGTTCAAAACAGAATATATGAAATAATATAAAATGGAAACAAAAACGAAATAATAAATCTACTTTTCGTTTTCGAGTTATTGATGGCTGTATCATGTGTCAATCAAAGAAAACATGAACCCCCTAATAACTTTGAAAAACGGAGCTTCACAGAAAAAAAGAGGACTTGAGCACAAACTAGTCTCACTGTAACTACATGTCAACACCGCAAGCAGAGGGAGAAAAATTTATATTCTGTGTAATAAATTTCTAAAGTTTGTCCACAGCTCCATAAGCTTTGCTGGCGGAGGCGGGATTTATGACCTATACTGTAGCCCGTCACCAGAGGGTGCTGTTCTCTGAGTGGCTTCACCCAGAAAGGAGGCAGACACTGTCCATTCTATTTACAGTCTATGAGATGGACACGTCCTACGTATTATTCAAAGCAGCCAGGAGGGTCACGCTGAAGGAGGAAGATATGACTGTAGAAAAAATCACAACCAGGGCTGTGTCCGAAATGGATCCCTAATCCCTATATAGGCGACTATATGGGGGTAAGTGCCATTTTGAGGGGTATCTGAAACCTGAGTGATCAATTCCAATGCCCCATATAGGCCACTCAAAATTTCCCATAGAGCAATGTAGTGACCATCCGATAGTCACTCACCAATGGTGGGCATCCCCTCGTGCATTGCGTCATGCCATGTAGTGTCCCCTTTAAAAACACTACCGAAAATAGCACCTAACACGGAGTTTAATTTAACAGGAAGCCATGGGAGATGTAATAAACAATTCAATCATTTGCTTATCTGTTATTGAATTCAATGGTCATTTTTATCCTCTTTTAATTTGTGCTAATCTTAAAACAGTAGGTTTCAAATCAAATCCCCAAAAGTCGTTTTGCATTAACTTACTGCCATTGAGATGTTAAAAGAGGTAAACAACCTCTACCTGCTGCTCCTTTTTCAGGAAATTCCATAATTACTGAAACTGTTAAAAAAATATGTTGTCAATTCAGTCATACACAAACTAATTCTCCTTTGTGTTGATGAAGTATTGATTTACAATAGTTCCATTTCCCCTTTCTTTGAGCCATATATTTATTTTAAAAAAATTGCAACCAAATATTATCACACTGATTGTTTTTTTCCCCCATTTGAACTACAGAAAAAAGAAGTACACCATCACAGAAGAAAAAATTGAACTATTCTCAATCATCTGGATCGTAGAGGATCTTAAAGGCTAGGACTGCAGCCAACAATTACTGAATAGTTTACTGGTCATTTTCTCAAGTAATAGTTATGTCGATAAAATGAAGGGAAAAATAGTCAAACAATAATTTCTTGGGCCTCAAGGTGGCATCTTGTGATGTGTTGTTCTGTTCTGCCATCTTTACAGACTCACTCATTTATTATCATAAATTCAAAGACAAATGGTAAAATCTTTTTTGATATTTATGTATAGGAGCTGAACCCCACACACATATTAGGATTTCTGCATAGAGAGACATTTAATCTCCAGTCAGTCTCCTAACCAAATCCACTGCAGTAAGCTGCATCTCTAGTTGAAAGCACTCTGCTAAAACAAAAGAGTGACAACAATTAACGTTTGAAGTCTATGGTACTGCTGGCAACCCTGTGATTATTTTCCACTTTCTACCCATCAGAAAAACAAAGTTCTTGCTGGTTCATCTTGGTGCCACAAATTAAGTCAAAAGCAGATTATGTGAGCCAAACACTCATCATTAATAGCAGTGCTGCATGACCTCTTTTTTATTATGCAAAAACAAGAGGTGACAAACAGAGGAGATAATAAAAAGAAACTACCAAAGTTTTGATTTTCTTTCTTCACACAAACATGCTCACATTGAGTCATTTCTTGTTTTGAGCTTCCACAGCCACATCCCTTGGCTGTTTTGCTTAATTAACGCAGAGTCCAGTCAAACTTGCATGAATACAGAAAGAGGCGACTTCATTAAATTGGATGATCCTGATATTCAGCCTGGGGATGGAGTCAGAGAGGGTAGCCATATTGTTTTGCAAATCAAAAGAGTTAATTTAACTCACTGTTGAGCAGTGGCGATTTTGGTCTGGAAATTCTGGTGGGGCCATGAAGGAATATCTCATAATGCAATCCAGAAATATCAGATATTACTCTCTTACCCTCACAACAAAAGCACAGCAGCAAGTGAGGTAAAGGACCACAGCACAAACAATGGCAGTCTAGCGACACATATTATCACACCAATATCGCCACCAAATGTCAGTGTTTAAGACCACACAATATCAAATACTCATGATCGAAACAACGTGACAAGACCATGGCGTGAACGGCGCACACCCAATACACAGCAGTCAATATACAAAGCCACCAAACACAGTATACCACAGCCAAACAACCATTTTAGCACCAAAAACAGGTGAACAGCTCCAATGTGAGGTTGTATCCACCACACACAACATATAAACTACATTTTAAATTCCACTCACCGATGTAGACCACTTTTTGAGGAGGAATGACGCTCTGCGGTCCTTCATGTGCGCAATCTTCTCCGTGACCCGTAGTAATCCAATCCATGAATGAAAAATGTGATTTGCTATGTTGTGCTAATACGGTAGCCGAGCTAGCGAGACCTGCGCGCCTGTGTTTCTTCTAATCAGCCAATTAGAAGCGCTCTAGGGCCCCGAACTTCGGGCCCGATTGCCGACATTTAAGTATGCGCTGCGCACGCGCATACCTGCGCAGCCGTTCGCCATCTCAACCGTGCCCTACTGAGCGGAAACAGAGGCACAATGAACTTTTAGGAAATGTACGGTGGCCAAAAACCGCCACTGCTGCAAATAAAAAAGAATGCAAAAAAAAAAAGAGAAGAAAACGGAGCTGCAAAAAAAAAAAAAAGAAACGGTAAAGATTAAAAAAAAGCCACAACAGAAGTTAACAACATAAAAAAAGTGGTTATAGATAAAAATAAAAAAAGTTAGTTAATGCGAAGATAAAAGGATGCAAATTAAAAAAAGCCACAACGGAAGTGAGCTGCCAGGGACCAATAATGATGATGCGTCGGTGTTTCACGATCTAGGCACAGAAGACAACAGCGAAAAGACGAGCAAAGAAGTTAGTGGAAAGGTTATTGTTTAATTTTGTGTACTTTTCAATGTGTCATTTGATTAGGCCATGTAGCGCCCGAGTCAATACGAAGTTGAACTGAAGCTAACACTACCAGGGCATCCTTACGTTCAACTTTATATCGACTCAGACGCTACATGGCCTAATCAAATGACCAAGAAAAGCACACAAAGTTAAATTAAACAATAACCTTTCCACTTACTTATTTGCCCTTTTGTTTGTTTGTTTGTTCGTTTGTTTGTTTGTTTTCATCAGTAACTTCAGTTGTGACTTCTTTTTTTTGCATTCTTTTTTATTCGCAGCAGTGGCGGGTCTTGGCCACCGCAGCACACAACGACACAACAGGGAGTAGGGAAACTGCAGACATCTCAGTGTGGACAAATTTGAATTTTTTATTAACTTATGCTCAACGACATATTTGACTCAGGAAAACTTAATTAAAAAAGCTTAAAGGCTAATCCTCTCCTACACAGCAGCGCTCTCTGGTGGCCCCTCGTGCAAAGACGCCATTGCTGCTGAGCATGTAATGAGCAGAGGTTTGTATGCGGCCTGTCATGTTCTGAAACTGTGACCAACATTATCCCAAATTGTCTAGCTGTGGGTGGACAGCAGTGAAACAACAAACCACAATTGTTTAGTTCCTCGGAAGGGTTTTTTAGTTGGTTGTAAATTTAATTATGACATCTCTTTACAGTCAACAAAAGCAAACCAGGACATCAGCAACAAAATGTAATATTTCTATACAGTTATATCTAAAGCTCGAAACTGATGCTGCAGGGTAAGTTTTTGAATAGCTTAGGATCATGATGGAAAAGGAACCAAATTTCCCCTCCTGGAATCAATACAGTCTTGTCTTATCTTAAACTCATCCTCTGTTGGGAACATTAATGTGCTCCAAGCAGCAATCTGCCCTCATAGAGTATGTATTGAGAGATAACACATTGGGAAAACACTAGTGGAGGGTGTAGGAAGTCATTTTCATCTAAAGGGTGTATCCTCCATGATCTAAATCATATTTTATGTCACTTTCAGATCTTGAGGTGTGTTATGTAACACCCAACAACTCAGGGTAACAAGAAGTGCCAAAAACGGTCATATGGTGACCAAAATTATTATGATTTATAGTCCGCGGGCCATGGATGGTCACAGCAGATTTAACACAAGTGGGTCATTAGTTCTTTAGGTTTCTCACTGTGAAATAAAGTGTTGAACAAGGGACCTGCTGGTGGCAGTACATTAGGACTCATCAAATTCATGAGGACCAACAGACCGTCCAACCAACCAACCAGCCAACCTCCCCTGAGACAGACCATTAGTGAAGCTACATACTGTATGTACAAGTATAATAGAAAAGCTGAATATCTATAGTGTTCAGGTTTTCTTTTACAGTGTTCAGTTTCGCTCGCTGTGGTGAGAAAAAGGTTTACCCAGATATATATGACTAATCTAAGATGTTTCATTTAGTGCTGGATCTTTGGAATAATTTTGATATGGGATTAAGCCATCATAGTATAGTACAGTACAGTATATTACAGTATAGTATGTAGACAGTCCAGAGGCTGCTTTCTCAAACACAAAACTTAATGACTAATAAAAACCAGGAAATCAAACATTATGATTTGCCACACACTACAGCAGACAGTACAGAGAGTACTGTAAACTAAGACCTCTATTCAACCTGCTATTTTAGAGCATACCAGCACATACGTATTAATAACACATTCAACATCACAGAGAAAACGTTAGCATAATTTTTTCCCACAAAGGCAGATCTCATTAATTACACCTTCTCAAGCCTTTAATCTGCTATCTTACCCTCCGCTGTGAACATGCTCACATTTTTGCTGCAGTGAATCTGGGACAAAACAGTCACATGTCTGCCTTAAGAAATGTGAATTCACTTGCAGAAGTTGTGTATTCAGGAGTGGTAATAAATAAATATGGAAATTGTTCATCAGAAATATATATTTCATAGCTATTGTTGCCCAAGGTAGAACCCATTACGAATTAAAAAAGCTGTCATCTGTCAAAACAACATCACATACTAATTCTGTTTTCTCTTGGTAGTTAAATGAGAAACTTGTGAATTGAAAGATTTATTAAGAGATTTATTTGCTATTTCCTACTGATATGATTCTAAATCGCGGGTGTGTTGCCGTGGCGGTATGGATCGAATTACCCTTACTTACAGGACTGAAAGTCAGGTGCTAATTCACACTGTAAATGCAGTTGACGGCGATGATTATCAGCTTGCCCCACACTGTGTTGAAAAGCTGTGTGTATGTATATGTCTTTGTTTGCTGCCTGGTAAGGCCCCCTGGTATGGAGTTACAGCACTGGACTTAAGCTTGGGTTACATGTTTCGTCATCTGGAAGTGTTCAGACAGTTGTCCCTAACCGGGTCATGGCAGCCTGGCATGACCTCAGATGTCGTTGCTCTTTTTATACCCATACAGGGTCAACCAGGGCCATGCTGTGTGTTTTTGAGGCTGATTCTCTAGGTCTAGTTTCAGCATAGCAGTACATTTACTCACCTACTAAAAAAGTGGATCAAAGTATGAAGTATGAACCTACAACTATGTTTCTTTTAGCCTTCGATTAATATATTCTATTTCAAATTTGATTGTTTTGATGTTTGTAGGGAAGAAGTTTGCACCATGACTGCTTTAACAAACACAAAGGAAATGATATTTATCAGGACACGACCTGCATGTTTTATACCCAAAAGCCAAAATTTGCACTGTTAACAGTTTTCAGGCTGGCTTCATTTTGGCAAAACGTGTTTTTTTCCCATCTATTATTCATTTTCTTACAGCTGCAGTAGTTTAAAAAGCAAGACCAGCAAAATGTTTCAGTTGATACTTCAACAAATGTGTTTTTAACATTTTTTCAGGCCACAAAGCCTAATGCTCCTGAAAACAAAACTTTTATTTGAGAGACTGACTCGTGTGTCATTTATTTACATTGTGTTTTGGAAATAACAGCAACTGTAAAAGCCCACTAGAGACCAGTATGAGATATCAGAATGAGCTTTATCTGTAAGGTATGCAGACATATAGAGGAGCTACATTTACACAGATTAAAAATGGAAAACAAGCTTTACAAAGCAGCATATACATTAAACTACAACGATTAAGCCTAAGGATATAAAGGATATAAATAAACAGTGACTCAAAGATTAAGATGAAGTCGTGCATCATCAAATAAAAATCAAATACAGAATCAAACGACCTCCAGTGGGGAGATAAAAATATTGTCTCCATGCTCCTGAATGATGACCCCTATTCAAGTCTCTATCATTACAGCAGTCTGCCTCTGGAAAACCTCTCCTGACCCATTTTACTAGATTTTTATTTCAACTGCATGCAACTCAAAGGACGATGCATTACAGAGACGACAGTGGGGGAAAAATAGGATGAGAATTACACTGCCGCACAATCAGGGATGGTGAAGGAATCAATGATTCTTTTTATGCATTTGAGGGAAAAAGCCGATGGAAAATTACCTTTCTGGGCCTCCTACTACAAAGTCACCCCTGAATGTAATCTTTATTAGCTGAGTCAGATGTGGAGATGCTGAAGAGGCGCTGAGGGAATTCAAGATTTGACTCCCTTGGCTGCTTCTCCTGCAATACCCATTCACACAGTGCCAGTGTGAGGTGTTTTAGTTATCAAAGCATCTGTGAAATGTGTTAAGGCCTGAAAGTGTCGGGAAGTTCTTCTTTATTGCTCCACGGTGGCACTTAAGAGAAAAGTATTTAATGGTAAAGCTGAGTATTCAGAGAGAAAGCAAAGGTCAAAGCAGCAGAGATCAGTGCATGTTTTAATTGACCTCTTCCATTAACCTCCCCTGGCTGTGGTTTCAACCTTTTTGGCTCCTGTGGCCTTAAGCTGATGGGGAGGAGCAGCTTGTGACCCTAAATAACACCTTAAAGCCTTTGTGTCAAGCTAAGGTGTGAGCAGTTTAACAAAAAAAGTCAGACTCAGACTCTTCCTTTCCTTAAGAGACTTTGACAATAGTAAAGCCAGTTGGAAGAAAACAAATCTGCAACAACCTTGAGCATCAATTTATAATTCCAAAAAATACCAAACAATTGAAACGTTTAAGTGTGGATATGAGTATTTGCTGTTTGCTCTTAAAGAAACTGAATATGTTCAAGCTCAAGTAGACAAAATGTAACTTTCATGAAAGGGTGCGCTCTCGTATGGTGTATTAGACATTTGTAATGGCATTTTAAATGATCCATCAGTCAAGATAAGACCAACAGTATGTGAAATGTAACTAACAGTTATTTGCAGCTCTATTGGGGACATTTATAGATATAAATTAGAGGGAAAATACTCAGAACCTGACATGACAAAACGGCAAATATAAAAGAAAAGTCTGATTTTGAACCTTAAACAGTGCTTGACCATATCAGACGCCTTAGAACTACAAACATTAACATTTAAGAAGTTGGACGCGTGAAATGATCCTTCATATTTCTGTTTGCTGTGGATTAATTGTCTGTCCACTGACTTAATCAATGAACTTTTCCATTCGGCTCTGAACACATTAAACATCCTGTGCAGGACAGCGCACATTTGGGACATTTGTCACTGTTAGGTCCACAGTGAAACAGTCTCCATACTTCATTGTGTTTGACCTCTAAAATATGAGGGATAGAGAGCTCCTCCACAGCAGACGGTTTGTGATGTGTTAGCAGGACAATCAAAGGTGTAACAAATGACTGCAGCGATGGCTGTGATCCATTAAGCTCGTGAGCCTGTGTGTGTTGTACCAAGGCTATTACACATAAAATGAAATAAACGAGTGTAGCCGTCATGATGGTTATTAATTATGACTGTGCTCTTACTGCGAAATGTCAAAACAGTGTCCTGAAAAAGATCTTTAAACAGTAAGTAAAGACAAACAACCAACATAGAGGAAGTACGTTTGTGTTCATGCAAAACAGTCATTTTTAATTTGCCTTTATGAGGCCGTAAATTGAATAATCAAATTTCACTGGCTTAATTTTCAATCAACTATTTTAATGAATATATTGTTTAATAATTTTAAGATAAATTCTGCAGCAGCGTCTCATTGAGTTCTTAAAACGGCTTAAAAACAAACATTAGGATCCTGAAGGGATTACAGGAAATCGGATATCTCTTCTATACCGGGATAGTTCATTATTCTCCAGTTTTTCTCTCTCTCTGACTTGTTAATTTTTCATGAAGAGACAATACAGTAGGGGTTAGGGATATATAAATCTCTGCTTTTATTAGCGTATTAATCTGCTCACTGTAAACTCGTACAGACACACTGTTAAAATGTTGTTCTTAATTTCTCCAGATTACCCTCTGTTTGGACATGACCGCTGATTGAGCAGACACTTGAGGAGTTACAGCACCCTTCAGCCACCCGTTCATCTCCATGCCACTCTGAGGAGGAAGAGGAATCACTCACTCTGAGTAAGAGCTCTACCCTTGTGTTTGTCTTCTCTTTTCGCCATGGGGGGAGCCGTGAGCGCCGGGGAGGACAATGACGACCTCATTGATAATCTGAAAGAGGCTCAGTATATCCGCACAGAGAAAGTCGAGCAGGCTTTCCGAGCCATAGACCGGGGCGATTACTACCTGGATGGCTACCGGGACAGTGCCTACAAAGACTTAGCGTGGAAGCACGGCAACATACATCTGTCCGCTCCGTGCATATACTCGGAGGTGATGGAGGCCCTCAAACTGCAGCCAGGACTTTCTTTCCTCAATCTGGGCAGTGGAACCGGCTACCTGAGCACAATGGTTGGTCTTATCATAGGTAAGCTCATTGTAAACTCTGGGAAAGTCTTGTTTTTGGCAAGAGGGTTGTGAACCGATTCCCTGTTAAATTAAGAAAAACAACTTTAAAGAATTCAGAACAAACAATCCAAACAAAAACATTTTTTCTCTCTTGTTCTGACTAATCGGCAGAGAATTCCCTGTTTTACCAGATAATTTCACTCTAATAATATTAGAAAATGATCTAAAGGTCTATTAGTGTGTCTGGTCTGAACAAGTACAGTGCTCTAAAACATTAACGGTTACATTTAAAAGAGAAATTCAATGACTGGTTATTCTAGCTCTGTGTTATTTCATAAAATTGAGAAATGAAAATGATGTTTTTTCCCCCCAAGGGCCTTTTGGTGTGAATCATGGAGTTGAGCTCCATAAAGACGTGGTTGAATATGCCAGAGAGAAGCTGGATGATTTCATCAAGAATAGTGAAAGCTTTGATAAGTAAGTATATGCCTTGAAGCTAGGGTACATTTTGTGAAATATACAGATTTTATGTCTTGTTTGGAGTTGAACTTGTCTTACCTTTGCATGGAGAGTATAAAGTGACAGTACCTGCCCTCATATACCTGTGCCAAATAAATGTTATTCTGTAAAAGTATGAGTAATAGCTACTTTGATTAACTTTTACACTTTTCAGTCCTTATTTGCTTTAAAGTAATATCTAACTTTGTATCAGATAATCTCTCTTTTTAGCAAGAAAACAAAGCTTTCTCCTCTTAAATACTCCTTTAAATCTGAATGTGCTGGAACCACATCAACACAAACATCTCTTCCCGTATTTTCATGTCTTGTACCAATAACACTATTCATTATATTTTCACAGGTTTGAGTTCTGTGAACCGGTCTTTGTGGTCGGGAATTGCCTTGAAATCTCAACAGATAGTCACCAATACGATCGCATTTATTGCGGCGCAGGAGTGCAGAAAGACCACGAAAATTACATGAAAGTGCTGCTCAAAATTGGAGGCATTCTGGTGATGCCCATAGAGGATCAGGTAAGTGCTCCAAGCTGCCAGAGAGATACAAACAAACACATCTTGATTGCGATTCAAAATGCTAACACATGAGGGAAAACAAGGTAGAATAGCTTTGACCTACAAGACGAGTTATGCAACTTTCACATGCATTATTGAGCCACGACTGGCCCTGGATTTGAACATCAGACACTGGACCGTATAAATGAATGTTTTATTCAAAATGGTAGATTTGTGAGTGTGGACTTGCTGGTAGGCATGTAAGAGGGCATTTAAATTATTCTGAGAAGTTGGTGGTTAAAAAAAGGGTCAGGAGGAGCCTTAACTAGCAACAGGGGTAAGGATCTTGACAGTTAATTAAGCAGCATACTTATAGAGAAGTCTTCAAAGCGCTGTAAACTTAAAGTATGTGATATGTGCTTTGAATATTTTTCCTTTGTTTTCTGCATACGCCATAAAATACGGCCAGAGCTAAGCTGCATGTCTACATGTAGCGCATTAACATGATGTGTTGGTAGAGAAAATGCAGGATAAATAAGTTCTTCTAGGCTTCCTAGAAGACAGTGGAAGCCATTACTAAGAACAAACAGTCTGTAAACTGATGACTCATGATGAAGAAAGTAATCAAATATGATTTTTATCCTGCAGTAGCTCTTGTACAAAAAAACATAAAAGTGCGCCAGCCCATATAAACACTAATGTAATGACTTTCCAAACCCACATCTCTTTTTCTATTTGTTGTGGCCTTTTATCATCAACAAGACTGTCTTCAAGCAAACATCACAAACAAAAACAGGGTTTTAAAAGTGACTCCCCAGAGTGGACACACATGAAACAGCACATTGTTTGTAAGGAGTGAGAGAGGGTTTTGAATCTGCGGACCCTCACTGTGTTAGTTGGGCATCCTCAAAGACACGGCTCAGCACAAACATGAAGATGCAACATGAAGAAATAGCCTCTGTCATTGTTGTTGAAGATAGTATAACATTCACTCCTGATCTAAATCTACATATACGAGCATTGTCCTCTCTTGAACTTTGTTTAAGAGGCCAAAACTGTTTTTATTTCATTACTTGTAACATAATGAACATATTGCACGTATAACAAGATGAGTGCTTTTCCTCATTATCTTTTTTTTCCTCTAACTGAAGTTAACACAAGATCCTTGGGCTCTAATGAAAAAGATAATCACTCATTGAGGAACTGCTCTTAAACCCAAACAGTATAGCCACCTTCAGCGAACCCAGATTCATTTTATGCGAGCTCCAGCTATCGACAATGCTGTAACTATCTATCCCACCACGTGGCCTCTAATGGCTCCCACATTGACCATGGAAGTAGACAGGTTGTCAACAGGGTTATCAAGAGGGTGCCTGCCTTCAGTGGTGTTCTGTCAAGTTACGGCACCGACGGGAGGCTCAGCATTTAGCACCAGCAACATCCCGTAATTATCCTCTGTAGCAGCTCTCAGTACCAATCATATCCAGAGAGAGGGAGAGAGGCAGTCTAAACACAGATAAAAGTGGACAGGGGAGGCAGAGCCAGGGCGAGAAATTTGTTTAGGACCTGCTTGGTTGGGCTGTACACTCTACTTCCTCAACTCCTCCATATCTTTATGAGGGGAGAGCAGAGAGAAGATGAAGAAAAACACAGACAGAAGTCTTTATAGAGATGTTAGAGAGGACAAATGATAAACATGATCAAGTTGAATCACCAAGAACGCCCATTAATACAACATGTGCACTTCTTCACCCTCCTACAGGGAACCTTTGATGACCACTTTTACAAAACAAAAATGTGTCTGTTAGATTCTGCTAAATGCTGTTTAATACTACATGCAGTACTTTAACTTTCTTTTTGCCTCCATTTGGCATTTATAACACAGAAAAATTGTCATGATAGGGGTGCAGCTGGCCTGGCAGTCTACGTCCGCGCCTCACTGTTGTGCCTCAGGCACTTGGCCAGGGTTTGCTTCTGACCTGTGGCTCCTTTTCCCCGTGTCACTTCCCACTTTCTCATCACTTGTCCTTCACTGCCCACTGTCCCATCCTCTCCAAACAAAGAAAAGCCCCAAAATAAATCTTAAAAATTGTGTTTATGCCTTTATGATCCCACTCTATCATCATGTTCAAGCAATTGGACCCCTTGACAAACAGAAAAGCACTTATCCAGGTATTGAAGTAAGCCTTGGTTAGCCTGTAGCGGTCACAATTCTTAATCAAAATCCAACTTTAGATAATAAAACATATAAATGAAAACATCTAGTTTGTGGTGATATTTAGAGGGAAAATACAGCCATCACATGGAGACCCTGTGCTGTGACAGCGAGTATTATCCTGTTGAATGAAATTCATTAGTGATGTTACAAACGCACTCACCGTATATATTTGGCCTCAAGCTGCACACAGTATCTACTCAGATTAATGGACCTGCTGTGTGCCACTTGAATGACCCCGGGACCATTAACCCTGCCTCTAACATGATTTATATGCCTTATGCTAACATGCGTGACAAGTCATCAGCCTCACGTGGTTTAATTGTATTTTGATGACTGTCATACTATGGAAGCATAATTACTTGTTATGGCTGGAGCGCATAGATACCATGCTTATCCTGAGGGCCATTTGTGATATAAGTGACTCTTCACACCAGCAGATATGTAGATAATGTGTCTTGTAGGGATGTTTTAATGCATTGCATACAACAACTGCAATAACTGGTTAAATAATTAAAGGGCCAATTGACAAAATTAATTGCCTGATCTGTTTATAATTAAATCATCCTTATGGGCAAATATAATTGCCCCAGCTTCTGTTATGTTAAGGCTGATAAGTTTTCTATTACCCTGATCAAAGTGAACCAAAAGTGTAAAGTTTGAGACAGTTAAAACAAACATGTAACAGCGTTTTTCACCGTTTCTTTATGCTGTTGCCCCAAAAACAGACAAAAAAACTCAGATTATTCAATTGTAAAATAATCATGAGTCATAACAGCTCTTTTCTGTCAGAAAGACATTTGCTGTACTATCAATTCAATGGCAAATGTTCCTTTTCACATAACTATTTCTAATCGAGCAATTCAAATGTAGATATTAAAATTATAAGTGGCATTATTAGATTTTCTTTATTATGCTTGATAAAGGATTTTAACGACTCTGACTTCCATGTCTCTTTTGCACACTGAGCTGCTGGCAGTAATTTATTCAACATAGAAAAGCAAGTGTGGAAAAGAGCTAATTTTTTATGCACCTGTTTGATATAGTAGCGTACGTATGCAAATGTGAAGCATGGCCTATTTCTCCTCCTGGGTTTGTATGTCTGTAGGGTACACAGTGAATGTACATCTGCCAACTTTAATGAACACCTGGAATATCAAGTAAAATCATCAAAGGGGGGAATGTCTTGCTATGAGCGAGCAAATAGGCTGTTAAAACAGGAGTTATGGTACTAGAGAGCGTGAGTGAATCAAACAGGGAGACATGTACCAAAGAGAAACATCTCTGCTCTCATGACAAATGCCAAAAAAAAGAAAACTAAAGAAAATACACACAGTCAAGATTCAAGTTCACCAAGAAATATATAAAAAATAACACAATTAAATAATATATTTCAAACTGTGCTGTTTTAAACCCTCAGAGTTTGCTCCCTGATGTTACACAGCATTTCATATTCATGAGGGTTCAGTGCTGAGTTCAGGTTTTGTCTCTTTATGCAGCTGACCCAGATAACCAGGACTGGCCAGTGCACATGGGAGAGCAAAAACATCTTGGCGGTGTCCTTTGCCCCTTTGGTCCAGCAGAGCAGAGCTGATGGAGAGAAGCCTGACACTGTGCAGCTGCGTAAGTTTCCAGCCTCTGTCCTGGGCGCAGAAGAGGAGCTCTGTTATGTTTTATTATGTCAGTGGGTCTGCCAGGATAAAGTGGGCAGTGTTTTACAGCCAGATAGTAAATTTAAACTGAAGTGATGGGATGTTTCCTATAGCAGTACTCACTCTAATAGAAGGAGCTCGTCTTGCAGCTGCTCCATTGAACCCTATCTTTTGTTTCCATGAAAAACTGAGACCCAGTTTCCTCTTGGACGGCCTCACTTGTTTATGCTGACCTAGTTGAAGGAGCGATGCAGTCGTATAGATTATTCTTATTCTTGTTGCGCATCGCCCTGAAGGTCCGTGTCATCTCTCTTTGTCCTCAGCACCGGTGACTGTCCGCAGCCTCCAGGATCTGTCTCGCATCTACATCCGCCGCACGCTCAGGAACCTGGCCAACGAGGACAGTCAGGGGAAGGGGACGGTGCAGCGAGTTCCCCAGAAGCGCAAACGCAGGCGCTGCAGGCGGAGACGCATCAACACCTATGTTTTCGTAGGTAATCAGCTGATCCCCCAAACAGTGGAGAGCGAGGAGGAGGAGCACAACGAGGAAGAGCACAAGGAAGTGGAAGAGGAAGAGGAAAGAGACATTGGTGACATTGAAATCCTCAAGCAAGTGAACATATTGAGAGACCAAATAATGGCTCTGCCGCTGCCTGAGTCACTGAAAGCATATTTGCTGTATTACAGAGAGAAATGACTGATTCATTTGATATTCACTCTTAATGGGTGCAGCGCCTGCCTGCTGAAATGTTTTTTTGTTTTTTTTTCCACTCTTTTCAGTACAAATGTAGCATTATTTCCATTAAATCTTGATGGCAAAACTACAACGGAACGAGACGTCATAGATAATATTGGATAATAATGTTATGATTGTCACAAGTTGCTAGATTTTGTTGACTTTTTTCTTTGATTTGTATATCAAAAACAAACAAAAAAAAAACCTTGTAAAAAGTATTCTTTACAGACATAGTTTGAAAATTCAGTTTTGAGATTCAGATTTTATCCCAATGTCAATTTCTGCAGAAGTGTGCAGATTAAAAATTGTATAAAAAAAACAAAGTTCTTACTATATTTGTTAAAATATGATCATGCTAAGATGAAGACTTTTATTGCAGCTTTTTTAGAAGCTTTAACTCACTCTCAGTGTCTGTGGATTCACTGATGCTGGAAGGAGCGAAAGACACAGAGAGGAAAAGTAGGACAAATCCTCCCATCTTGGGTTTCAGAGTAAGATGTTCTCGCATAATCATGAACGGGACACTTAGGTCATCATTACTCCTCTTGATATTTCACTTTCAGTCAAAATGTTTTGTACCTTCCTATGATAAGAAATCATTAAGAGACCCGAGAGGTTCATCATTTTTTCTACAGGGCACCTTTTAATATAACTTTTTTCTACAGGGTGCTGACATATTGTGTTTTCTCACTTTACATATGACTAGCTGACATCCTTCTTGGTATGATACGGTGTTGTATGACCTCTCCTCTTTCTGGTGTCAATGCAAAATTGTATAATAGTTCAGTGAATAATGCCAGAGGTTCAAAGTAACAGTATGTTATTGCGAGTTTTTTTTCATCAGAGTGGGGTTCTGGCAAAGAGGAGATGTAAGTCAATAATGAGTTCATGCATGAATATACTGTATATGTGTTGGGTGTTCCTGACTTTGCTTCACTTCTTATGATTGGTCACTGGTGGTGATGTCCCAGGTGATCAAGTTTGAAAAAAAGGATGTAAAGAATATTAATCAATTTGATGGCCTTGTGACGGATCTCCAAATTTGTATAGTACGACATTTTTTATTCTATTCGATAACAATGCAAACTAGAGTCTCTGAGGATTTAAAGCCTTTTTTTTTGTATCTGGACTGGACGAGCGTTCAACAAAGCACCTTATCCTGCAGTCCTCAAGAGAGAGAAAAAAACAAAGGTGCCGTTTTGGCCACGTTTTTATTACGGACTGGACTCCTTGTAATGTACATCCTGTTAAATCAAAGTACAATTTGCCTGCAGAACTTTCCTGATAGTGATGGCCTTAAAGTGCCGACAGACCCCATCACATTAGGACGTCTGTGAGTTGTCTGGCACAGTAAATTTACCCCCTTTCCCCCTCATCTCCAAAAAATGGTGTATCAAAAAGTTAAAAAAAAAAAAAAAAAAAAAAAAGAAGAGATGAAAACATTCCACAGTGGAAAAAAATAGCACATCACTGATAGATGTCACCGGTTTTCCTCATGCTTTACTGTCACGGACTTGGAAATATCCTTCATCTTACTTTGAATGCATATTTTAGTATTCCAAAAGCTGAGTTGAATGTTGTTAATATTAATTCTATTCAATATTAAAGTGATTATATAGATGTATTGTTATCATATGATTCTGCATACTGTTTAAGTTGCATTTGGTTTGTTGTAGCGCCCTCTTGCTGTACTGTATTTTGACACTGGGAACTCTGTAGATCAATTCTCCACTGCTGTCTGTTTAATAGGTAAGACATTTTAGTGCATTATGTTCTGGTGTAATGAAAAATATTTTGTTTGGAAACGGGGGTGATTATACTTTTAGTAATTTTGTGTGTGAATACGTTTACTTTTTTCGTTTTTTTTGTTTTTTTTTACATTCATCGAAAAAGCTTTCCAAGTTAGCAATAATGGAACGATTTCTCATCCTACAATTACCCATAAGAAAATAGTCCCATTGAATTTGCGTTAAGTCCCATTTAAACAATAAGAGGCATGCAACCTTTTATACACCATTCTCTAAAATGTGATAGATAATTAGAGAGCGTATAAAGTAATGGAAGCAAGGGGCCTACCACCTCGACTCTCAGGTCACGCCTTGCACCAAAGCTAATTGGACTGCTGTGATTACGTTTTAATGTGCACGACAGTAGTTGACTACAAAAATGGCTCCTGGGACAGACCAAGTGATGACCAATTCTCCGCTCTTCTATTAACTTAATTCGTGAAGAGCTCAAACAGTCCTGTCACTGTTTATCAGGCCTATAGGTTGATTTCCCATAGAGTGTGCAGTTCATTTTGAAAATGTGTTGTTCCTGCGTAAATGTTTGGCACAAAAATAAAGGTCACAATCACATTATGCCTCTTCTTATCATTGTAACCTCTCTTTTTTTAGTGTTTTATTTGAGTATGTCTGGTGTGGTCAAAGTGTCAAATGAGTCATCTTTGCGAGCGTACATGAAGTCGAAACAGCTGTAAAAGTGCCACTCAGGCATCCTCGCCAGGCGTGTGATGACCTTTGTTGTTTTTGTCACTGCTGCTTTAAACTGATAACACTGAGAAGGATGTTTTCTATCCCACACTCTCTTAGTCTTTTCTGACAAGTTTATGGATGGTGTGTGCTGTTCCAGAGTCAATCGTGATCAATGAAAATATTTATTGACCAGCTATGTGAGTCGGATGAGAAAAAAAAACATCCGTATCTTGTAACTAGGCTTTTTACAATCCTCAGAGCTATGCAGTAAAAGGTTAGCAGCAGATATCTGAAGAGACCTCCTCTATCTTAGACTGCAGCAGACAGTGGGGTGGCATGACTGCAGGATTCATGATGTTGAGGCTGCTCTGGCGTCTGTTTTCTGACCTTGTGTTTTAGAGGAAAGTAGATTCTTTGATGAATTATGAAACTGTGAGAGAAGCCTTATTAAAGAATTAACAGAAATTAAGTGGATTAACGAGAGTAAGCGACAAACCATGGCGGATGAGAAAATCTGAACACAGCATCTGTGATCAGATTAATAATACAAGTCTTAACCTTATTTAACTACACAGCATGAGTCTGTAATGAACTGACCAGCCATTCAACCACTGCCTGTTAAGAGCATGTACATAATTGATGCAAAACTCCCCTTACTTGGCTCCAGGAAACAGCAGTAATGTGGGTGCAGGATATTTGATGGAAACCCAAGCTGCTGGGTGAATCTGTTTTTAAATTTTGAATTGCAATTTTTTTCTCGCTCAGTCCTAAAAAATAATCTTCTCCAAACTGTAAGTGCTATAGCTACAGTATGTTAATGGTACATCAAATCTATAGCATTTAAGCAGAAGGTAGCAATAAGACCCCCAAAACTATTCATGTACGTTTGAAAAGCTCAGTTTTGTGTTGCTGTTTTTAAGTTTTCAGCCAGTGCCACCAGAATAAAAAGTTATTGTTACATTTCCACCGAATCAAATCTTCTTCAACCTGTTCGTCCCACTACATGAAAAACAAATCTCCAGGTGTAGCTCCTCTCCATGATGTAAAACTGCAGTAACCAAATGTATAAACCACCTGCAGCTAACTCAACAGCTTTATTCCATGATAACCTCACTGTTTCTCTGTTACAAAAACATTTACCAACGTAAAAAAAAAAAAAAAAAAAAAAAACGCCTGCAGTTTTGTTCACTTTACTGATGCTCATACTCTCTCTGTCAGGCTGCGGATGTTTTGAGGTCCTCCCTCCTGCTGAATGTTCACCACATCAGCCTGTAAGCTAATTAGCTAGCTGTCATATTTGCTCACTGTGGTGCGATGATTGAAGCTCACTGAAAACTCACTCGACGTCTCTCCACAGGTTGTCTTTAGCTCCAGAGGATGGAGTCAGGGGCTAATTTCTCCATCAACAGTCAGTTAGACTGACAGGCGTCAGCGGAAATTAGAATTTTATTAATAACCTGAAAGTTTCATGGCTTTTGAGGAAACGTTCAAAGGTTGAGGCCCAGTCATTGCTTCGCCCATGGTTAAGGCATCGTAGGTTAGAGGTTTGAAAACGCACTTTTACTCCCTGGCTTTTAACTCCTGAGAACTTGGCCTTTTAATCATGTTTTTACTGAACCATCCATGTCCCCCTGTTTTTAATGTGTTCCTGTGTCTTTGTTTTATTGTTCTTGTTAATTGTCAGTTTTTATTGTTTTTAATTTTTACTGTACCGCACTTTGGTCAACATTTTGTTGTTTTTAAATGTGCTTTATAAATAAACCTGGAACCTGGAAACCTGGAAAGGTAAAAACTTAAGACTGATACGATTTTAAAATTTTTAATTTTTTTTTGCCATTTTAGGATATTTTCCAAAAGGATTTTATACCTTTCTTCTATCTCTCATGAATCTTCTGCAAAAAACCTGATTAACTTGGTTCAGATGAGCATTAAGAATGTCAGAAATATTTGGTGACTTCTTGCAGTTTTGCAAAATAAAAGTCTAATTTTAAGTGGAATTGCATGAAGGATTATGTTAACAGAAGCCATTTCCCTGTTTGAACTTATTGTGCAAAGCTAAGCGAACTGTTTCCTGGCAACAGCCTCAAATTCAAAGTGCAAAAACATGTGAGCTTCACTAATAAGTTGGAAAGCAAAAGGAGTGTTTATCCAGATTAAAAATACATGTTACTGTTGTCAAATACAAATGAGGTTGTACCTCTCTCGTATTATGAAAACAGATGCGAAATTAAAATATCATTAAAAGCAGCTGTCATACTTGTGGGTGCCGACACACTTCACTGCAGCAGGAGCCGCAAATGAAAGAATAAAACTGACCACAAGTGAGCCATGTTATAAAAGATCTCATTTATTAATTTATTACACAGCATATTTGTTAATAAAACATCTGCTAAAAATAAAATAAACCTCACTCTTTAGATCCTGTGTTATAAGGGTATGCAACTGGGATAATTTTAAAGCACAAAAGCATCACTCAGACTTTCTTTGCATAGACCGTACCACCATTCGTCTCCCTCAGACACGCATGTCAGCTAAACAAGCCCTGCACAGTACCTGACCCCATTTAATTTACCATCCTCTAGAGTTTACTTACCCATGGGCCTCTTGTGTTTGGATTCTACTGTGTAAATGGAAGGTAAGAGCATGACTAATTACTCTAATTGACCTGAACTCTATTTGAAAACGATAGTCTAGTTGTCACTCTGCTGCATGTGCAAACAGCGCAAACACAGAGTGAAGTTTGAAGGACCATCTCAAACATTTGGAGCACATGGGGGGCAACGTATTTCTTTAACCCTCTTGTGTTGTGTGTGTATGTTTTTTTTTCTCCATCGTCAATGAAAACTTGTTCTTTATATTTACAAGCTCAAACAGGTAAAATATTCCCCAGAAATACACCATATCTGATTTTATTCCTCTAAATTGGTCCATAAGAGTACATGTTGAAAAGAGCACAAGGTTATGAGCTATCTACCTAGTCATCTCTGGTGCACATCAAATTAACAAATGCTATAATCCCAACAAGTAATCCCTCAAGTAATCGCCATAATTCATCATTCTTTGAGTTCATTTGAATGTCAGTGTTTATTTACATAATCAAGTTTGGGAGGAAAAAGGCTATAAACATGATGAAGGTGTTTCTAATCATGTTTAGAGTGGTTCGGTTTGATTACTGTTGCGTGGGTGGTGAACCTGATTAAGTGTCGCTCGTCGTACATCCATACAGTAAAAACTCTGCTCCCATACGGCCTTTCAAATAGTTATTCTGACACGTGGGTATACATCAGAGATAGAGAGAAAATATATGAGGTTTTTCTGTATATCCATCCATACTACTCCCTGCAAACTTTTAGTTAAAATTCACGTTGATAATTATATTTATGGTGCTATTCAGCTTTTAGTAGGACTCATGTGGAAATCTTTTAAAATGCGTATAGAATTACAAATGTAGTTAAAAGTTTCACCTCAAGAACACTCAATAAACTAGAAATAAGGTGTCAACGCATAAACCCATCATAACCAGGGTCCAGATGAGTCATTGCAGAAGATAGAGAGGTGTAGCTCTAAAGTGGACTAAAAAAAGGATATAATCTTTGTTTCAGCTCTTCAAGTTTTGACTAAAGTTACATTAAAAGGGAAAGAAATGTATTTGTCTTTGTGGTGTGTTGACTTACAGGGATGTCTGAGGATCAAGAGAAGAACAGATTCACTTAAAAACATTTTCTGAATCGCACGTTTTCTGTCCAACGAGTGTTTTTTGGGAAGTTTCTCAAAGTAGAGGTCCGTGTTTAGGTCCACAGTTATTCCAGGAATTTGAAATGTCTTTTGAGATATCAAGTATATCACTCAGAGAGGTCCTTTTTTTCCACCATGGTGCTCAGCTGTCCTCCATAGTGTCATATTTGAACATTTTCTAGTTCTCCTGTCCACCCATCTAGGCCACAGTCTCAGTTAAGTGCCGAGTCCTCTCTGAGGAGCTGTGGTGAAAGCGGCGCCTGTCAAGTGGCATATTTGAGTTTAGGTGGCTGTGAATTACACGAGATAGTGGAAAGAGAAGGAAATCCAGTGGTAGTCGCAGTGCCTTGGCTCTCCACAAACATGGGGTCCAGGCAAGCAACTTTGGCAGCAAAAAAAGCATGGATACAATGAAGCACTGCAAAGAGGTTTGAAAACTCGAGCTCCTGAAAGAGAGAGAAGAAAATCAATATTTCAGTCATACGTGAGAGATACATTTTCTCTGACCTTGCTAGTTTGAAATTCTTGTGGAGTAACTTTCTTCTCTTCACATCAAGCATTAAATATCTCTCAAAGTGCATTACCTTTGCTTCAATAGATTTGGAGTCTTGGTTTTGGAACAAAAACTTGATCTTGCTTTTTCCATCATCTGATGAGCCTTTCAGTTGAGAGAACTTATATCTCCACAGCACAGCCTGAAATGTAGAAATAACACATTAAGTGGTCCTAAAATCTAGCTCTACATCAAGTCAAGAAAACTATAAATCTTTATTTGCTTCAGTTTGATATGTGGATTCCTTCTTGTGTCACTATGTCATGAATATTTCATGTCCGAGTCCATATGGTACCAGTGAGAAATGAGGCGTGTCAGCAGGTTCTTGATATACCAGTCTTTCTGAGATCTAAACCTGTTATTTCTGCCATTGGGAAATTTAACAAGCCACAGCAATTCCTCCTGAAATAGCAGAGCTTCAGTGATTCAATTAGTGCAGAAGTGAATAAACAAAAGCAGCACGGCGAGCCAAACGACAGTCAGCTTCCAGACGGACTCCTCAGGTAGACAGCTGGCCACGCTCCTCACATGAATATGGATCTGTTTGATACATGCTGCAGTACTGTTCCTGTAATAATTACTCTGACACCGATCTCATTAAAAATGGCATAAGAAATCTTGTTTAACATACCATACAGATGACATCCCTCTGTGGTATGGCAAGAAAAAGAAATCTTGTGTACCATAAATCAAAGCAGATATTCATGAGAGTGACAGGAGAGTGTCGCCTTCTTTAACTTTGCAGTCAGACTCTGCCTCTCACTTTGACAGGAGAGTGATTGGGATATCATCACCTCTGCCAATCACAAGCTCCTGATATTGAAAAAGTTATACAAACTCAATAATAATAAAAAAGGAGAAAAAAAAACCCATTGAATTCTGTTTCCTAAGAGGGTCAGACTCTCAAGACATTTATACAATAACTGAGGAAGTGTGTGTTAAGTTGACTGAATGATTAAATGTCACAAGAACTTCTACTTGGTCTGACAAGTGAGTAGTATTTCTATTGTATTTATGACAGATTGCACTTCTTAGTATGGTTTGTCAGTATTTTGATAGAGAAATTTAAATGCTTGGGTGTGTAAAGAAACACATAAATATGTGCACTTTGTGATTTAATTTCTTTTTTTATATGGTTATTTGTTGGCACGCATGTCTCATGGGAATTTTTTCATGTTGACTTGTTATACAAATGTATGCTTAAGAGTTGTGTTTCTACTGCATGCTACATTTGTTATGATTTCATTTGTAGATGCGAAAATGTTAAGAAGAAAAAAGACAGAAAAGAGGTACTGAAGTTACAATGGTTCAAATCTATGTCTATACTGCCAAGACAGCATTGTTTTTGTTCTTATCTGCTTGGATTATTTTTAACAATGGCATTGTTTTGATTATATGCGACACCTCTGAAAAGAAGAAGAAAATTGTATCAAAAAGAAAAAAAAAATACATGCAGGCTGTGACGGGTTAAATGGAGCAGAGCGGCGTGTAACCAACGCAGGCATATGGAAGTTTGCCTGTAAAACCGGTGGTGCTAGCTCTGCCAGAGTTAGCCACTCTTCACACCAGTGTAACATCCTTTGACTGAAGACCAGAGCCGGCCCAAGGCATAAGCGAACCAAGCGCCTGCTAAGGGCCCCGCAGCCTATAGGGGGCCCTCAAGAGCAATGAAAAAAAATATATGTATGAGTCATGCTTTCTGTATGATCAAATTATATTATCGTAAAAATTAAATAAAACAAAATAAAAACATTTTAGTGCCGCTGCTGATGTAGGTCTATGATTCTAATGCCGATATGTTAAAGCTCTGCCACCTTTGGCTGTGCACTGTGCACTGAGCATGCAAAGCGCAGGTAGTTGTGGGGCAAAACAATGTTGCAAAAAAGGACATATCCTTTAGGCGCAGAGAAAAGAAAGAGGAAGAAGAGAAAAAAAAAACGCCAAGATAAAAGGTATGTTTGCATGTCATGAAAAGTTAATCAAAGAGATTTGTGAAAATGTGTGAATAATCAACAATCAGTTTTACTGGCAGAAATAGAGGGCCCCAAAATCAAAGTTTGCTTAGGGCCCTGCTGAAGACTCTTGTGATCCCATGTTAAACTTTGTTGAATAATTATTGATCATAATTATAAACTTCACTTCACTTCAAGAATATTCACCACATTATATACACAGTACTTCTTTAGTTACTAATGATGAACTACTCTAACTTTTTATACCAATGCAGCTTTATCCCCTCATTAGGGTGTTTGGTTTGTTTTGGATATTACTTTTGTGTCTCACACCCAGGTGTTTCCTCTTTCAAGTTATTTGTATTTTTAGATTCGATTATTTTAGTCTTGCTTCGTAAGAAGTATTTGGCAGCATGTGGGCACTTTTACAGGCAGGCAGTCATGGGACCAGCGTGTGCTTCAGGGGTTTTTGTTCTTAAGCAGAGGCAGCAGGTGCCATTATTTCTTTTGTTCTCTTTCTTCAAAACACATCTCACGAAAGTGCTCCATGTTTAAATAGGTAATGAGGCCTTCACTTTTTTCTTTTTCTTTTGGTGCGTGAGCTGCCTGGGATTTAAAATTTGATTCAAGTTTGATTTTGGAGTGAGCTCTAACGCCTGGTCTTGCTTTTTGCTTATTGTACTTGTAGTTGTTTACTTGTACGGTATTGTGAGTGTAACTGAAATAAAGAATCTGAACAAATAAAACTAATTCCACAGATCACAAATAATAACCAATAGTAAAATAAGAGGGTCTGGAGCAATGATGGCACATCACACTCTGATCGGAGCCAGCAGATTCCAGCTAAACTTGTTGAACTTGTTGATGTTTCAGAGTGAATCTAACTCTAACACGATTTTTGAAATTTGCCAAAAGCAGATTTTAATTACTCAGTTATCCCACCCAGTGTATTGTGTGTAATTTCTGTGTACATACGGATCCCGTTTTCCCTATCTTGTTCTGAAAACAATACACTGGCAACGTTTTCGTCTTCCGTTGGGGACACTGCTGCTTCACATTCGGCCAAAATCTTCGAGAACAATATGGCAGCGCTTGTGTCCTGCTCATTCACATAATGTGCATCAGCGGAGTTGTCTGGATAGTTCTCGGACTTGGGGAAAGGCCAAAATGTACTGCGGGCAGGAGTGAGAGGTTTGTGCTGGGGGGGAGGCAGCCGTCAAAACAAATGTGCTCATGCTCCCAAAATGCATACAGAGCAGAATATGTTAGCAGAGGGGAAAAAATAGAGAAAGTGAAGCTGAGGCATTGTGATTGATTTCATCTCAGTGTGTACATTACAGTCGTCTAAAATCTCCTACTGAGAGGATCGTTTCTCCATATTCTTATTGATGATGAAGTCGCACACTCACCTTTGAAGCTGCATCAAAGCACACAAAGCCCATGCTGAAGTCGACAGTAAGTCCCATGAGGTGGCTCTCCATGATACAGGCATATGTTTTACACTGCAGAAAAGGAGAACAAGATGTTACCTCCCCAAGGACACAAAAGCCACTTTTGCTCAGCTGGAAATGTCATATGGACATTATCAATCTCTGTACTAAAACAACTGAGCTGGAACAGAGCGCTAGATTAAAATCATCACGATTCCCGGCACGTTGTTCAAGTGCAGACCTGTATCCGCTCCACCTCCAAGAAAGTAGCCATCTGAAACGCCTTTTCCCAGGTCAGCAGCTCGCTCTCCAGTTCCACGCTGAAGAACAAGTCCTCCCCGGTCTCCGTCTGGACACTGAAGCAGTGCTTCCTTTTGTCAAGAAGGTCGTTATCCTGAGATAAGACAGTGGGACTCCCGTGTGGATCAGGTACAGATGGGCAAAGTGATGTGAAGATATCAAGAAGCAACAGAAACCCAGTTTCATGAAGCTACAGGGAGATTTTCCTATTTTGACATCCACCCAAGACTGATTACTGCGGCTTTAAGAGAAATGAATTCTTCTCCTGTGTTTGTTCACGAGATGAACTCCACCACCCTTATATATTGTCATATAGCTTAATGTATCCATGTGACTCTGTATAATAGGTACAGCATTGTAGGTCAACTTATATCTCATTGAATACATGAATCTGTATGAACAGGGTTTAACATAATAAGTTTTGAGATAATGAATTGTAGATAGATTCCGCAATCCAATTCGCAGTAACCTCGAACCTGTGGAAGCTGCTCAGTGCAATCTGAACCCTGAGCGTCTCTGTGGGACTGAAGTAGAACAAATTCATATAAATCAGTGAGTTATAAAGCTTAGTATATTCCCTCAGTTGTCTACTTTATATTCTCTCAATGCAGCCAGTGTGAGGGTTGCTTCGCTAAATATTAAAGAAATGAAATCGAAAAGGCTGCCTTACCTTTAGGATCTTGCACATTATCTCATATACAGTAAAGCTTTTCTCTGCTCTGGTCCAGTCCCACGTCGTCACCTGAAATTGTCGAGCAAGATTTGTGTTTTATTTGATCTGTTTTATTAAAGAGAAGGAAAAGAAGCTGTGTTCCTTAAAACAAGCCTGACGCGTGTTATTTTTTGTCTGGTTGGCTCATTTCTACATACTTTACAAGGTGCTCTAAGTGGGCTGGTGTGCCCCAACACGGAGGACCACCACTTCTAAATTTAACCCCCCTCCCATACATGGACTTTTTGGTGTATTTTGCTCCTCTTGTACTTTTTTAGGACTTCTTACCTGCTGCTAGTACTCTGACCTGTCCTCTCCATATTCAAGTTTCTATTAATGATTCATAACAGCACCTAAAATACATCACTCACGGCACGCTGGTGGTAACATGACGCTCACTTGTCAGTTTTAGCTGAGAGTTAAAGTCAAATTAACAAAAGGTTACAAGTCTCCAAAGTGAGAGTCGGAGTGAAAAGAGAGCAACAGCAGTGTTGGCCTTGCTACTGATTTCACGATACAACAAGTGAATGAGGAGAATACTGCCACTCAGTTTTCCCACTTGAAACACTGCTTTAAAAAAGAGAGAATGACAAAATTACTGATTTTTTTTTTTAAATTTAGTTGAATTAAGGTGAGTTGAAATATATACAAAAGTGGTGATAACGCTATCACTTACTATAAAAATTAAAAAAAACACAGATAACTTGGTGATAGTCAAGCTTAGGTCTAAAGAACTGATTCCAACTCAGAACCGATTCTTAAACTCATGGAATTACATTGGCACATGAATTTCGGTTCAGCTTTATGCTTTCTAACAGCACATGAATCTTTCAGGATAAAACCTCAGAGAGAATTTCGCAGCGCATAGAAATTGAACCGATCAGCCAGAACTTATGCAACATTACATCATGTGTGCAGTATGTCAACAAAGTTTTGAGAAGAGGATCATTGCGGACCACAGCGAGAGACAGAAATTTGGGCCGAGCTCAACTAAGTAAAATCACGAGCAGAGCGCAACACGTACGGCAAAGACATATAACCCAAGGTGGGAAACACATCCGATATTACTTCAACATTGTGTGAATTAGATGTGCTACTGCCAAAGTGGATTATGTCTGAATGGACATAACCATTCACAGATGTTGTACTGCATTCCACTGTGTTCTTGCTATCATTCTATTATTGATTTTAAGGCACTGTGAGGAGTTTTTAACTGTCCGAGAAGCAGACTGAAACTTCTACTAATGCCTCTCTATGACCTTCAGAAGCAAATAAGACCATCAGCAGTGAGGCTGATCTTTCTCTGCTGTAATTTTTAATGCCTAAAAACTACTGTGGGGGGTAGGTGTCAGACCAGATGATTGACAGAACTTTTCTCATGGCAAATAGTCACAATGAGGGATAATTTTCACTGTAAAAAGATGACAGGTTGAGGGTTTTGTCTGAAAACACTTCTTTCACTGTATAGGACAAGAATTATGAGTTTACACATGAAAGAAAAAGAAAAAACCCTTGTAGTTGCGCTGTCACTTTGGGAGCTTAAATGTCTTAAGGTAGAGGCATGCTAACATTTCATAACATGTTACATAATGGAATCAAATTTAAGATAAGAACCTGAATCGATAAGGAGAAATCAATCAAATTTAAAGGTTACCAAACCCTAATAATAACATGTGCTCTGAATATTGTTTATCCGTTAATCTGTGGCCCTAAATTAAATGAAAGTAAATGCTTTTGCTAGTTTCTGACGTTTACAGATAACGTTCACATATTTGTCCATGCTTTTTCAATATATTACTTATACTCTGGCTTGTGATAGTTGCGGCTGTTAAAAGCACCTTAAGGGGTGGGAATTGAAGGGTGACTCAGGGTATTATACCCAATACATGGATGACCATATTGATGATACCACAATACAATTCTAAGACCAGACTGTACAAAATCTGACTACAAAATTCCCCCAAAGAGACACATGAGTAATGGGATGAGTGTTGTTATTCCCACCTTGAGGAATCATGAAGAGGTGAAGTAGTAAGTCATATTCGAAAGGGAAACTGTTTGAGGAGCTGAATTTATATTAAAAAAAAAAATTACATTTGATGCCAGCAGTACAATAATTAAACCATTTAAGACAGAATAATGAGGTGCTGCCATATCTATACTTTGTTCCCCCTGGTGCACAATGTGATACTGAACACACTGCCATTTACATTACGCCAGCATGGGAAAAATCCAAAGCGTGTCACAGAGTCCGTATTGCTAATCTGTGAGTGAACAATCACTGTTCGAGGTTTCGCTCATTTACCATGTAGTGATAAATGGTTCTGAGATTCAAAATTGTCATCCTGCCTCCTGAGGAAAAAATATGCCTCATAGGTAGCTGTAGTCTTCAGTAATAAAGAGGCTTGTCACATCGTCTGAACAAGCAGGCTGCTATATTGCACCATTCACTCTAATTAGCATATTCCATTTATATCAGCATATTCAAGTTGAGCGTGCAATTTCGGTTATCTATCAATCTTTTCTCATCCCCAGAACCATTGACAGCTTATCTCGCTTGTCATAATCACTTAAGTGGCTGGCAGAATGTAAACAGATTTAATGATCATCATCAATCAACAAGAAGATCAATGCAGCACAAATGGTTATGAGCGAGCCACGTCCTTTTTTCCCCCCCTCACAGGAAAGCGCTTTATCCCTCGATAAAACATTAACGTCAGATGAAAAATCTCCCGCTGAGTTGTACGACACGAGCTCAAACTCAGAAGTCCAATGGTTCAAAGAAGTCAGTGTGAAACAAAATCAAAACTTACAGGAGGTGCTGAAAACTTGAAGAGCGAGGAACCCCTCAAAGCGAGGAACTTTGGTGAATACATTCGGTCCTGAACGGAGTCCTGCTCCTTCTCATCGACCCAGCCCATGTAGATAATCTATCACACAGTGTAAATTGAAACGGTGAGGGATGTGGCCTGTAGCAACAGGAATTATTGGCAAAAAAAAGAGAGTACATACAGGATTCAGAGAAAAACAAAAATATTGTTTTGAGCCACAATACGGACTGTGGATGGATGATCTTTGCTGCTTCCTTTAAATTAAATGCTCTGAAGATTGATACCTAAAGCGTTAGTGCTATCGATTCTAAATCTTGTTATGAGTATTTATACTCGCTGCAGTTGGACTGAAACCAGGTTCGATCAATTCTTGGGCATGTAAAGACTCTTCTTAGTCCCAGGAATCATCTCATTAGTTCAAAGCAGTTGCAAAATAAACGTTTGCACTTTGGCTTTAAAAGATGTCCTCTGTTGGAGAATCAATGCGATCAATATTCATAGCAAAAGGAGAAACTAAATGGCTATAATTAATTTCATATGAATGCAAATGTGTTCATTAGGCATCTATTAATAATGCATTTATGGAGGAACCTTAACCTCTTTAAATGATTAAAAATGAATGATATCAGTTCAGATATACAACATCAACTTTTCAACCTGACTCTGATCTTTTATTTGAGATTTGTTTTCTGGACCTTTGGTAGAAGGGAAAAAGGTAAAACTATCATTAGGACAAAAAATAATGGCAATTATGTCGTTATCTCATATTTTAATTTAATCTCTCAGGAAAGTAAGTAAGTAAAATGTATTTAGTATAGCACCTTTCATAGAGAAAATTCACAAAGTGCTTCACAGTAAAAAAATTCAAAATACAATCATAAACATCAAGTAAGATCATAGAACAATAAAACAATGGCATAAATAGAGCTTTAGTTAAAACCGGGTAGGTAAAGGCCTGTTAAACTAAGTGAGTCCTTAAAAGCTTTTAAAAGTGACAATGGAAACAGCTGAACGAATATCAGCAGGTAAATTATTCCACAGTGTTGGAGTCACCTCTTGTTTTTCTACGAGTTTGAGGGACAACTAGCAAGACCTGGACATCTGTGGAGGTTTTTGTTCCCTCACAATCTGAACTTGCTAGTTGCTTGTTTAGTCGTCAGATTTGAAACAGAAATATCAGGAAAAACTCAAACATTAATGCCTACAGCCGTCTCATTAACAAGCAGCAAAACAGTATGGATAAATCACAGTTTTGCTGTATATCATTATTTTCCAGCCCTTCCATGAATTCAAATGTTTTAAAAATTCCAGTGTTCAGTATTCAGGAGAAAAAAAAAAGCGGTTAAGCCAACAGGGGATGAGGGCAGAGAGGAGAAAGCGTCTACTTCGAGTACTCTGAGATTCAAGACATCGACTGAATCTCAACATCAGTTCTCATTAAAATCAGGGTGATTGGTACCCAACTAAAAATGTTCACTTGTTTTTCTGTGTTTTTTTGACTGACGGCAAAACAAGCAAGTGAAAGATTCGGGACACGTAGAAACCCAGATAAATATTAAGGAACCCTGCAGTCACGTTAACTCCTCATGTTTCGACAAAAAGATCACACTGCCGGTTTAATGACTGAACTGGTGTTGTTTTCTGATCGCCCCTCAGTGGACCTAAATGATGCAAAAAACTCTGCTCGTGTTGCAATAGTTGGCAACACTTAACCGTGTCCTTTCTCTGACTGACTGACCTGCTTGTTGCGCTTACCTTTTGATATTTTAGATAGACGTGAAAACACACATTAAAATCAGTCAAAGCAGCAAGAGAATCAGGGGGAGCGTCTTACCTGCTGGTTCACAGGGAAGTTTCTGTTAATCTTCTTGACCTGTTAAATTCAATGAGAATGTCAATAACTCGTTAAAACGTCTCCTGCCTACAATAAGACACTAATTACCGACAGAATTTCAAGTAGCTGTTTGACCCTGTAGGGACTCACAACCACTGAGGATTCATTGAAGAGCAAATAAACTATGAACCACAGTATCCATTGCTCACATGTTAACTATGGCACTGAAGGAATAATGCTCAAACTACTTCATTTATTCAATGCATGCAAATTAGAAAATGAGATAGATAGAGTCATTTTCCACAAGGACCTGAGGCTCTTCTTGAAAAAAAAAATCCATTTAAAAGAATCCATTCAGTGTGTGTGATAATAAAAGCAAAGGGAAACTACAGAGAGAGCAGTCAGGCTTTAAATTAAAACATTCTGCTCACATCACAGGTATCGCTGGCTCCTAATCCACACTATACTATCAATATAACCTGTTCCTGGCTACACAACGGCAAATTAAGCCATCCAGACCTTATCCTCCTATAGAGGCGAGAACAAGTCACAACCGCTTATTTTGAAATGTTACTGAAGTTTGTTTCCCAGGAAGAGAACAAGATGTTATTTCAGCGCCGGGGCTGAAAGGAAAATGCCCAATAAGTGTCAGGATGTGACCGGGGTTCAGATTCTGCAATGGGCAGTGACTGCTGGTCTCACCTGACTCTGACATTCATCAAGACTGTGAGTTCTAGTTAAGGTTTTAGAGGAACTCGTGCATTTCCTGTCTGTTACCACATAACAAGCAGGAGGAAGGAGCGCTATCTGGAGGCGCTCTATTTGAGGAGATGGTACTTGATTTCAATATATCTCTCTTCAAGGACTTTTTTCTAATTAAATGTATTGTGCTTTAAAAGGTAGTGACACACAGAGCACGAATGAAAATGATGAGCAGTCACGTGGGTGAATGCAGAGAAACAAAGACGAGGGGAGTAAGAAAAGTGACAAGCTGTTTGGAGAGTTGTCAGTTTTAAAGACAAATTTCAGTCATACTCTCAAATGAGTCATTTGGTTGTGATTGACATCAGCATGACTGAATGAAACACACACACACAAACACACCCCACCAGTGCGGAAAATACTCATGCAATCACTGCCAGTGAAAATGGGAAATGGACTTGTACTTGAAGAGCTCTTACACTACTCCTTACATTCACCCACTCACACCGCGTTCACACACTGATGCCAGGGGTTGCTATTGTGGGGGAAGATTAGCATTAATTAATCACATTCGTAGGCATTCACACACTGCTGACTATGTCACTGGGAGCAGTTAGAGGTTCAGTGTCTTGCCCGAGGGCACAGAAGCTGGGGTCGAGCTGCCAACCTCAAAATTGGCTGTGATTCACTCTACCACTGAAAAAACTGAAATACTAACCGCATCATAAACAGTCAATCGTAACACTTTATAATAACCATAATTTATAAATGATAAATTGTTTATTGTTTAATCATCATTTAAAAACAGCATATAGACCGATTATAAATGGCAAATAGATAGTTTATTAATGTAAGTTAACAGTTACTTTACCATTAACAAGCTGTGAAATTATGATCAATAATTTTCATTAATTATTAATGGACTATTTATTTAAGGTTTATATAGGGTTTAAATACTGGTTGTAAAACATCTAGATTAAAATGTGTGTCAGTAGCACTTTGGAAATGGTTAATATTTGGTTTATAAACCACCTATAAACATTACTTAGATGGTTACTGTAAAGTTGCAACTGATGTTTGTAATACTTTGTAACTGATTAATAAGTGGTTTATAAACCACTTATAAACATTACTTAGATGTTATTGTAAAGTTAGGGTTAGGTTTTTAAAATTGTAAAATTTACAATTTATTAATGGTCTGTATGCTATTTGTAAATGATCATTAAACATAAACTATCTGCTTACCATTTATAAGTTATGGTTATTGTAAAGTGTTACCCAGTTAATAAATTTGTATAAACCCCAAAAGCAAAGGCCGTGTGATTAAGGTAAAAAAAAGTTCTTAGTTGCCTTTAGTAAGTTTGGATCTCCTCACATTCAGCTGATGGCAGCTCATTCCACATTCAAAGTTTCTGGTCTCATAGTGTTGGTATCGGCCCTCACTGACCATGTACCTGAAATCTCTGCAGCTAACTCACAGAGTATTTATCTGATCTGCTGCCTGCAGGGGGATGCACATGATTAAACCTTTGATTAAAGTGGTTGTGTCTTATCAGGATTATAGTATCAGCAATACAAGACAATTAAGAACATTAAATATTTTAAGGGCGCACGAAACAGAGCATTGAATAACATCGTGAAATGTTATTAACTAGAAATAAATCAGCTGGAAAGAGAACATTTCTGAACAGAGATTGAAAAGCAGGTGAATCATTGTGGATTTGCAGCTCATATGTGAATGTATTTCTACTAAAAAACGTATATTTCTATGCCGTTATTTCGCACCTTCCTACAGGACAAATGATTATTTTATGATATGTGAGCATCTGTGCCCAGCTTTCCAGATCTCATACTAGCACACTTTACATTTATGGAGCGCAGAGAAGCAGAGCAGATTCCCACCTCCATTATTGTTCAGAGAATTGGAGGCGGTTTTTTTCATGATGCTGTTTGACTACAAAAAGCTCCGTTCCCATCACAGGGATCCATGGAGAGCTGAAGCTTCTCTGAAAGCGAAAGGTGACCCCACTTGGAAGCAGATCTTTTATATTCATATATTTTTAGGCGTTCGTGCTATTTTTGACAACTAATGCATCTCATTTGGAAGATTTCCTGTCTTTTAAGTGGGGCCTTGTAACTTGCATAATCTTTTTTTTTTAAAGGTCCGCATTTGAAAGTTTATTCAGATTTTAAACAAACAAGAAAAACAAAGATGGAAATATCACTTCAAATGCATTCTCTGGGTTTATGGGTATTTTAAGGCCTTTCTGGGACTGGGACTAATCTTTTGCATGATTAATCAATCAATAAATCATTTTAGTCGTCCCTGAGGGGCAGGAAGTTCTGCAACAGTGAAATGAAAACACAACATGAATAAACATGAGACTGTAAATCACATCAAAAAGTATTACAAAAACAATCAGTGTTTCTGTTAAAGCAATGCCAAAAAGCTTTGTAAAACGTGCTGCTATTCCAAATCTGGTAGAGGACAATCATTTATTCATTAATTAATAATTTCCACAGATATTTGTAGTTACCAGATTATCAATCCATCTTGCCGGAGATATCTCTGTACTTTTGTTTGGCAGCTATTTTGAGGTTGACATTCGTTATTTTGAGCGACCATTGTCTGAGTTGCCACGAGATTTGCGTCAGACATTCATGTCTTCCTTTCCATCAATAGTAATTGCTTTGGTGACTCCTCTTTTCATCTCGCCTTGTTATAAGGTCAGAACATCTGTTTGTTCAATACTGCGGTCCATCACTGGGTATCTGCTAAACTGAATGCATAGATCTGATCTGCAGCCTTGTGTTTCAGGCTTAATAACAAGTGTTGCCAAAACTAAAACAAGATGGAGAGCAATATTCCTGCTGAACCCTGAAAGCACTCTCACTGGAAGCATGTCAACATTAGCATTTAGCTGAAAGCATCACTGTGCCTGATGTAGCTTCACAGCTGCTAGCACTGCTGTAATTTGACTTTTCATTTTGATTTTACCCTCATGTTTGTTCCTGGAAGCATTTAATCTAATAGTGTGAGTGCGTAACTGACTTTCTTTCCGACTGCTGAAATCTTTTGATATAAACTAACAAAGCCATTGTTAGCTAACTCTCTCTGACGCAGGACTCCTGATTATATTAGCCAGAAAGTTAAACTTTAAAAAAACCCAGACATCTTAGTTCCACATCAGCAGAACTAAACAACAAGCAAGCCCAGAAAACAGCACAAGGGACATCGTCAATTCAAAGAAAACACGCATTTACACCGCTCTTTGTCAGTCAAAAGAGATTAGAATCGATTGAAAGGGATTAGCTTGTTCGATTTTACAAGCTCATGCAGATTGGTACTAAATGCAGTGCTGTTTCCTTTTCACTGCCACCAAACTTTCTCTCTTGCAGCAGCACAGGGCGATGTATTCGACAGCCCAGCAAACATATCTGTTCCTTCAGCAGCGGTCTTGCTAACCTTCATCCATCAAGCTCACTCACGCACTTCACTTCATGCAAAAGCCGGAGTTAGTAATACACTCCCTATTGTCAAGGGTGTTCTGGCAGAGAGTGATCAGTGTTATGTTTAATACGTCCCTCACTTAGTCCACTCCAATTAACCAGGACTCCATTATTCCCCGGAGACTCTCACACAGGCAGCCATCTCTCTCACGCACACACCAAGCAAAGCCAGTGGACACATGATAATTAAAAATGCCTGTTTTCCCCCCTGCCGCCCACTTCATGTCGTATTCATATCAGGTAAAGAGCCAGTCTGGTTAGAAATGTAACATATACTCTCCTGCATTGAAACTCCATATACTATGTTGATAAATGTTTCACAATGATCCAGTCTTCCTCTGGGTTTGTATGAGTCACCACGCATGATGAAGCTTGTTAGCTGTACTTCTATTTGCTCTCCCCTGCTGCGCATAAAATCCTATCTCCAAACACAGAAACACACTTTGTTTTTTACAGCTGGAGAAATATGCTCACAATAAGAGAAGAATACAACATTGTTATTGCTGTGTTTCATTCTGCCTCTTGTTATCATTATTAAATTATATCCTATGGTAAATAATAGATAAGTGCAGAGGTTTAGCTGAGGGGAGTAAATAAAGAATAGCACGGTTGCCATTTTGTGACCTTAGGTGCTGAGAAAAAAAGTGTGTACTCATCGTGTGAAAAGACATTAGTAGGTGTCTACTTAATGCTGTGACATTTGCAAAAGGGACTGTTGGGCGGTCCGCAAATTGAAAGTGTGTTGCATGAACGCCTGGTCCAATATCTTTCTGGTTTACATGGGGGGCTACGAGGGGCGGCAGAGCTAACAAGTGTTATTGTCCCGTACTCACATTGTGCTTGGTGAGGTTGGAAATGTTGCCTGCGATCGCCTGAAGCCAGTCCAAGCAGTCTTCAGGAGCAGGAAACTGAATAACTCCACTGCAGACTCCGTCCACAGCTATGACCTGGAAGGCGTTTTTCCTGAAAGATTCAAAAGAAAAAGCTGATGCGGCGGTTTTAAATTTAGACCATCATTTATTTGATGGATCTACAACGCTGAAGAAAGCTGATGACTTCCTTTTTTATCTGTAGGGGGTGAAAACACTACTAACAAAGACCAAACAGTTACTCATAATATGCAATTTCCTCAGCTTGTTTACTTTTATTTCACTCCAGCTCAGAAAACTCAGGGAAGACTTTCTGTTTCTATTGAGACAATTTAAATTTTTCTCACTTAACTGTCTCAAAAAGACCCACAGTTTCCAAAAGTATATTATTAAAACTGCACTAACATTTTTTACCTCCCTTGGGCAACAGAAAGAAGCTTTGAGCACAAGTTGATGGAGCTAGCATGCTAGCAAACAGATGCTTATGATCTTAGCTTATTATCTGTAATGGTTGTTTTTTGGTTTGCCCGAGGGGAGTATTCAACCCTTCAGCTGTCAAACGCTTCACTTTGTTCACCAGCTGGTGGATAACTTTTCCTGTCTGCTACTTGGTGCCGAGTAGGTACTAAACAGTGGGTGTCGAGGGCTTTTTCATTGAAAACAGCTGCCTGTTATATGTGAAAAGGACCAGAAGAGTGGTCAGATTGAAACAAAACTGTGAAACTGTGAGTGGGACAGATGAACAAGGAGCTGGAACACACTATACACCTGGTAACTCTGCTTTGCTTTGCTATAAGGCCACTCTTTTTTACCAACTATTGTTTGACATATACTGTATGTAAGTGTTAGTAATAAAAGATGTGAAGATGGTCTTTTAATAGGTAGCTGATTAAAGGCTGAACAGAAATAACGGCTCAATGAGGCTAACAGATTAACAATTTAAGGTGTTAAATTTTTGATAAACTCTGCTCACCTCTGTTGGAAATCTTTTTGTTTACCTCATAACTCTTTGCTGCTTTTTTGTCTTTTACCCAAGCGAGGAGTCTTTCTTGATAACAAATATTTCATTCTGCTTTTGTTTCACCTTCAAAAGTATCACTCACTGGGAATATTTACGATGAAACATGCAAAACAAAGCTGTATCAGCAGCCTGCAGGAAGTCACTTCATCTGACATCTGCACCCTGCCAGTGGTTTCAGGGATTAAATGTTCACCAAAGAAAAAGGTCCTTTTCCCCTGTTTGCTTTCTAGATCATAAAGAGACAACAATATCAATTTCAGTCTGTTTGATATCCAAAATCCTAACAGGAGTTTTACTGGCTTAAAGGGATATTCCGGCGTAAAATTAATTTAGGGTCAAACACACCGTAACACCGAGTGAGACACCCCCTCGAGAGATGAATGTTGCAGACTGCTTGCTTCACTAGTTTTACCGACTTTCGTAACAACTGCGGATAACAATACAGAGAGCCACATGCTCAACCCAAAACGCCACTCTATAGCCACAAATGATGCTCAGGACAGCACCTAACTTCATCAACAGTACATATAGGGTCCTAGCCACAGCACTAGCCACCAAACATCTTTTTAACTTTGCCTCATTTCTGTAGCAAAGAGACTGAACTCAACTTATCAACTCTCTTCCAGCAGCCGCTTGTTTGTAGTAAGATCTCAGTCCAGTCCAAGGAAGAACATTTATGATCGTTTCTTTATCATTTCCTTGAAGTAATAATCACCATATTGATCATTTTTGCACTGCAGACGTGGTAGTTCTTTTGCCTTAGCATCTCGGTCTGATTGCATTTCCATGAAAAAATGTTCTTCCTTGAGCTGCGTCACCCCGCAGCAGTCCGTAATGGACTGGCCTGAGGTCAGTCTCTTTGCTACAGAAATTAGGCAAAGTTAGAAAGATGTTTGGTGGCTCGTGCTATGGCTGGGACCCTATATGCACTGTTGATGAAGTTAGGTGCTGTTCTGAGCATTATTTGTGACTATAGAGTGGCGTTTGGTTGAGGTTTGTTGATGGCTCCTCTGATTGCTGTGTATTGCTATCGTGCGGTCGTTACTTAAGTTGGTAAAACTAGAGAAGCAAGCGGTCGGCAATATTCATCTCTCAAGGGGGTGTCTAACTCTGTGTTACGGTGTGTTTGACCCTTAATTAATTTTACGCCAGAATATCCCTTTAAAGCTCAAGAGCCTTCATCCTCATGGTGTATACCAAAGTGGACACAGAGAAATGTTTGGTATGTTTGATTGTGTTTTAAAAAATATTCTCAAAAGCTGGCGAGGGTGCTATTTTACAAAAGAAAACCGTGTATCTTCCTCATTGTCAGAATTGACTGAGTAGAACATGAGAACAGCACTTTCACGTCCTGTAGAGAAACCAGCTCTGCAGCTGAGATCTGTCAGAGGTTTTGACCCTTCAACACAAAGTCCCGCAGCTCACCTGCAGGCGTCAGAGCCCGGCATGTACTGCGACAGGCGCGAGTGGAGGAGAGGAATAAGGCGCAGGTCCACCCATCTCTTCTCCCAGCGCAGCCCGGGGGATGTGGGCCAAGACGAGCAGGAGAGCGTGTCCTGCAGAAGTGTGAAGCACAATTTAGAAAGGCTTGTCGTTTCACACCTCGTACATTTCAAACAGTTGACATGTCAAGAGCTCCAGTCCTGCTGCTGCTGCTGTGTTTTGCCGCAGGTAAACAGGCAGGCCGAATGAGCGCAAGCTGCAGGGAATAGCTGATTCACACTCCTCAAAAGATAAAGATAGAGCATCCAGGTTATCAGCGAGCAGTGACAGTCGCATGGAAACAACTTTCTGGCATTAGAAAATGAAGCTGCTGCATGGAGACTGAGGTACAGTAATAGCATCAGCCGGTCAAAGAAGTGTGATGAGAAAAGTACCGTGTTGTTAGGATGGTAGTTCAAGTGCAGGCCGCTATCGCACAGGGGAGACGAAGTCCCACTACTCTGGTCACTGGGGATGCCTGAAAGTGCACACACAAAAAGCCAATAAGATTAAGTAACACCTCCATCTATTTCGAGACTTCCAACTGTAGTGAATCATTGCTATCAACAAAAGTGTGTTACTTTGTTCTCAAACAGTATTGGCCTCTTCTCTGTGGTAATTTGTATTCAGCAGACTGGTTGGATGGCTAGTCAACCTGGCCTATATACCTGTATGAAAGGGTTTGTTAAAAAGCTTTCATGTCTGATGACGGGCTGAAGCGTTGCCATACAGAACCATCAATTGCACCACAATGAAAAATGCCAATTCGTTCAGTTAAGCATCTTTAGTGGAGCTTGAGACGAGTCCTTTCCTTTCTTCCTCTCCCTCCTTTTTAGCAGAGTGCCTTTTTTTTTAGTGCTTGACAAGAGTCCAAAATGTGAAAATGTTTCTTTTTTTTTTCTCAAAGTGGCTCTTCGGGCTGGAGTTAATCGTCACCAGGACAACCAATCCTTGACAGAAAATAATACCGGCTATAAATACTCTCACTTAATTACTTTGTGCTGCTGTAACGGTTGCTATATACTTGAATTTAAGAGGCGTCTTACAAGTGCAGTCCTCGCACAGGGGCAGTTTCAGGAAGGCCGGCGTCTTCTTCAGGAACGAGACAGTGAGAGTCACCTCTTCACCTGCGTTTCTCAAAACCTGGACCTGCAAGGTAGTAACGCAGGAGTATTATTTTTTTTTACAGCAAGTGTTGTAAACTCTGAGTCCCATCCTGCAGATAGCCTGCTGTGATGAAACATGGAGTGCAAACGTCTACGTAAGAATGGAAAACAGAGATAAGAGATTTGCACAGACACACACAGACTACACGCCTATTTTTGCAGCTGCATTTAAAAAAAAAGGAGGTTGAGAAAGAAACATCATGTCAAAAAGATACAAATCATAAAATGAGACAAGATAAGCTGCTGAGAGGGCTGTTGCAGTGTATAAAAAATATGAGATATGAGCTGACAGCTTACCACTTCCTCATGGCGATAACTTCTAACGTTTATTCCATTTATCTAGAAACAACAACAGTAACAGGGTTAGGCCTAAACAATGCTGCTGCTATCATATCACTCCAGCTCTATCTTCAACATGATTAATGAGGCAGGCAACAATAACTGTTACGGCATCTGTGCTGAAGTCTGTAAACAAGCAAATCTCATCCACAGTTGCCATGAATACAGAGTGCCTTTGGCTGGCTTGTAAATGTTGCCTCTGCATCATATGAGCCGAGAGAAATGAGATTTGGGAGATGTTTATTTTCTGCAATACACAGAGCAAATCAGAGACCCCGGATGTGGCATTTATACCTACGGATGCATACTTTTTCACAGTTTTGTGGACATGTGGCACATGAATTATTGAAGAGATACAGTGTGTTATTTTGCAGCAGGATGAGATGTGTAAACAGGCATAATTTGATTTTTTTTTTAATCATTTCACCTGAAGGATGCCGTCGCCGATAAAAAGCAGCCCCGAGAGCTCAGCTGCGAACACAAAATCGCTGCAGTTACTTGAAGAGCGAAAACAGGCAGAGATGTACATCTTTACCAGGAGCGACAACATACCTTTTTGTTCTTTAGATATTTTTGAAATGACGACGGGGATTTTGTGCTCGGCTCCACCCTGAGGAGACAGATCGAATTAGATAGAGTTAGAGAAGGTGTCATAATCACAGAGCGAGACAAACAACAGTCAGAAAGTGGCTCCGTTTTCCACGAGTCCCCCAGCTAACACTGTTTTAGCTGGGAAAGAATCAATAACACTTGTTCAGACTTAATTTAAAGTATTTGGGAGGAGCGGTCTAATCAGCTGGGATCTAAATTACCTTGATGCTCAGGCCAAACCCTCCGATAGTCTGCCTCCTGATCGTTACAGTCCTCTCCTGGAAGAGATCCAGTTAAAAACAAGAAATGAGTTCAGACCGAGGATAAACCTGAGGGAGCTCTTGAAACAAAATAAGAGGGAGGGGATGCTTTTTTAAGAACCGAGAGGAACCTGGGAGGGGTGGAGCAAGGTTATCTTTAAAGGCAAATTTAATATGCATCAACAGTAGTATGTGTTCACTTTGCTACGGACTTTTACAGATATCTGTTCAACTCATTTTTAGTTCAGTGAAGTGACATTTATGTATGATGTGCTAAAGTTTGAGTTGATTTTATTACAAGTCAAACACAGTAAAATCATTGTGTGGTGTTGGCCTTAGCTTCGGGTTAAGAACAGAAACAGAGTGAAAGATAGACTGGCTCTGGCTTAAAGCTTAAGCTGCAGTCGTGCGCTCTTTAGATGGCCCCGTTTTTGAGGTGAGAAGTCTTTCTTCCGACTTTGTACTTTTGATTCACAAAGATTTCACAAGGTTGAAAGCTATTCAACACTAAAATACTGCTTTAGCTAGCATCCCTGACCTGTTATTAAGGGTTAAACGGAAAACTAAAGCCGATAAATAACTTTTCTAACAATCTAAGTTGTCACGTTGGCGAAGTTGAAAAACAGAAAAAGGACCCAACTGCAGAGCAAAAAGTGATTTAATGAAAAATAAATTAATAAAAAGCAACAAAAGCTTACTAGAAAATGTCCAACTCAGAAATCCAAAATCCAGCAAAGGCACTTGAGACACAGGCATACATGCAGAGGCATGGACATACATACTACACAATGAACCAACAAAGAAACAGGGGAAGACAGGGACTATATATATACACACACAGGTAAACGAGCAACGAGAGGCAGGTGAGACAATAAGACACAGGTGCAGACAATCACAGAGGAGGGAAAACTGAGGAAGTAAAACAAGACTAGAAACACAGGGAATAAGCTGCTACAAAATAAAACAGGAAACACTGAAAACTTGAGGGAAACACAAAACCAGGGAAAAACTAAAAAACCAGAACATATCATGACAAGTCACTCTAACAACAAATGGTTGGACCATGATAAAAGTTTAATTTGAGCACAAAGCTGATGTGCAGTTTGTCAACTCATAAAAACTACTTGCCACCCATGTTGACGCCAATTACAACGCTAAAAACGTGCTTTTTCGATGTGTTTGACATCATTTATGCTGAATGTATCCAGATCAAAGTGAAATTAAAACTGAAGAAGAGGAAATCACTTGTTAAGGAGCAACAATATGTGCAAAAAATACTGATCAGGTCAAGATAAAAGCGTTTAAGAGCTGCCATTTCTACCTGTCTCCAGTTTTCATGCTATGCTAGGCTAGCTGTCTGCTGTAGACGGTATAAAATATAGGCATAGTCTCGCCCACTGGTTTCTCATGAGAGGTTTTGAAGCTGATGTCTAACTCAACATATCAGACTCAAAGGTACTTTTGATCAGCCGAGACACAGACAGAGGCAGACCTCAAACCTCCCAACAAACAGCAACAGTGAGCCCACCTGCCATGCAACTCAGCCGTGTCTCTAAATTATGCAAATACATGCGCTTCCCCTCTAGTCTTTGTAATTACAGCAGATGAGTTATTGGAAAATTCACACCCCATTAAGTTTTGAAGAAAATAGCCATTTAGAACATAATCATGTTTTTTGTACCAGACTGTAAACATGTTTATTTCAACTGTGAAAATGGACTTTAAAAGTGAGACTCCAGTGGACACTTCAGGAACTTTAGTTTTTTTGCATTTCCACATTAGCTTCATTTCTTAGCATTAGGGTGATTGCTGTGTAGCGCATGCGAGTGCACATACATGACAACACTGACTGACCAAACATTAACAATAAACCTGGCTGAGTGACAGTCCACTTCTTCTAACATATGTTTGATTTGTTTTGTTGCATACATTGGTGCTACGAGATAGTGTCCATATTCACAACTTGTCAGTAATTTCAGGCCCTGACTAAACAGCACACTGGCTGAATAGACTACACAGAGCGTTATTTTGACATCTATTTATTCAAAAGCTTCTGAGAAACCATTTGAGACTGTCTGCGTCAGGTTGAGGGATGCTATAAAATGAAATCATTCAAAAGAAAATTGTCAGAAATGTGCACACTATCAGCAGGGGGATGAATGAAAAGTTTGTTTGATTTTATGACCTGACCTGAACCTGAACCGGTGAAAAGAACCACAATGTGAAACACAAAAATCTCCATTTCACAGTCAGAGGTGTAGAAACAAATTTCAAAATGTCAAAACACAAACACAGGAGAGGATAACAGCATTTGAAGGCAACTCAAATGTCAAAGTTAGGAAATGAAATGTGGGCCGGTTGTTGTCCTGTCTTATTACTCATCCTTCCTACATGAGCTCATCATTTTTCACTTGAAATGTGCAGTACGTGTTGAGATACTCTCACTGAGAACTTTTATTGACGGTTATTGATTGTGTTTTTGTCTTAGGTGTTTGAAATTTGATTCCTTTTTTCATGGTTGTTGCAGCCTGCTATGCCGGTATGACTACATTGTTGTTGGATGTTGGCAGTTTGATGCCTGACTCTGAATTTCCAGACTATTCAAGGCTGACAGTGTGCAGAAATTCAAAACTTTGTCTTAAATAGGAAAGTTAAATTGCATCACTGAGGCTGAAAAGTCTCCACAGAGACGCTCTGACATTCTGTGGCGGCATTAGCATATTAGCTACTTCCTTTTCACCATCCCTGCTAATTAATTTCTATGTTTCAGACAAAAACAAGCCCTTCCTCCATTTGTCTTTGAAGATTTACACACAGAAAAACGAAAGAATGAATAATGCCTTTTTGAGAAAGGTCATGGTTTCAGGAGTCAGTGAATTGAATTCTCGTCAAAAAAGGGACTTTTATTCATATGAAGAAAAAGTTCTCAGAGACAGTGACAAGTGTGGCCTGAAGATTAAACTCTGCGCACCCTGATCCAGGAGGTGAATTACTGTTTAATAGCCACATTTGATTTATGAGGAGGGGATCGAGAGGGTTAGGATGAGACCTCTCTGTATCTTTTTACTGTTACCTCCGTTTATAAAGCAGTTCATGTCTCTGATATTAACGCAGGAGATTTTTTAAGTGCTCTGTGTCAGCATTCGGTGAGAGTGAGATGGATCAGGTTACTTACACTTGAGTAAAACGGCTCTCCTGACACACAGATGACATCTTGTTCTTGAATCGTCAGAATATCTTTGGCCAAGTGTAGTCGAATATTGAATGGCTCTTCATTACCTTCTTGCATCAAATAAATCCCAGTCTTTGTCTGCAAAGAGTTGGAGAGATAAAATCATTCATCAGGCCTCCATCACTAAATTAACTGGCCCTGAAAAGAAGAGTTAGAGAGAGCGCTTAATGTAAGATGAACATGGGAATAAAGATACAGAGTTTTAGCTGTGCTCCCTCTATTCTTTTTCACTTATTTCCTTGCCAGTGCTACAGTTCAAGCATCACTCAAACAATTAGACAACAAAAAAATAGCAAAAACCTCTGATTCAGGATTTCAAATAATGAGCAGACCCTCCAAGAAGCAGCTTTTGTGTAGCTGTGTATACATCCACGCATGGATTAAAAACACCTTCATGATAGCATCTCATTTACTCTGTGCCGATGATGATATTGATGCTGATGATGACAATTAAGAACCTGTGAAATTGAGAGTCTGGAACCGAGCTCGCCCTCTACATTTGAATTTCCACCAGCGAGTGCGAGGACTGCGTCTGCTTCCAATGATCCATTTAAAACATGCTAATCCGCATAAATTTGCATTCTGCATATCCCTCCTCCTCCCCGGCTAATTGCGATGCCTGTCTTGTCCTTGACTTAAAAAGGTCTAAATAAAAGAAGCACCTTCACCTGATGAGACTGCTAATAAAAAAAAAAAAAAAAGAAAAACAGCTGCCTCTGTCATCGCCAGGGATACGTCAGTTAACAACACTCTCCCGCTGGAAAGATATTCTTAGAGGGAGGTTTCCAAACTTGAATCAAAGTCAGTTTATGGAGCGTATTATCTCTCACACATAATGAGGAACGTGCAGAAACGATCCCCCGCCTGAAGCTGCGGAATGAGAAATGAAATGAGCGGCGCATTAATTCACATTATTTGAATTAATGTGTGTGTGAGAGTCATTAGCTGGGCAGAATGAGGGCAGTAGGGCCAGAAGTGTACATAGCTGGGTCACACAGCGTCTCAGTTGGTTTGGTATTGTTTGGCCTGTTGCAGAGCTCACATTGAGCATAATTAGCCTTATCTCTCATCCTGTTTCTCTATTACTCCCCCCTGTAATCACCCTCCTTTATTATCTGCATCGTGATCAGAGCGGATATGCAACAAGGACATCTCTTTTAAACTCAGGGGTGCAGTTGTGAGGGCGGGGAATGAAACTAGAAACCACAGGCTGTAACACTGAGTGGGCTTTTAAAACGCCTGGTATTAAAAGTTTGTTTTAAACTACAAATTTTATCTGATTTTTAGTGAGTAACCTGTTGTTGCAGGTCACTTTGTATTGTCAGGTTACTTTAGGTAGTGAAAAAAAATGGACTGAACACCAACCCCCTTTATAAAGGTGGTAATGGTTTGGTCCACTTCTGCAGTGTATTGGATAGAAGCACAGTAATTGAGCTCATGCTGAGGACTTCAGGTTAACGCTGAAGTAGGGGTAGGCGCTACCACAAAATTTTGGCTCTCATCGGATAATCTAAAAAGTAAGGAGGCCAAATTCACACACTCAGTGATAAAAACAGCTCTAATGGAAGCAGTGTTATTATTATTACGCTATGTCACTAATTAACTATCTTTTATATGTTTTTAATTGTCAATAAATCACGAGTGTTTCGTTTTCATTTTCCCAGTTAATGACTGAATCATCTGCATGTTAATGGCCAAGAGGCAACAACATGGAACATGTAAATATTTCAGCATCATGACAGGGGTTCATGTCTCCATGATGCTTCGCTGTAGCATGTGATCGATCCATTTTCAGAAATTCAATATCATGAATGCCAGTATTTACACTCATGGGACTTTAATACGGGGGATCAACCATCTTCACTTTTTTTAAAGCATACAGATCAAGTTGAGTTCATAGAGTGGCCTCTAAAAGACATCTGAATTATTAATGTGCTGCAGTGTACACAAGCATCAGGAAGTCGTTTTTTTTTACGGTATGTTTGCTTCTTCATTCAGCTGTTTGTGCAGATGTTACAATGACTGTACGAAGTGGAGGAGGGGGAGTGAGGCTGCAGATTTATGTGTGTAGCTACTGCTCTGGCTGCATGCTCTCAGGCGCTCAGAAATGCAAAGGCTGTTTCCACAATCGAAATCAATTTACTGTCAAAATGTTACATTGATCAAACTCTACTAACCTCTTCATTTGAAGTCTTGAAATCCATGTGCTACTACGCAGTGAGGGATACTGCAACAGAGAAAAGCCAGTTAGACTGTGGAGGGAGAAAAAAACACTTAATGATGTGACCAAGTCTCTGCAGCAAAAAACCTGCGCAGCAGATTCACACTAGCATTGTTAGCAAGAAACCTATTTCCATTATGGTTTGTCCTTTCTCTTGTATACAATGGAGAAAAATAGATTTCTCATTGAAATGTGCCTCATCTCAACCCAACTGAGCATGGAGGAAAAAATCCCCACTGAGCAATCCAGGGAGAAAACCGGAGACCATTAAGTGTTAATGAATAATTCATTAGCAGAGGTGAGAGCCCAGGTATCCTAATAAATGTTTCAAAATCCAATTCAGGGCTCCCAGGAATGAAGTCCGTTACCGCATCTGATGTCTTATCAGGGAGAAGCCCAGCTGGAGGAAATGCCACAACACAACCTGAGAGGTTTTTACACTACCATTGACTTCCACATGCTTTAAAATCATGTTACTTTAATGCAGGCAGACAAACAAGTACAGCCTCATTTACATAAACCAGTTCCACTCAGTTTTAATCAGACATGACTGCCACTTGACTCAACAAAAGAGAGCAGCACAGAAATGGCGCCGCTTGAATTATAGAACCAGAGCTGCAGAGGGACTTACTTCAGCAGAAAGGCCCCCAGCTCTTTGTACGGTGAGATCTAGCCATCTAGCAGTGAGTTGACCCCTGATCCGAGCCGTCGTAGAGGAAGGCCTTCCCGAATCATGGCTGTCAGGCTTGGGTGGTGGGAGAGTAAACGCTGTCACCTCTCCTGGCTGGTTGTAGGTGTTGCACGATTACTCCCAGAGGAGGAGAAGCTGAGGAGCAGAATGAGGCTATTGAGCAGTGAGGCTGGTGAAGTCTGATCGGTGGCTGTGCTGCAGGAACAGAAAAATGAAGTTGACTGGAACAAAAACAAAAAAAAAAATCTCAAGAATCTAAATTCAAAAGCAGTGCTGAATATTGTTGATTAACAGCTTCAGACTACAGCGAGAAAGATGTAATCTGCAGTTGGCAGAAACACAGATAAACCTAAGTCGATATATCTTTTGTGTTTATGTGGGAAGATGAATCGGAAGCTTTTATTTCTAAAATAAGCACCTGGAACAGAAAATTCACTCAAAAGCAAACTCAAAACGGCGAGTCTCATCCTTCAGCCTGTGATGAAGGATCCTCTCAAATACCTCACTTGTAAAAAAAACCTGTAGATTCATGTGCACCAGTGCCAAAATGCAATTAACTCATATTCTCCCATTTTCTTGGATCTTTGTAAGCCTCGTACAAATGTTCCTTTCCAACGGTTTATTAAGTCTCAATAGCACACTTGTGAGAACCCCTCCTCGTTAGTATGCATTGTTGGCTTCCAGCCACTTTTTTGTTGTTGCGACGCAGCATCTCCACTGTGATCATTTTACTACTGAGTTGAAATAAAAACTTACTGTATATACATTTCAAGCTTCATTCCAGTCATAAATCATCGTCTCCTGATTATACAGTAAGAGCAGCTATAAAAAGGTGCAACACTGTAAAAGCAAAGAGATGAAAGTGAGAGGCATTTATGACCCCTTACAGTCAACACACACAGGACCTGGAGATGGATGATTTAATATCAGTTAAAGAACTACATTTACCTTTTATTAAACAGAAAGAAAGCATCCTGCGTAGTGTAATGCAAGCTGAGCTCCTGTAAAATATATCACAGCTTCAATTTAACTCCTTGATTTTGCTGTTTTGATTATTTTGTTTGTCCAGTGAACACGATTGGGACATATTTTGTGATGGTTAGATATGCTGCTGCTAACAAACTTGAGTCAATTAAAATGAACTCATTTATTGATCTGATATTTTGACAGACTGTACAATTAGACTGCTGGGATGTTGGCACCAGAATCACCAGGCGGCTGGATGAATTTCTAATATTTCTGTTATCATAGGCTGGAAACTCAGATCAAATGTTGTGTCTATGATGCATCATAGTGACCCACTGCAGATCTGATTCACAGCTACTGTTATAATGCTCTAATGCTCTACTACCTGAATGTAAACAACCATGATGACAGATTTCATCTTGTAGTGCAGCACAGTTTGGCAGCAGTTTAATCTACAAAATAGGATAAAGATGCATGTAGGTCATGACCGGTTCAAGCCAAATAGAATCATCCAACCAAAGCAATTTAAAACCAGATCAGACACATGGACATTAACTAGCAAAGAGGACCAAGGCTGGTTTCAAAAGCTCTGCTAACGTGAGCCACTCTGCAGACTAATTTAACATCCTTTACCTGCAGACACTGTGATCCTGTCTTTAGCCATAAGTGCTGCTCTATATTGATTGTCCCCCTTTCCAACCTTCAGACAGCTTAGTTCATCTAATTTTAAATATCCGTTCACACAACTGGGAAATCAGTTGCACTAAAACATTCCTACTGCTTATTGAAGTTATTAGGTAAATGAAGTCCCCCAAGGTTATCATTTCTATCTGGCAGCACAAGTTAATTATGTTAATGGTACAAATTATCTTGTTTGTGCTTGATAATTTACTTGTGCATGTCAAAGATAAAGTATCACCTGTGCAGGACTCAGGTAGTATAAACAGTCTGTGAGCAGTTCTAAATCCAAGAGTAGCAAGGCTGTGAAGCATACTGTTTCATTATTGACTTTAAACCTAATGTGAGCATATTTTACAAAATTGACATTAAACTGTATTGAGAAAGATGCAAATTTAGGGGTTTAGACTAAAAACTAATAGACATTTTTATCCAAGTAAGAAATCAAATCAGATTTAAAAAACAATGATGGCACTTGAGCCCACTAAGCAGGGTGAAAACAAACCGGTACGCAGCGGTACACCGTACTGGGAAGACATAAACAGCAGTTTACAGCCGATACGCAGCGGTACGCAAACTTTAACCCCTCTGCAATGTTTGTAGGCTACATTTGCTCACCGTGTTGCCGCACGTCAGTCTGCACTCTGCACTGTAACCGTAGTAATCCAATAGGACCGCGCTGCTTGCGAGTGTGTCGTATTTGCTTCCGCAAACAACCAAACCCCGGAAATTGGAAGCGTTCAGTGCGCACTTTTGATTGGACGCTGGTTGCCTAGGCGCTGGGGACCGCTTCCCGCCTTTTGCGGAAGGAGGGAAATTTTAAAGAGTCGGCTGCTTCATTCTAAATGCGTAGATAAAACAAAATGCAGAGGAAAATGGGATTTTATGTTCAAGCAGATGATGATACTGTGGCATCAGAATCGGCACCTCGTTAATCTTGGGTGTGGTCCTCTTCTACAAAGCCTACAGGTACAGTGCCTACAAGAACCTTATCCTACTTCCACCCCTTCCACTTAGTCATACTAGCTTTATTTTTTGACCACTTCTAATATAAAGTCTTTGGTTTGAATCCTACAGCGCTGCAGTGCCTTCTCTCTCTCTCTCTCATATAAACAACAGTAACATTAGGCTTTTGTTTTGGGAGGTATTAATTTCACTTCATGGTTGCTATGTTGGATGTTCTTTGTGTTGTTGTTGAACTAATTTGTGGTGCACAGACAGAAAGAGAACACTGATATTATTTTCAGCACAGGCAGTAATTGGAAAACTATCACTTGTAATTCAACTTGGTTGGTCATTGATTTATTGTTTAAGCCGGGCAGCAGAATAAAAAAAAAAGCCAAACTGCTTTTGCAGCTTTTAAAGATTTTCTGCTTTCTTTTATTTTAATTCATTGTAAATGGTATAATGTCAGGGTTGGAAATGAGCAATGTTAGAAAATAACTATGAGCTCTGAATCTATCTTTAAAGATATCTGACACTATTTGTTCAGTTTATCAGATAATAGCAAAATATTAGATGGATAATGACCCACTGTTAAAGTGAGAATTAACCTCAGCCTCTGGTTGTTGTACTGTAAAATGTATTGACTTCTCATTCATATACTTGCACAGTTATAAGGGGCATGCACTGCACTGTGATAGTGTTTATTGTTCACTGAAATGTTGATTTATATTTTGAAATGAGCCTCTTATGTATTTCTGCTCTCAGATATTGTTTTCTAATATTTCTCGCACAGATTTGTTGTGTTTTATTGACTTTGGGAAAATCAATCTTAAATACAATATCTCAGTTTATGTCTTCAACCTGCCTCCTACACTCCTCACAAGGAGTCGTCTGTGTTAAAGATGAGCCAGCTCTGTTGTTCAGTAGCAGCGAGGGAAAGCCTGACATTGTCTGTGGACCTGATTTAAAATGAATGTCTCTATGTGGTCAGAAGCAAAGAGAATCTTTGTGCAGCTCTGAGACGAGCTCTTTTGTCTTCGGCAATGCCCTCCTGTACCCTCCCTGATGACTGCTTTTTCCCTTTTTTCAGCAAAAAGATTAAATTAGCAGAACCTTTTGTGCCTTATAAGCCAAGTCAGCGTAACTTCCTTTTACGACCATCAGATATTTTCAGTCCCACCAATTTGCCAAGCAGTGTTTTTCAAATAATGCTCTTGTGTCTGACACAATGGCAGAGAGAACAGAGGCAGAGGAGCAAAGTTAGATTGGCTGAATGATGTGGAGATTGTAACGTGACATCTTCATCTCTTAAAGCTGAGGACAGCTGGGGCCCATACAGGATGATGGATGGCCGTTTGTGTGTGCAGGTGGAGCCTCTGTCTGCAGAACACTCCAGCAAATATAGTTTTACCCTCTGAAAATTGATATGAGTTTCACCTACTGTATGTTCGCTTGTTCTGCGGACTGGAACATATGGTGCTGAAGACTGCAGGTTTTTTTTTTTTAATTTGGTGAGTGATGATCGTGGGTATTATGCTGCTTAAATATTATGGCTTCCCCAAAGAGTGCTGCTCAACATCAGCAGCATTACCCTGACTGAATTTCACACGATTTGCCTTGTGCGTGTTTGGAAAAGTGATAAAATTTTTGTTGCAAGCTGCCAGCAGTGAACATGCTCTCGTAAAGCAAGCAATCATCTGACACTGCACTTGATGAAATGTTACATTTCTTTACCCATACAGACATTAAAATCGTGGGATATTTCAAAAGATGTTTAAATTCCTCACTAATGAAAACTTGAAGACTTCACCAAATATGAAGGACATGTAAGGCAGAGACATTCTTTAAGGAAACATGATTTTGTTTGATTTTACTCAGTTTCTATTGATAACTTTGTAGTGACAGGACTTTTTTCTGAAGAACTTGGAGTTCTTAGAATGTTTCGGAATTTCAAGTCGGCTTATCTGTGTCTCAAAGCTGCTGCTTTGGCTGCTGCTATTTGCAGTTTCATTTGTTCAGTACATGAATAAAATAGACCTGGGTATTGATAGAAGTTGTGATTAAAGTGGAGGTGCGCAGGCTTCATCCTTTTAAATTCCTTGAGAACTTAATGTTCTTTGGAGGGACCAAGAAACACTTGAACTGCTTTTTTGCTAGGTTCTATGGCTAAATTATTTCATTATTGACCATTCTGCTTCTGAATTTCTCAGTTTAGAAGTCGGGCTGTCAGCGTCAACAGAGATGAGATTAATAGCGCATTTCCAGGTATCAACCTCTGGTCTTAAAGAATTAGGCTACTAGAGAAGAAGAGCTAAAAAACTGCAGTTCCCTGAGTGTCCACTTGAGGCTGGCTGAAGAAGCACCAGAAACCACCTACACACTAAGCCAAAAAGGCTGAATTAATCTTGCTTAAAATGTTTGTTTCAAAGATATTAAAGATTGAAACGGCCCGCCTCCTGTATGTTGACAGAAAGTTAGGTTGACTCAGCATTTCCAATATAGCTACCACTGCTGATAGGCTTCAAAACTCTGATTTACAGACAAAACCGTGATATTATCAATGCTATGGCCATTTATTATACAGTCCAAGTGTGCGCCATTTGATCTCTGAAATTAAAAATTCCAAGATACCTGGAGAAACTTGGTGAAACTAAAGTAAACCGAGCTCAAAAACCAGAAAAACTGTACTATTAAAAGTGATTTTTTTAGCAACTTGATGTATTTTCATGTAATGACATCTATTACACCAATAGTGCCGTGCAGGCTCTATCTTCAGGTGACTCTTTATGCTGCTTTGTGCACAAACTATCATGCAATGTGTTATAATAACAGAGTTTTAGCTAACAGTGCCAAAAACATCAACTACAAATAACTGTCTGATTCGTTTCCAAAATCTTTCCCAGCTCCGACTGACTTGAAATGGGATGCAAATGAATGTAAATGGAATACACCACAAGGTCTGAAATTAATAGATGATTCTGTTTGTTATTTATTTTATTTATTGCTTTTTTGGTCTGTTTTAGCATTTTCTGGTTAAGCTGGCACTCCTGCCATGCTGCGATGAAAATTAATGACACCGCTGCGCATTTAAATTGAACATTTCACCTCGAAAACTCCAAGACAGCCCCAGTTGACAAGTCAAAAGTGATATGAACTTTGTGTCAAGGAGAATTGCGAGAGAAGTGCGAGCCGCCACCTACGAGCAAGTTTTTGGGTGCATCTAATCAGACTTGTGTCAGCAAACCACCACATCAGAGCCCTGTTTTGGAGTGTGTGAGAGGCTGCAGACCTGTGGATGAAATTAAGTCGAAGAAGTTAACTACGGCACTTGCTAGACTGGTCGCAACTGACTCCTCGTGTTGACACAGACCTGTATGATACAGAGAAAGCAACCAGAGAAAGTGCATTGTCGAATTTATGAAGTACCTATCAAACACTTGTATATGTTAGTATGATCGATAAACTATTTAAAATCACAAATTTAACTGCAATTAGCTTACTTTGAAAACAGATGATGTTAAAAATGGCAGTTTTGCTTCCAGGTTTCTAGCACTTCTTCCAGTTTTTTCATCTCTGACTAATACCATATTCTTAGTTAATCTATCAGTCCATAAAATGACCATCAAAACTCCAGAGAGAAAAGAATTGCTTCTTTAAATGACACAAACAAGAAGCTAGCTGCAATTTTGCATGTTTGTCAAGCTGGATAAAGAAGAACTTGTATTTTTGCCTTTCTTTACCTCGATTTACAAATGTATTTCCCATGAATTGTTAGAAAGGTGTTTAAACTTGCGTGATGTGCAGCTTCCTCCCCACCTGACAACCGCTGACACATTAATAAACTCAGCCTTCAGTCTGTGTGCAGGTTGTGTCATGGTGCAGCTGCTTGAACAGTTTTGTATTTACAGAGCACACCTTGCAGTGAACATGTCCTGTTTGTGTGTAACTGGAGGTAATGCTCCCCCTTCTTTCATGTAATGTTTAAGAAAGATCACTGAAGCGAGATATGAACAGTATCTCATCATGTTTTTCAATCCTTTTGAAGCATTTGTCAAAAAAAATACGTCTTTCATTATCTCCTAAAGTCAATACCTGAGCCAGAGATAGAGCCGGCAGCTCTCTGAACGCCAGATGCTCATGAGTGATAGGCAGAGTAAATTAGTGATGGACATGTTTATGGACTGAGCTCTTGACCCTTTTGACAATGATGTATGTTTTTGGCATCAGGGAGCCACCGAGTATCTGATAGGTGCCAGCTTAAATCAGCCGGAATCATCTCACTAACTGGTTGCGTGTTATGTGGTGTGATATCAGGAAGCAGAAATAGACATCATCCGAATAATAAACTGCAGCTGGAGGAAAGTGATCCTGCAGCATTGTTGCCATGACAGGTTCCCTAATAAGACTGTAATCTTTTGTGTCCTTTAGCATATGATATTATGATGCCTCGCCTGTGGATAAATGGATTGAGCTAGTCAAGCATGATATCTTACATGAGGGTCCTAATTAGGCTAAACAGAAGAGCACTCAGTCATTATACCAGATTGAATAATGAGATTCTCTCTTGTAATTGATTAATGAAATTCACTCTCTTTGTTTTATATATGTTTAAATACGCACGCATATACACATTTCTGTATATTAGGCCTTGCAGGGGATGACTTGGAGGCCTGGATATGGCACCACGCTGTGTGTCGAGTACATGAAAGGATTAGAAAGCTCAGCATATTGCTGAAGGCGAGGCTACATTTAAATGATGCTGCACAGTCGAGGGACACATCTGCTCACTGGCTAAATATAAAATAGGGAAATATGGAACTATTTCTCAACTGCTCGGCAGAATTATTTATGAATTGAAAATGCATGACATGAAGCCAATTACTATTCTTAGACAGATGAATTAGGATCTTTAGATCAATGTATGTTTAAGTTATTCCCTTGGAGATTTGCCTGATTCTTTCAGGGTCATTGCCAGCTGCAGAATATGACCAAATCATCAGAAAACTGCATGCAAAATGTGACTTCATATATGCAGAGCTGCAAGCAATGACTGTTTTATTATTCAGCACTCTTTCATGACGAATTTGTACTCAGTGAGTCCATAAAACAGAAGGAACATAATAAAAATGTCTGAAGTTATGACTTTAAAATGTTACTTTTTGTCCAAACACGAGTCCAAAACAACCGTGGATTTAATGCTTGAATGCTTGTATTAAATAACTTACAAACTGATCAATTATCGTCACACTCTGTGATTAAGTTTCCATCAATACACTCATTGTGTCAGCCTTTAATAAATGCTTCACAATCACTTGAGGTAGGAACAATTCCCCAACTGTAAAGGTAAACACAAAAGTGCGATGTCCTTCCAGTCTGTTCTGCCATAATAAGCAAAAATCATGACGTGTATTTTTTAATTGCTGCTCTGGGCTGTTTAACCAAACGCAGGTTGAGTGAACTGCAAATGTTCCAGAGAAGCACAATCATGCAGTTTATAGTGTACAAGCCCGCCTTCCCATCAAGGTTGAGCTGCTGTGCTGTAGCTGTCAAAGCAGCCGTGCTTAACGAATAAGCCGAGTCTCCACATTAATCAAATGTGACCTAAAATTGTCTGGCCTGCAGTGCTTACACAGTGTAAAGCATAGAGGAAATACTGCTGGGCCTGGGCAGTAGTGCGGTGCAGGAGGTAAACATGTTATCTATGAGGGTTTCCTCGCCAGGACATCCAGCAGCGTGTTATTATCATGCATCATTATATATGCCTCAACCCCTCGTAGCCCGACTTAGCGTGGCTCTCTGTGCGTTGGCCTGTGTTGCAGTCCTGAACCTCTAAATCAGATGGGCTGGTATATGAGGCGCATATAAATGAGTTGTGTCTTCTGTCTTGCTCGCCACGAGAGTTGGTTGTGCACACGCTTCATTAGCCATCAGTCTCCACTAAACCACACTAATGCTTTTCTGGTTGCATGACAGTGTCTTTGTGGCACAGACCTCTAATATTCCTTCTCTACTCCCTGAGACAGTTTATTTTATCGGTGCTGCGGGTGCAGTACATCACACCACAATAAAAGCATATGGCCCCTTTTTCCTCCGCGGTTTCAACATCTGGAGCTGTTTGTATGGATGGCCGACCAAACAGTTGCTATAAAAGCCCCACAGACACAGCAGGCGTGATGCATTTCTCTCTCTGCTGCTGGGTTCTGAGGCTGGATTGTAATGAAGATGTCCGGCCACACAGTGACAAACTATACGCTCTCCCATGCAGCTGCCCTTTAACAATCTCTGCTGGGAAATGTTCTTTTCTCTCTTTTGCGATACCAAACTCTCTTATTTGGATGCACAAAAAAACCCTGCAAAATCCTGTCCCTACTCTTCTATCATTTTCCAGGATCCTGTCAGGTTCCCTTATTCCAAGTAGAGCATACTCCTTGTGGTCAAAATAGGTCACTGAATGAAGCCACATCACAGAAAAAAAGATATAGTGCTCGAATGGGGACAAAGAAAGTATAACACTTGAATATTCAGACATCTACATACAGAACCACTGCATGCTCACTGCTGGGGGAGCGTAACTGCGCTCTGAATGTGTTAACATACATAATTAATGCCAATGTGTACATTCACTGCTTCTAGTAATGCCTAAAGACAACCTGTCCCACTTGTGCATTTTCGAGACGTTTAGCAAGACTTGATTTTTAAACGACCCAATGGGATTGAGTAGCAGGAGAAAGAAGCCGAATATTGATTGGTTAAGTAGGAAAGGCAAAGTGTGGAGGATCTCTCATGTGCAAATTTGGATCATGATCAATGCCCGCATGTGGTTGATCAGGACTGCGTTGGGTTAAACTTTGTGACAGCCTTGTTTCTTTCAATTACCAGCTGATCCAGACTGCATCAAAGCAAACAAGTTGTGTCTCCCTGTCCTCTCTCTTTGACATATTGACCAGACGTGTCTGACACTATTTTACTCCAGCCTGATTTCCTTGCCAGTCCACCTCTGACACTCAGCCAAACTGCTCTTTGATTTAGGGCATAAGCAGAAATGAGGGGGAGGAGGAAACGCGTGTGCCGGGGCATAAAATCGTCAATGACATGTCAACGTCTTACCCTCTGTAGGAAGTGAGACCTCCACTACATCAAACAGATTGCTCCTGACCTCTGACCAGAGAATTGGACCAGCTCAACTCGCCTCAGTTTGGCTCAGCTCAGCTCAGGCTTTAGCATGCTCTCGTGTGAGCCTGACAGTGTTTCAAACAGCTGACAGGAACCAGAAATCACCGATGTGGAGTCTGATTTCTTGCATCGCAGTGGGATTCATGGACAGAAACCTGGTTGATTGTGTGTCAACTTGCAGAGGATGAAGAGAAAAACAAGCCCCAGCAGTTTGTAGTCAAAGAAGCAACATAAATTGAGTGAAACAGCGGAGGATTCAGGAGGTTTGTGCCAAGCTAATAAAACACTGACTGGACCACCAGCATCAGCAGCAACAACATCAGAGAGCTGAGCTGGAACACTCCTCAGCCCTATCTTGTTTCCTGGAAGCTTTTTCCGGGAAGAAGCTAGTGCACTGAGACATAAAAACAGCCTTTTTTAATATATAGTATGTTGATGGTTATTGGCAGCCAGTACACATAGAGAGAGAGAGCACTTTAAGGCAGCTGAATAGCAGCACTGTGGATGGAAAGAGGTCTGCTGCCTCTGCACTGGCTGGAGGAAACTGCGGGTGCAGCTCCTGTACCTGCACTAAGGCAGGATGAAGCTCTTATGCATATATGATCAAAATCACACAATAATTCAACGCTGTTTCATGATGAAGCCCATCTAAAGTGAACTCTGAACCGGTTTGCTGAACACAAATGTGGACTGTAAGAGGATGTGATGCTTTATCATCCATCGGATCATAGGGATGCATAAATGTGGGTGCGCAGCGTTAAAGCATTACATCTCTAAAAAGTACACAGCAGAAGGATCAATGTTGGGCTTTACGGCTGTTTGGCGTTATAATTAACTACCTGCGTTCGTCATGCTCTGAATGATGAGGTGATGTAAATGTAAAAGAGGGCAATAAAAGGTCTGTGAGGCTTACCTGATTTCTCGTAACAGGTGGTGAAGTCTTATTAGATCCCTTTAGACTACAATCCCTTTACGTGACGGCTCGTCTTATATTCTAATTTATGCAACGGTTGCTAAAACATCTCTGCGAAATCACAATGTATCCCTTGTGGCAGCATCGCCCACACGGCATACTGGTCCACTATCACTCTGTGCAAAAAAAAAAAAAAAAAAAAGAAAAGAAAAACCGACAGGCACACAGGCAGCACTCTTGCACAAAACCACATTTGTACATATTTCCTGGAAGAAAGAAGAAGAAAGCGGGCGGTTTCAGGGATTCCTCTCCGTCGACATCTCTGGCAGAGGGTCCAGTTTCACAGCTCTGTGTCGGGCTCTGTCTCTCTCTCTCTCTCTCTCGCATCGTGCTGCCAAGATGACTGAAGCTGGAAATCACATGCGGGGCTGCTTTAGCGCGCGCGTCAATCCACTCCGTTTCTACCCAAAGCAGCCGCACAACTCCGGATCCATAAATATTACATGACGCGACTTTTCCCACTGTTTCAAGGGACGTTTCTTTGCTCCTTTTCAACATCACACAGCTGCTAAAGACGCTGTAACATCTTACAAAGCGATTTTCTTACCCCCCTAAGCTATTACATTTCCGTGCACTGCGGTTATGCATGTGTGTGCGTGCAAGAATTCACGCATTCACATATTATGTGTATTTTTCAACACTTAAAAGTTATTTTCGTCTGCATTTATATGTGGGATGCAACTTCTCTCACCTAGCCTACATGGCATTTAAAAGCTCAAATCCAAGCTTGGGTGGATTTTCTCAGCCACACTGCCATGACTCAGTTGGTGTTATGAATGAATGAGTGAACACACTCTTGCATCTCCTCAGACACGCTGTATGTGCTCAGTCACTCGGTTGTATTTGGACTCGCTCCCCATAGGCCCCTCGCGTGAGCAGCAGCTGCGCGAGGCTGACCAGGTGCACCTCATTTTCCATGCTGTCATTAAGCCAGCTGAAGACCCCTGCTGTTTTTATCCCGAACATGATGCAAGTTGACTCTTCACGGACAGCCCTCATGCTCATAAACTGAAGAGCAAGAGAGCAATTCAAGTGTGGGACTGCACCTCAGGTCAAGACTCTTATTGTGAAAGGGTTGTTAATTAAAGGTAAATGAGTCCTGATGATCCTGCAGCTGCTCTCACGGTGATCTGCTGCGTGACTTCATACTTCACTCTACTACAGTAACCTCTATGAGTGTTCTCAGTGCTCTGCTTCCCATCCCTGTCTCTCTAATGGCTTATCTGTGATCCATTAGCAAACGGAGGCTCATTCACACCTAAATGATTGCTCCTGTAAAGTCTTCAGCGTCACCTCCGGTCTGGCAGAGAGCTACATCTGACCTCATTGTACCTTTAAATAATCGAAGCCACACTGCCCATGAGAAATATGTCTGAGGAGCAACACAGAGGAGCAAGATGCGCAACGATTTTCAGCTTTTTGAGTGGTTTAAAGAGTCACCTGTGTTTTTTACAGACCCCCATTAAAGATAATTTCTGTGCTTTTTATGAAATAACCAGAGGATACTTGCAGCCAAATGAAAGAAGAATCACCATGATAAAGTAATTTTACCTGTTCTGCTCATAGACAGTATATACTATGGACAACTTGGTTCCGCCTTCCTCCAGTATACAGATTTGAAGCTGAAAAGTTCTCCGTATTTCCGTGTATTCTCTCCATTTCCTGAAACTAACATTGCACAGTAGCGTTGTACGCACTCCACCACTTGCGCAGTAGCATTGTACGCATTTGGTGGGAGGGTCGCTGTGAAAACTCCTGGCTAAAACAGCGTATTTCCCGGGTGCGAATTTTTTTGTAGGATGGTGGAGGAAGGGCTCGTCCTCCTTCGCCTCTGATTGGCTACAAGTGCTGGGCTCTGATTGGTTATTCCGAATGGCTGTGAAACATCATCGTCTGTCAGGTTAGGGTTAGGAGATTCAGAGATTCATGTTCTGTTATGTTCTGTTCGATGTACAGAGCCGACAGCCCGCGTTTGGCTTGAGCGTGTGATGACGTTTCCAGCTTTTCTAGCGAATCAGAGGTGAAGGAGGCGGGACTTTCTCCTACGGTCGTACAAAAAAAAATATCGCCCCGGGTGAGCAACAAAATCTTCGTATACCTGTCTCAAGTGTCAATCATAGAAAACATGAACCCCAGAGCTGCACAGAAAAACAAGGACTTGAACACAAACCAGTCTTACAATAACTACATGTCAACATCGCAACCAGGGGGGAGAAAAAATTATGTTCTGTGTAATAAATTTCTAAAGTTTGTCCAAAGCCCCATAAGCTTTGCTGGGGGAGGTGGGATTTATGTCCTATACTGCAGCCTGTCACCAGAGGGTGCTGTTCTTGGAGTGGCTTCACCCAGTGAGGAGGCAGACGCTGTCCATTTCATATACAGTCTATGGTTCTGCTACATTGTGGCTGCCACAACTAAAACACTATCACAGCTTTTATTCAGGTACCATTTATGCAAGGTTCAAGGTACTTACAATGCTGGAACTACCCATGTATAAAACAAATATTGACAGTCTCAGTGACATCACCCATCGGTCTCTGAAGAGGCATTTGGAGGCCATATGATGGTCATCGCCTTATTGGCATCACTAACTCGATTAAGCCTTCATCAACCTGGGCCCTCTCTCAATCCATTTCCTCTTTACCTCCTCTCTGCCACTCTCAGTTTGAAGTCACACCCACAGCTGGATGAAGCACCCTTCACGCTTGTGAAGACATCAAATACAGCTGCAAGATTTGAGACAAGCTCCCTGCACATGTAGATCTTGTAAATACTTTAAAAATGGATTTCTAGATCTATATGTTGGTGCTTTTATTGGACGGTACTCAGTGTGGTAGACCCTCCACTCAAATGCACAAAAATAGAAAGAAATTGAGACTAAAACAGAGACTAAAACATTATCTAGAACCAGGCTGCACACGTTTAGTTTTTCTTTTAATATGGTATCAGATGGGAATTCATTGGCTTTTGCAGCCAGCCTCAAGTGGACACTCGAGGAGCTGCAGCTTTGGTTTCATTATTCAGTACCAGAGGTTCCTGCTCGACTCTGACTTCTAATGACCCAAAAAAAAAGGAGGGCTGCAAAAGCCAAGGCTTCCACTAGGTTATCAAGAGGGCACCTGCTAACCATAATACAGACAAAGTGCTTGTGATGAGTTCTGCATGGATACACAGAATGTGAATCTGGAGCTAAGAGAGCTTCACTGGATGTGCATTTTCGTCAGCCAATTTCTACAACAATAAGGTTCTATGTTGCGAATAATTATCTTTTAGAGTTGTTCCAGATTTTGCCATTGAGAATGAGATATTTACGGTTTGTGTTTGAGTCTTTCCACTGGTTTAAAGCAGGCAGAGCTCGGTTAGGGAAAGGTGAGATCAGGTCCAATCAGAAATAAACCAATCAGAATGTTGTAACACAAATCTACACAAATCTCAACTTCTGTGTGGAAAGTTAGAAGAGCCTTAACTATTGAACTCTATAAATATCACCATAACTCTCACTGCATGTCTATACTAAGTATGCACAGTTATTGACAGGAGCATTAGATCTGAACCTTGTTGTGTGGGAGTTTAATTATTCCGGCCTATTGTGCATACTTAACATAGTTTAAATGTTATTTACCTTATTTACTCCCACATTTTAAGTTACCATTAAAATATATAAACACACATCCACACTCACGCAAATCTACACTTTTATACACACAAAAATTGAATGTATGGATTAAGGGTAAACAAAAGCCTGGGTGCACAAGAGGTGGGAAGCTCAAAGCTGAAGAAAAACAAAAGTCCAGATAAGCAGGATTACGTGAAATAAAAAATAATGAGCGAGGGGAAGGCAATTAAAAAACAAAGAGAAATAGGAAAAGGAATTTATAAGAATCTCGTCTTATTCCAGTTCAGTCAACACATCAATTATGATGTCACCGGTGTTTGTTTGAGGCATTTTTCAAAAGATAATGAAAGATGGATTCAACAAAACACTGCCTGGGTGAAAATTGTCAACACATCTCTGGAAAATAAAAGCAGACAAGGGTGTTTGTGCGTGCAGACTGCACCTGGATGTCGTATCAAAAAGCTTTTACAGCTCCTTAAGGTGGATACATGTTCCTTTTACCTGTGCTTGACCACGAATCAAAAGCCTGTTCATTTTTTAATTTAGCACATTTTTTGCTGCTATTTCACCTCCCAGATCTGACACAATGTGAGGCCAAGGATACGCAGCCTTTTTTCTCTGTTAATTAATTTCAAGCTCACAAACTCTGGCCTCTGCTTTTGAGAAGCAGCGATACGATTTGGTCTGCACTCCATGCTTCATAGCTGTCAGGAGAATAGTGTCCACATGCTCTGAATGCAGACAAACAGCACTGAAGCATGAAAACTGCAAGAGGGCATTTTTACACCTGGCCATGCATGCCCTGCTTCACTTCGAATGCGGTTTAAGGTCTGTGGGTATTATTGATTTTAAAACATTATCTGTTCTGCTACACAATGTTTTCTGCTCATCACCTCCAAACACCCACCACCCCTCACTGCGCCATGAAGAGCGCTGAGCGTGTGACAGTAGCCAGCAGTTATTCTGCACAGATAACCTTCCCTTCCCTTCATAATCCAAGCAGGCACAAAGGGAAACTATTCATGATCTGCAATTATGTTTTCTAGATAAGATAAGCGGTTCACAATTAACTTAAGGCCTGCCCCAGACATAAGGAGCTTTTCATATCTGCTGACCTAGCCAATCAAATTGCTCCAAGAGCTGCTTTTCAATATCTTCATAGCTAAGCTTTGCCTTTGTGTATGTGTTTCTTTGCTACTGCTGTGTTACTTTTCAGATGTTCACCTCAGGCCCCCTCTCGGAGGAGCTCAGCCGAACACAAGGGGGCGTAGACTGCTAAGTTTGCCTCTTTTTGACCAGTTCAGCAGCAGCAGCAAGAGCAGTAGCAGGAATAAATTTGATTACTCTATCATGTCTGACCTTGGGAGGGAACTACACTTACGTTTACATTTCAAGGAGGAATTCCTTATTGCATTATTGGCGAGGAAATGTGTGGCTTTCTGCGCACATGGCCGCATTAGGATGGTTCACCCTTGGATGGTAGGATGTAGCCTGCTCTTGTTGTTGGCTCCAGCATGGATCATGGAGTCATATCTTCTCTATAGATTTGGATAACAGAACATGTATGTACATATCAAGAATAAAACTCCCCTGTCTTCGAGTCTATCCATTCCTATCATCATCATTAGGAGTGCTGCTGTTGGTGGGTGTTCTTACATGTCACTCATACAAGATAATCAAGTCCCCAGAGGTTTGTGATACAGCAATCATCAGTGGCAGCATGCACACTCTGTATGCAGTGATTGCATTAGAAATGGCATTTTAAATAATGCTGCCTAACTCACACTGTGGCTTATAATCTGGTTCCTCTCCCTGCACTGTCATGGTCTCTACACAGTTTGGTTTATTTTAATTTCACTACCTTCGAGGGTACGATTTCTGCACGCTTGCAATCTTAAAACACACACACTCACTCTCACACTGTGAAGTCTTGAGCCTAGAGCACCTGTCTACTCGGAGTGAACTGGCACTGACCCAGCCTCTAGAGGGGGTCACGCACGCGCTCCCACAGGCTCGAGGCAAATTTGAAGCTCGGTGCTAAAAGCGAGGTTTAATTGGTTTGAGCTTCCAGTATATGTAGATGGCAGAGCATGGCTCCTCCCATGCACCTGATGGGGAGTATTTACAGCTCTTAACAGCTACTCACTGCACTGTTTCCAAGAGCGCAGCGCAGCACCATGACACTCCACTGTACTTAGGAAATAAGGATTTCCGTCTTAAAGAGTAAACTGACTCTCAACACGGCTGTGATTTACAAGAAAGAAAGTTTGCCAGAAGTTGTTAACTTTTTTTTTCCCACGCAAAGATGCCGCGCTCATTTCTGGTCAAGAAACACATCAACTCCGCAAAGAAGCCAAACTACAGTGAGCTGGAGAGCCCAACAGGTAAGATTTGTGTTATTATCTTTTAATGACAGCTTTGTTTGACTCTGAGAAGTTGTGTCCCTCACTTTAAGCTTTGTTTTGAACTTTTTTGACCTACTTTGGAAACTTTTCCCCCCTCACTCAAGCGATGACAGAGATCACATGACCATTCATTGAACTCCTCTGTCTTGATTTTCAGTCTTCATCACGCCGCACATCTACCGGGGCCTCCCCCTGCCTGTCATCCCCCAGCCGGAGATCCTGAGCCCGGCAGCCTACAGCCCTATCACCGTGTGGACTACCAGCAGCCTGCCGCTCTCTCCTCTCCCCAGTGACCTCTCCCCGATCTCTGGATACCCGTCCTCGCTCTCCGACACCTCCTCCAAAGACCACAGCGGCTCAGAAAGCCCGAGGAGCGATGAAGACGAGCAGATACTCCCAAAACTGACGGACCCTCACGGTGTGGAGGCAGAGAAATTCACGTGTAGTTTGTGTAGCAAGTCCTACTCTACATACTCTGGACTGCTCAAGCACAAGCAGCTGCACTGCGACGCCCAAACGAGGAAATCGTTCAGTTGTAAATACTGCGAGAAGGAGTACGTGAGCCTCGGGGCTCTCAAAATGCACATCAGGACTCACACTTTGCCTTGTGTTTGTAAAATATGCGGGAAAGCTTTCTCCAGACCGTGGCTGCTGCAGGGACACATCAGGACGCACACCGGTGAGTGGATGGGGAGGAACTGAGGGGCCTTCTGGGTGAGGAGTTGCTGTGGGCTTAGGCAGGAAGAAACTTAATTGTCTTCAACATGATTTTATTGCATTTATAGCAACTTAGAGACCCAGCAACAAAGCTTACATCTGCTTATTGAATTGTCAGGCTGCTTTTGTTTAAAAATCGTGTTAAACTCAGAATGCTGTGACTAGATGTTTTAATGGTGGGTTGCTGGAACAAAATACAGCTTTTTTTGCTTGAATGCGATGTAAAAATATGACAGAATATGCACGACAGGTTCATTTTCTTCCAAAAATAACAAGCCAGGGTGCTGCTGTTGAGCTCTCATTTTTCCAAATATTTCTGCGTGCCATCTCTGACAGTGTCTTCTCTTTTTTTTTCCCTCACTGAACAGGAGAGAAGCCCTTCTCCTGCCCTCACTGCAACCGGGCGTTTGCAGACAGGTCCAATCTCAGGGCTCACCTACAGACCCATTCGGATGTGAAAAAATACCAATGCAAGAACTGCTCGAAAACCTTCTCCAGGATGTCTCTTCTGCACAAGCATGAGGAATCTGGTTGTTGTGTAGCACACTGAACTGGAATACTTTTCCACCATCACCAGCAGCAGCAGCAGCAGCAAGGAGAAAGAAAAAGCCCTCTCTGTAGCTTCTTTATTTTTTTTTAAAGTCCAGGAGAACTGTCAGGGAATCACATGGAGGGGGTCTGGAGCTCCAAAGACTGGGTTGATTTCATTTCAGAGTGAGAAATAGCTCACGTGCCTCTTCATTTCAAGCAGTGTTTCTGTGATTGCAATCAGTGTCGAGCTTTGTCATGCCATGTACTCACCTACCTGTGCTATTCATGCACTTTTCTGCATGTTTAGAGTGTTTTTTTATAAGCCTTCACAATGTTATCTTCAGTGTTTGTACCAATGTCACTGATAAATGGCTGTTATGCAGTCCTCCACTCTTCAAATGAAACCAAAAAGGCGCATTATGAATGACCGTATAAACCAAACTAGAGGAATACTGAAGCCATTCTAACTGAGGGAACAAGTGCAGACTTTTTTTTTTAGGGATGAAATGTTATTAAAATTTTTGCACAGACATTAGAGATGGTTTGCCAGCACTCAATACAAAAAAAGACTCTCAAGTGCCTCAGTTTTTCTTAGCAATAATATGTATGTTTCCTTTTATATTTTTATATATTGAATGTAAGCGTGACTGAGATGATTGTATAGTTACAGTGGAAAAAACTGTGATGCTGAATGATTTTGATATTTTCATATCCTCATGACACTTTTCAAAATAAAGTCTCATGACATTTTGTATAACTTCTGGCATCGTGTTAAAGTTGCTTTTCATCTGTGAAGCCGTCTGTTGCTCTGGTGGTGTGAGGGGGGGAGATCCTCCAGCGTGCAGGACTCAGCAGGATTGTCGCCCGCTTCAAACGGAATAACTCGCATTAAAAAAAAAGTAAATGACATTTAATCCTGCTTGCGCTCGCTCGTGTGGTGATGTGGAAGAAGGAGGAAAAACCAGGGGAGAGGTGACTCAGCTCTGAATCAGGCCTGAACCTGCTCTCTGTGAACCTGTCCAGACATCAAACAATCTTGAAATTTAACACATACTAGTTATATTGATCTGCACTCACTTGTTATCCCCTTTGAGGGCCCATGACTCTGTCTTGACAGAGTGTGTGCAAGGCGAGGGCGTTGTTCTCTTTGTGAAAGTAATCCAAAGTTTGAAACTCATTCCTCTAAACTAGATGTGTTTCTTTTTATTTTATCTTTCTCTTCAATCACAACAATCACTGCAGGGCCACTCAGATTTCCAGATTTTAATATGTTTTCACAAGAAGGTCCAATTTGCATTTGCTTTGACAACCTCCTCGAATTTCTGGGATGCTTGCCATCAAGGATTAAATAGACCTCCTCGGGCTACATTTTGTTGTCTTTTTCCATATGCCGTCTTCTCGCAGCAGATAGAGATTAGAGCACTAAAAAGTGCAATGCCCCCGGTGGATACAGTCAAAGTTGAACTCTTTCTAACAAACCAAAGAGTGCGTTCCCGTTTGGTCCTAATGCCCAAAAGCTGCTGACCTGAAAGATGTGATCTGACAAATAGACACTTGTTTTTCTCACCGTGCGGCTCTGAACTCCCCTGTAGGTAGACTCTGCTCCGTGTGAGTCATCATCAAGCTATTCCAGGTGCTCACCAACACCGCAGCCACCTCGCTCAGGATTGGGCCAGGTGGCTGCGGGGCTCTTCAACGAGCTCGCTGAGAAGCAGGTGCAGCCAGGAGGAGACAAAAAAACCCACAGCCACAGGTCCACTGACACTGCAGAAACCTCAGCTATGACCTAATGTGGGAATGTTACAGGCAGCGGGGCCTATTATTCAGATCATTTGCCTCATAAAAGCAAAGTGGCATCGAGAGGGCACTCTAAACTCTAACGCTGCACATACCGAAGCTGTTTGTCCTCGTTGTTGTTTGCAGAATCTAATAACTTACATTCCATTGGCTACAATTTATAACATGAGTGTCAGAGAGTTAAAAAATATGCAATTAGCTGCATCATCTTGCAAGATTTTCCTTTTTACAACAGCTATTAACTGCATCACTGATTTCTCAGATAACAACATGGTGTTAAATGCTTTCCCCCTCCAACATGAATATTTGATTTAGCTGTTTGTGATGACAGTGGGAGGAGACAGGGAGGAGTGGGGAGCGGGGACTCATTTGTTCGAAAGCATACGGTGATTAGAGGATGTGTGAAAGAATCTGAGATCAGATATCTGTCAGGTGGGGAGGCTGTCAATAGTCACGCTTCTTTGTTTACACTGACAAATCCTGCAGATGCCAAAGCAGGTAGATACAACTGGTGGGTGTTGCTGATAAATAAAAGTACAAAGGGATTCCTGAGCTGAAATATTGTGAAGTTTGATTCAATTGTTTAAAAGAATTAACCTGGATGAACACAGTGAGGTGAGATTTAAGTCGTTTTTTGGTCTAAAAGAGGTCTAATAGACGTCTAATTTTAGCCTAGATGACTGGTGTAAAATCAGGCTACCACAGGTCAAAAAATGAAGTTTTTTAGATGTCTAAGTTTAGATAAAGTTTAGACCAAGTCTAAATCTGGGCTACATCTATACTGCACTGAATATTGCTGAACGGCTATCATAATTATTTTGGTCAAGTACTTGGAGATCAGTTATGCAACTCACAGTTGTTTTTTGGAATAAATAGTTATCAAATAATGGGTTAAAATGCAACGTCTAAATTCTGTCTTAAATATTCAGAATCTAGACGGTTGAATTTAGGCATAAAAAAAACTAGATGTCTAATAGCGGTCTGTTGCTCAGTCATGTGGGGATGAAATATGATTTGCAGCAGCCTTTTCTTTCTTTTAACCTCAATTAAACTCAATTAGAAGTAAATATGTGTTTGAATATCATGTTTTCTCAAAATAATCAACATTACTGACAATATTTGCTACAAAACAGAGCTGCAGATAACAACTAATTTCATTGTTGTTTAGTCTGCCCTTGTATTTCCTCAGTGAACTGCCTCTTTATTGCCTTAAACACGTCAGAAATAGAAAAACATAATGGTATTTTCTCTCAGCCCAGAGATGATACTTGTGTTTTACCACAATTCAAAACTCTAAAACACTCAGCTCAAGTCGTACAAAGAAAAGCACAAAATCATCACCTCCAAGGGGCTGTGGCAAGAGACTCTTCTGCTTTTTTTTTTTCAAGAATTACTAGAACAACCAATCCTTTTCAAAACTTTTGCACTTGTCAGTCAAAGTTTGGCCAACTGCTGCTGTTTTATTTAGCGTTATTTTGTCTGATGATTTCATCCCGCAGCTCATCTTCTTGATTTTTCACCACTATTAGCACCGGAGCCCATTTCACTCTTTATTTTATCGCATACATTATATCACGTGTAAAATAAATGTCCTCACTCTACACATATTAGAGCTCAGGGCGACATAAAACTCCAGAGCGGCCTCAGAGAGCCGTGTGCTCGATGTTAAGCCGGACCCACTTCTCAGAAACCTGCTGACTTTATGGTGAATGGGGGAGTATGATTCCTTTATGACCATCAAGTGGAACAAATAAAGTTAAGGATGTCCTCTGAGGGCTGATTGTCCTAGCCGAGAAGTGATCCCCAGCCCTCCCCCCGTCACCCCTCCACATCAGAAAGGAGATGATTGTGTATTCCCCTCTCCTCCGACCGCCTGGAGGAATGTTTGCCTGTTTATTGAGCTCCCGCGTCTTGTTAAAAACTATTCTCTTTCATTTCTGTTGTCTCCTCAAGTGACTGGGCTCGCTACTTAGAATGGCGCTGCTTTTCCGCTGGAGGTGCATATTCTCCAGATAATACTGTTTGCCTCTAATTGTGTAGCGTCCTCTGCATCGGCGCTCTATTTGTTGATAAATTGGATTCATGCAGATCAAGCGAGCATAATTTAATCACCAGGGAAGATCAATTCTTTTGAAGTGTTGCTGTGTCTTATAGTCTTTATCTCATTAAGGAAAAATGGTTTAAACAAAGGGGCAAAAGCAGTTGTTGGGAGACTTTAAAGAAAGTGCATTTTAACCGGCGAAAGCGATAATTTGAGTGATTGTTTCATGTGTTTCAGGCGGCAGTCATGTTGGTGTCTGACCCCGTATTTAGGTCAGGAATTAGTCCAGCTGAGACAGAAGACGCTGTGTTGTCTCAATCAATAGCTCTGTGGTCTCTTTTTCTGCCTTCTGACTTAACAGAGGTCAGCTGTCAAAAGATCCTGTGATCATATTTACTTGATTGTATTTCCTACTTAATGTTCAACCCACTGAAACCTCATGACCACGGCTGTAAAAGAACATCCCTGGAAAACAAACACGTCTTTTGTGGCCTCTCTTTCTTTACGTAAAGTTTCTCTATTTATAGTTTCCGTGAATATTTTTCACTCTTTCAAAAACATCAGGGCTTGACTCATAGGTTGGCAACTCTTTATTTAAATTAACAACTAATACATGAACGTAAGATATGGTGCTATTGATTGTGGCTCAAAGCAGCATGGTTGTTACAAGGCCTGAGGAATACAAGAGTCCAAGAGAAATATGTGAATTCTGACAGTTTTTAAGAGCAAAATTAACCAAAACTGCTCTAAAACCACACCAACTTCAAGCTACGAAGGAAAAAACAAAAATTTATTAGTACGATTAGACGACTAGACCACAATCTACAAGGACAGACGGGCCAAAATACCTCATGATTTGTGGTGAACTTTGTCTCCTCAGCTCTTCGTCGTAGTCTCCTTTCATGTCCTCTTTCGACATATTTCTCTTTCTGTCTTTTACTCTTTGTTCTTCCTCACACTCTGTATTCACAGCCCGTCCTTTTTCTCTCTGACTCCTGACTTGTCCAAAATGTTTTGAAAATAAAAGCACCTTCTAAATGTCATCTGTGAGGTTGAGTTGTAATTTGCGTCATTTTTGGATGAGGGAATAACAAAAATGTGTCCCAAACAGTGTGAAAACATCAGTAAGCTGTGGAAGTATATTCATTCGTAATACTTCAGTACCTCACTGGTTCGTTTTGCCTTTTGGTTTGATTAAATCGGTTTTGTTTGTTAGCTTCTCTAATCTTATCCTAGGATAAATGGACAGTTCTTGCTCTTCCTCTCTTGTCTTCATCTTAAACTATCTCTCTTTAAGTCTCTCTATCTTGTCCTGTATCTCTTTACTTCCCTCTCTAGCAGTACGTTGATTAAAACATTCATAAGACTATGTCTGGGAATGAATGTCATTCAAGTCCTTTAGTTGCGTTTACTTAGAAACAACAAGGTCATCCACTTCAGACTCACCCACACGTCAGCAGCCCTGATGGTGACCTTTATGGAGCGAAATTTTCAGCAGGTTTTAAAAAGTATTTTAAACACTTATTAATATGATGAACTCTACTGAGCTACAAGAAAGCATTTTTGGTCCTTCAAATGAGGTCGTGTACCTTTTTCTCAATCAGGTTCCACGTTAACACTCCGCTCTTTTGTTAAAGTTGAAGACACGCTCATAGCTCGAGTTCTGATGTGTTTGCTCACATTTTCAGAGAGTGGAGGTCATAGAGGTTTGCTGTTGGTAGAGTGAGTTCATAAATTGCAATTCTCGTTTTTCGTGCATCATCCAAGTGTCTTTGGCCCCGTCAGAAGGGGATATCTTTTAAGACATTGTTTTTCTCTTCATTTTGGCCTTGTGTTCACATGTAAACAGAGTTTACGGACAGTGAAAGTGCAGGTTTTGGAAAACACTTTACAACTCAGAGGGTTTTAAAAACAAAATC